CGTGGTGCTTTTCGACAATGGCGGCGCTTACCCCGCGCACTCTAAACTGGAATAAGTCCACTATATTTGCTCCGATTTGCTTCAAACTTTGCCAGTATACTCCACTTGTCTTCAGGAATCGGATGGTATTACAATATTTGCCCGATTCTCAAAACAGAAATTTACCCTGACATCGCTAGTGTAAGTGTAGTGTGAGTGTAGTGTGAGGGTAGGGTGAGTGTAGTGTGAGGGTAGTGTAAGTGTAGTGTGAGGGTAGTGTGAGTGTAGTGTGAGGGTAGTGTGAGTGTAGTGTGAGGGTAGTGTGAGTATAGTGTGCGTGTAGTGTGAGTGTAGCGTGAGGGTAGTGTGAGTGTAGTGTGAGGGTAGTGTGCGTGTAGTGTGAGTGTAGTGTGAGTATAGTGTGCGTGTAGTGTGAGTATAGTGTGAGGGTAGTGTGAGGGTAGTGTGAGTGTGGTGAGAGGGTAGTGTGAATGCATTGTGGGCATTGTGAGTAGAAATACCAAACTAATTGGACCGTAAAGTACCGTTGATCTACCCCTCTTCACGCCGTGTCGCTTCCAAGCTGGTTATTCGGCAGGAGGAGGGAATTTGATCAAGTCGTTCAAGTGCAGTACGATGTACAACAAAGCAGAAGATCAGACATGGGATGCTGAATTGTGCACATTTCATCCTGCACTCGCATATGTGATGTACAGCAGTACATGCGTCGGTTCAACATTGTATTTTGTTGTATACTCCGATGTCGCTTGACAGGCAGAATTTCGACAGGGTGCGGGAATTAGAGCGGGGGCGGATCAACGGTACTTCACGGTACATCACGGTAATACTGAAACATGCTGGATTAGTCCTGATTGCTGGGTTTGGTAATACTGAAACATGCTGGATTAGTCCTGATTGCTGGGTTTGGTAATACTGAAACATGCTAGATTAGTCCTGATTGCTGGGTTTGGTAATACTGAAACATGCTGGATTAGTCCTGATTGCTGTGTTTGGTAATACTGAAACATGCTGGATTAGTCCTGATTGCTGGGTTTGGTAATACTGAAACATGCTGGATTAGTCCTGATTGCTAAGTTTGGAAATGCGCATGAAGAGCTGGAATACAAACCCGATAAATCCATTCCATCTCTTTTCGGACAATGGCCAAAAAAAGGATTCATTTGTATTGTGTGTTGTGTGTTGTTGTACTAGCTGCTCACAAACATCGTCCTTGGTCCGCTAATTGATAAGTTTGGTTCCTCTGGTCCTCTCTTTGGTGGTGTGTTGGCAATGACACTCTCGACAATAGGTACGGACACACCTATACCTATACCTACACCTATACCCATATGACACATATGACACATATGACACATAGCCATTTTTGAGTTGCCTTTAGCTTCCAGAACAGTATTCCATAATGTTTTGGTGGGGTCGCCGGCCATTTTACTGCAATATCACCCCTTCTATTGTTGGCAAACTTGTGTACACTTGTGTATAGGATATATGTACTTAGCAAAAGAAAAGAAAAGAAAAGAAAAGAAGGTCCTCGCAGTGGTGATGGGTGTGTACAGGAGGGTCTGGTCGGCTAAAGAGCGCAGTATAATGGTGGAGGTGACTCAAAACAAGGCCTACGATTTAAATAGAAGAAATCACATGGAAACGAGTTATGAAGCAACTATCCTACTATTGTAAATCTTTTGTTATGACCACACAAACAGCACAGAACTAACACCAGAATACCAGAATGCAGGGTTTCAACTCACCCGAAGGAGAGTAGCTGAAAAAGAATGGATGGCTTGTCAGCTTTTTCAACTAGCCAGCAGCCACCAAAGGAAATAAGAGGAAAACCACACATACACATAACACCTTCTCTCTCCCACACCTTTGACCTTTGATCTCCAGAGGAGATGATAGGCAACTGAGTTGGGCAGTATTTGAGGTGACGCTTCAAATCGCCACTTCTCCTGACCGCTCTGCCGCATGCGCAGTGGAAGTCCTTGGGTGCTGGGAGAGGAAGACGATGCTGATTGACCCGCCTGCTTCATCCCGGGCGATCCTGTGCGAGGATCGCCCGGAATGGCGCAGGCGGGTCCATCTCTGTCTCTCTCTCTCTGTCTCTCTCTCTCTCTGTCTCTCTCTCTGTCTCTCTCTCTGTCTCTCTCTCTCTGTCTCTCTCTGTCTGTCTCTCTCTCTCTCTCTCTCTCTCTCTCTCTCTCTCTCTCTCTCTCTCTCTCTCTCTCTCTCTCTCTCTCTCTCTCTCTCTCTCTCTCTCTCTCACACACACACACACACACACACACACTTTGTACTTGTACTTGTACTTACACACACACACACACACACACACACACACACACACACACACACACACACACACACACACACACACACACACACACACACACACACACACACACACACACACCTTCCTTCCTTCCTTCTTCCACTGCCATGACTGGCTATGTGGCCCCATACGGGGCAGACCAGGAGACGTGTTGTCCACTGGGCGGGGAACGCCATACTCAGCGCGCGCGGGCCGCGCGAACAGCGTTACACTTGTGCCTCGCAATATCCTGCGGCCGACGAAAACTGCGCGCACAAGTGCCACAGATGAGGGGCTTCGCCACAGGCTCCATGCGGGACTGGACAATAGCGTCGACAGCATCACGGCATGTGACCCGCCATCCCTGTCGATCTTGGACGATGTCACCAAGCTGCTCCAGAGGAACGCCAACAGCCATCAAGTCGCACTTCGCGGAGTCCTTCCAGCGCTTACGGGGTCCATGCGGTGGACGTTTGGAGGGTAATGCGCCGTACAGCAGCTGACGAGGGATCCGATCTGGCATGCGGGACACGTGGCCAAGCCATCGAAGTCGGCGGACTCTGATTTTATCCGCGATCTCCTCCATATCGCCCCACATCCTGCGAACCTGGAGAGAGGAGATGTGCTCCTCGATCTGCCGGCCACAATTTATCTTCAGGATGGAACGCACGCACTGCAGGTGAAAGGACTCCAGGCGACGGACATCACGCTGCCTGACGGTCCAACTCTCAGATCCATAAAGAAGGACCGCCAGGACAGTCACTCCATACACGATGCGCCAATGTTGTCTATTCGATGTTGTCTATTCAGGTTTCGTTACGGTTCACACCAGACCACCAGAGATACCAGTTTATTAGAGTCGGTAAAGCATATATCTCACGGGACGAGGACAGAATTATTAGACCTCAACATTAGGGAATGTATTCGACACACATCGACACACACACACACACACACACACACACACACACACACACACACACACACACACACACACACACACACACACACACACACACACTCACATACTTGTGATGTCACTGAATTGTTATGTATATTGAAAGACATACAGTCAGATAGACACACGGAGCTGTTCCATACAACTTTTAAGTTAGTTTTTTTCTCTTGAATAAAAATAGAACAAACACACGTACCTCAATCATCACCTTTTGTCACCTAAGCTGCACGTTTCCTTGCAGCAACCCACTCCAGATATGTCGGGTCAGGCAAGCCGTAGCCTTCTTGCAGTCGTCTCTCATACATAGCTCTCTTCCTTGTCGACAGTGTGGGAATGGGGACCGGTGGACTGGTGGTGGCCACACTCGCCGCAGCATGGCCAGAGGAACTGTGAGTGGCCAAGGAGCTGGTTGCGGAAGCGCCCGAAACAGCAAGACCTGAAGAGGGACCGGCCTGCAGAGGAGTGGCAGGGGAGGTTGCTGCAGCTGTCACACAGGAGCTGCTTTCAGATGGTTTCAACTCAAAGTGATCAGCCAGCTTCTTGATAACCGTTGCTGTCTTGGTCACACGGGGCTTCCCGTCGCTGCCAGCCTCAGCAAGAACCCGAGTCAGCCCATCTCGCTGGCCGCGGCTGTAGGCAAGGGTTCAGGTCACTGTAACCCAAGCCTGACCTTGCAATGCCTTCTGCCATCGACGGCACTGAGGGAAGATCTAGGCACTTTGCTCAGGAGTTCTGCTGTTCTGGGGCCAGCAAGCTGATGCAATGTATTCATGGCTACTGCAGATGTGGCTGTGTAGCGGTGCTTTGCCAGAACAGCTTGCGGCATGGACTTGGCAATTAGGGCAGCAAGGGCATCGACATCCGCTACAGCATCACGTGCAGCGTATGCCGTTCTCAAGTAGTCCGCAACAAGTCGCTCCTGCGCATAAGAAGCAAGGCCAGGCAAAGCGTCCTTCAACGCTGGCAATGTGTCCGCAAACCCGTGTACAGCTTCCAGCAGTGGATCAACTGCAGCACATGCAGCAAACTGGCGCAGGAGGACTCTGCAATCAAAGCGCTTGCAGTTATGGGCCACAAGGACGATCGACTTCGAGCGCAGACCGTCAAGCCAGTTGATGAAATCCCTCGCGACTTCCTGCAGAAGATCTGTCTTCAATGCCTTGCTGGACTTGATTAGAGTCAGCTGCCTTCCAATAAGAGACACGGACAAGCCAGTATTCTCTGATGCTGATTTCTGGACGCCCTGGCATTTTGATATCTCGGACATAACTTACATATATACATAGTGGCAGAAACAGTGAAAACAATTGTGCATCCTGCGTTGTATTGCCCGCAAAATTCTTGCTTGCCACATTTGAGGGTAGAAAAGCCTAAAGGACGTGTAGTTTAAAATTTGGCCAGATTTTACAAATTCCTTTTGAATTAGGACGGATATGATGAAGATGAAGTAGGACAGATATATGGTGGGGAAAATGGACGGATAAGCAGGTCCAAGATCAATGCTTGTATGTACGTACAGTGTGTACGGCCTACAAAGCCTTTCAAAGGGCTTTACCTAACTTGCTGCTGTTACATGTACTACAAGAAACGCACCGTGGCAGATTTTGTACAGTGCCGAAATATTGTTGGTTTACAGGATGTAAAAATCGTAATGATGCTCAGGCACGCAGCGTCACCTCTAGGGGGGGGGTTCCAACCGAATCACAAACAATGACACCGTTTTAACCCATTTAATGATAGCTTGCATAGACCTCGGTCCTACCGGTAGGACCTACCGGTAGGACCATCATACACAGACATGCTGCATGGCCTCTGTTCTAACATTGACCTAAAACTTGACCCTAAACTGTTGCTAAGGGGCTAATGAAGAAGTCCACAAATTTTAGACGTGATCGCACAAGGCATACTACGAAATTCCATGGTAACAACCCATGGTAACCATGGAAACGGAGTATGGAATTATGCATTCCACGGCCTTAACAAGCTAATAAAAACATTAGGACCTCACCACAATTGATGTGCCATGGTCAAAATTCACTTTGGACAGAGTTGCTAGCGCACCGACAGGATTATGTGCGGCCATTTTGACAATCGGTAAAATTGCGCATACGCAATGCACTGGACATAGCCTTGCATTTTGCGCCATTACTTTGCCTGACAAAGACCTCATCTCAACAATTGTTTAAAAAAATTCTCAACCAAAAGCACTTTTGCAGCTCGATTTCTTGGGTCCTACCGGTAGGACGGTATGCAAGCTATCATTAAAAGAGCCCCAGGAAATTTTCAAAATTATGCATTTTTCGTGTTCCTTGGATCATAACTTCAGTTCTACTCACTCAATCTTCATAATCTTGCTGGACTTCCTGGAAGTGGAAAGGTATCCGGGATAGGAAGAGAATGAGGTCAACCATGATAGCCAGGACACTCTACATGTATATCCAGCACTAGAGTGCAGCGACGGTGCGAAAAATGCCCCAAAGGCCCAAACGCGTCCTGCTCCAGCGATTTCGTTTTTCTCGATTGCAGAGTTTCGATTTTTTTGCTGTGTACTCTTGACAATATCACAAATGAAACCCCTGCAAATTTGAGCAAGTCACCGCGACGAAAAGTCTCAAATTCTCGATACTCAAGTCGCACTGCGCGCTTTTTAAATTGCCGAGATTGCGGCTCAAACTTACTAATGATTTATCTCAAGAAACATTGCTCGCAGCGCTTCGCGAATTGTTTCTACCGACAGCTGAGAGTTTTCTATTCGATCTGGATATCTGGATCGTTGGATTTGAGCTAGATTTGACTGAGTTACGATCTGTTGAAGTTTTGCATTCTTGTCAGATCGATCGCGCGCCCTACCAAAAATGCCCAAAAACGTTGCTCGTTTGGAACATTGGGGGGGGGGGGGGTTCCGGGCAACGGGACCCCCCCCCCCCTGTGTACGCGCCTGATGCTTGCACTGCTGCCAGTTCACTTCCTTTCTCTTATACGCAGTACATATGAACTGTACGTGTGTTTGTGTGTGCATGTGTGTGTGGTTGTGCACGTGCATGTGTCTGTCTGTGTGTGCGTGTGTGTGTGCGTGTGCGTGTGTGTGTGCGTGTGTGTGTGCGTGCGTGTGTGTCTGTCTGCGTATGTAGCATTTGCGTTTGCTGGTGACATCAGTTGGACCCATCGGTATGCTATTGTCCTTGGAGCACGCACATTACAGGGTATTTCCTCTGCTTGTGCTGCCACAGGAGGTAGGTAGTACCTGATGTAACCATGTGTACCATGGTGTACATGGTGTGCATGGTGTGCATGGTGTGCATGGTGTGCATGGGGTACGTGCTGTTCAATTTTATAGTTTTCTTGTTATTCAGAAAACTATGCCCTTTATTAGGTTTGATGTTCTCACTGACATCTCAACTCTCGAGAAGAAAGATTCAGCATGTAAGATGTGTGCTGCCTACTGGTATGAACTGGCTGCCTAACCAATAGTCTAGAGAGAGAGAGAGAGAGAGAGAGAGAGAGAGAGAGAGAGAGAGAGAGAGAGAGAGAGAGAGAGAGAGAGAGAGAGAGAGAGAGAGAGAGAGAGAGAGAGAGAGAGAGAGAGAGAGAGAGTCTTCTCAGAGAGAGAGAGACAGAGACAGAGAGAGCGTGTGTGCGTGCGTGTGTGCCGTAAGCCTGCCAATAGTGGGAATGAGATGAAGGGTGGCAACCAACCACGGCTAACTAAAAACTACATTTAAAATGAGAGGGAAAGGAGAGAGAAGAAGAGAAAGAGAAAGAGAGGTACCGAGATAAGCGAGTCACACGTGGAGAGAAAGCGCAAGTTTGAATTCCTTGATTATTTTCGTACTACAGGCATGGCATGGCTTGCAACGTTGTTTCCTACTGACGAAGAGCGAGGCGAAGCGATGGGAACTGCTATGAGTGGACTTGGCCTTGGTGTACTAGGTATGCTATGAGTCGTACTGCGCTGTGCGCTGTGCTGTGCTGTGCGCTGTACTCTGTGCTGTGCAATGCAGTGCAGTGTGTTGTGTGCTGTGTGCTGTGTGCTGTGCAGTGCAGTGTGTTGTGTGCAGTGTGTTGTGTACTGTGCAGTGCAGTGCAGTGTGTTGTGTGCTGTGCTGTGCTGTGCAGTGCAGTGTGTGCTGTGCTGTGCAGTGCAGTGTGTTGTGTGCAGTGTAGTGCAGTGTGTTGTGTGTAGTGTGTCATGTTGGTGTTGGTATAGATCAGTAGTTCTGTTCATCTTCTCAAAGCGCTGGGTAAAGTAAAGTAAAGTTTGCACGTCCGTGTTGGCTGTACAATTGTATTGAGAAACACAACCAGCTTAGGAAGTTTCGCTTGTGCCAGGCCACCACCATGCCTGTAGTACCTGGGTGGCAGATACAGCGCCTAACGGCGAGGGTGAGGTGGTAAGTCTCACAACCAATGCCCGACAAGGGGCGAACCCCGTCAGCTGCATCCATGTTACCCTCACTCCGAGTAGCGAGTACCCAGTTGACCGTGGGTGTCGGCGCAAGCACTGGTTGGTAAATACAAGTAATAAAATCACTATTATCAACGTGGACTTGGTCGAAGTAGACTGTAGTGCACTGAAGTTCTCACTGCTCCTGCTACAGCTTTGTCAATGAGGCCTTTTATTGGTATTAGCAAGAGTACATAACCCAAGAGTGTGCAACTCCAGCTATGGGGTCTGCGACGGCAGAACTTCACATCACGTGATGAACCCGTGCACTCTAGTGCATGATAGATACTGGGTTGTACGCAGCCCAGCTTTGGGTACAACTCTCTTGTGGTCACTTTGCACTGTTTGCCAGCATAACCTTTTGAACCATGTCACGTGATGTGAAGTTCTGCCGTCGCAGCACAGCATAGAGGTTGTGCAGGCAGTTGCACACTCTTGGTTATGTACTCTTGGTATTAGACATTGCTAATAGTTACCATCATGATGGTGATATACAGCTATCGTGACTTTCATTTGATGTACATTGCTGGTTACTTGGCAATCCTACCTGTTCTCACTAGTGTGTTCACATGTTGTTGACTGCAGTTGGTCCTCCAATGGGTGCAGCTTTCACCAAGTTTGGTGTGGATGCCGGCTGGAAGTACCCTTTCCTCATCCTGGCATTCCTGTGTGTTGTGGATGCTTGTGAGTTCATAGCTGTACCTACATGACATGTACTCTTTGCTATCAACACTCTGCTGGTGACTTTGGTGACCGTCTAAGTAGCTATTGTGCACCTGTGTTGTAAGGCCATCATTTTTTATATCTATGTTTCGCGTCAGTTCAACTTCCAGAATCATATGCGAGAGGTGGAAAAAAATATAAAGTTGCAAAATAATAAAAAAGGCTCATCAGAGGTGTATAGAACTGTACACAGCACAATAGCTCGTGCATGGTGTACATCCGAAAGAAAAATCGAACATCGAAGCACAAAATCTGCATCACTTTGGACAGAGGAGGCAACCGTTGGTGCCCTTGCTTCTCTGGATTATTGTACTCAGCCTTCAGCAGCGGTGCAAAGAGCTCCGGAACGACGCATCCTCTCAGCTTGAGGCGATCGATGCGGTCTGTTGTAATATTAATGTTGTAAGCTCATAGAATACTGCTCGCAGATGCCGAACAAACGATTTACCAACGCTGGTGGACGGCCTCGAGGCCATTTCTGAATCCCAGCTTCGCCGTATGCAACCAGTCCACACTGATGACTCGCACGATCGTACACTAACTGTGCATGGTTGACTTTTTTATTTTTTTCCGAAAAAAATCAAAACGTATGCGTGCGGACGACGCGAAACATAGATATAAAAAATGATGGCCTAAAGCTAGCATGACCGCAGCTCCATTAGCAAACCCACTTCATCCCACTGCATCCCACTGCATCCCACAGCAGAACACTGGGCAGTGGGCAGTGTGGGGAGTAAAACACCTGTGTTCCTGACTGGCATGTGCATGCCCGAAAAGGTCTGAAACCAAGTGTTTGTGCATATGTTTGCTGGCTTTGGCGTCTACAAAGTTGGTTGCTTTCACTTGGAGCTCGCACTTCCTGCCGAACTTGACACTGGACTGATTCACGACTGCCATCTAGAGCACACAAGGAGTGTGAGCTCCACACAGCAGCAACCTACTTTGTCTACCTTTACTGCCGAAGTCGCTACTTCTAATCTGGTCTGGGGGCATCTATCGTACAAAAGCGTTTGTATCCAAGGAATCCAACCTGTCGCGATTCTCAGCGCATACCGACGGGTGTTTGTGGACACAGTAGCAGGCTCCTTGCCTTAGAAGCATCGATCATGTACCTTTATTGGATTTCCTGTCGTGTAATTAATGGGCGTGTAACCAAGAGTGCATAAACAAGAGTATGCAACTGTGGTTATGGGTCAATGCGTGGCGCGCTGTCTTCATTACTTAGCTTGCCTTCATCACGCTCTGAAAGCATGCACTCAAACCCATAATTTCTCATACGAGCCCATCCGTTTTTGCTCGATTCATTCCAGTACCTACGCGATCTCTAAATTTTGGCACTTGAACTCCAGTTCTGTACGAAAGTTCATTTCAAGCCAGAGGGAACGTGTGGTGTTTGACTTTTCGCAGTGCGCACACTGCAGCTGAATGATGTGATGAAGGCAGCGCGCCCTGCATCTGGCCCATAGAAAAGAGATCACAGTTGCATACTCTTGTTTATGGACTGTAACCCATTTGCACTTAATTCAAATGAACAATACAATACGTTCTTGGCATTGCTGGTTGCTAGCCTTGTCCAATTGTTAGTTGTTTGTAATGATATTAGGGTTACCTTGTAATGATCACATCAATGCCTATCATAGATTTCCCTGGCCCTGGCCCTGGTTATCTCATATCAATGCCTATCATAGATTTCCCTGGCCCTGGTTATCTCACATCAATGCCTATCATAGATTTCCCCCCTGGCCCTGGTTATCTCACATCAATGCCTATCATAGATTTCCCCCCTGGCCCTGGTTATCTCACATCAATGCCTATCATAGATTTCCCCCCTGGCCCTGGTTATCTCACATCAATGGCTATCATAGATTTCCCCCCCCTGGCCCTGGTTTAAGTGGTTATCACGTCGATAGTGCACAGTGTTGAAAGTGCACTATCAACAGCTACTGGCTCCACAGATAAAAACCTGATAACTGTTGCTTTTATCTCACTAGAGAATTTGATGCGACAAGCCGCAGTAGTTATCGTGACTTCACATATATTTTAAAATGAGAGGGGAGGGAGGGAGGGGGGGAGGGAGGGAGGGGGGGGGAGGGAGGGAGGGAGGGAGGGGGGGGGGAGGGGGGAGGGAGGGAGGGGGGGAGGGAGGGGGGAGGGAGGGAGGAAGGGAGAGGGAGGGCGGGAGAGAGAGAGAGAGAGAGAGAGAGAGAGAGAGAGAGAGAGAGAGAGAGAGAGAGAGAGAGAGAGAGAGAGAGGGAGAGAGAGGGAGGGAGGGAGGGAGGGAGGGAGGGAGGGAGGGAGGGAGGGAGAGAGAGAGAAAAATGATAATGGTAATTCTGGCTGGACCCATGAAGACTGGTTTGTACAATATCAGTCACATCAAATAGTCTGCAATTCGCTGTCGCTTGTCCACACCAGATGCATCTTGTGGCAGGAACAACGGCATGTTGTTAATTGGCTCTTCTGGAAGGTTACCCAGGAAATCAGCGACAGCATCTCTCTCCATAATAGCCATGTTGTGGAGAACCCATGCGGCTATGGTGATGTGGGTTGTGTTCTCCACGTTGGTAACTTTGGTGCCTTGGAGCTGCCGTCATCTTCCTTTGAGCAGAGCGAAAGTCTTTTCGATCACCATACAGGAATAGGAATGGTTAAAGTTGAAATTGTGTTGTAATGGCGTCACATTACCGGCATCACAATATGGGATGATCAGCCATGGCAGAATAGGGTATGCAGAGTCACCAAGGATGAAACTCTCCTTGGGGTAAGATCTCCTTGCGATCATCCACGGCATGTTTTAGCGGGCTGCTGTGGAACACTCTAGCATCGTAAACTGAACCAGGACAACCAGCAAACACATCTGTGAATAGGAAATTGACGTGGCAGATAGCTTATAGCACGATCGAATGGAATCTCTTCCAATTCAAGTACACACCGGTCGATTCCCTTGGTGTTTTGATCGGTATATGGCTGCCGTCAATGGCACCGATTATTCCATGTATTCCCTTCAGCTGGTGGGACAGTGCCTATGTGTCGTTAACACCTTTCTCTTTTGGCCAGCAGATCATTAGGGGTGCAATGTCACAGAGAGCGAAACATACCCGTCACGTCGATGTCCAGATTGTGTATTTGGACAGACCAAACTTGTCACTCACTTCCCTTATTGAGCTCTTGGAGCCCAGCCACCAAAGAGTAAGAAGAACCTGTTTCTTCACATCAATCAAATCCTTGCCGCCGGTTGTAGGGTCCATTTGCATGTGCTGTGACGCACGTATCGCATCGACAACAATGTCCACAGTTTGCCCACAGAGGCGGAATTGGCTGCGAAAATCACTGTCGTTCTGGAGGGGAATAACGTCCTCGAAGTATCCCACCTGTCGTGGCACGCTAATGTGTGGGGGTGCAGGGATATTGAATACTGCCGCACAATCAGGATCGTCGCAAACTGCAAGGTATATCATCTCCTCCAACCACTGAATTGAGGACGACCTGCTGGCATTCATGGGCTTTGCGACAAGGTCGACAGTGGCAGCTGCTATTGCAGCGACAGCCCTGCACTTTCTACGCCGTTCATCCTCTTCGCGATCATCCATTGCAAGTGAAGCGAATGAGGCAGCAACAACGTTCCACAAATGGACAGACTAATCAAATAAGGAAAACAGGAAACAGTTCAAGAAATACCAAAATAGCACACATCACATTTCAAGGAATTATCCGCTTTTTGCATTGTCAAGACCCGTTCTGTGAACGTGTGTCAATCAACTGCGCCGCCCGCTTTCCATAAGAGTATCCGTATCACTATGACATGATGTACTCTGCCAGTAGTAATACAATGTCATGTAGTACGCTGTGCACATTGTACAACAGTACACTGTACGTGCGTCATCTTGACCAGGAGCGACAACGGTTGGCGCACTTTTTTCCGAAAAAAAGTCCTCTGTTTCTGGAGTACTGTTTGGTTGGCACGAGGTTGCTCCATGTGCACCAGCTGTTCGATCCTGTTCTGGATCGTACCAACCAAACACATCTGAAATGGAAAGGTACACTAAAGTACAAGTCTGAAAAGCGGAAGCTTCAAAACAAAAGGAAAACAAACATGTATTGGTTAAACTCGGATGGAGAGCCAAGGACCAAAAGTTTACAAATACAAAAGAAAATGGACCAAGGAACTACAAGTTACGCTATAATGTCCACTAACACCACCAGTTACTAAACAATCAGCTCATGCAATAACATTGCACGGCACTGACTCCTTCAAGTTGGAAGGCTATTGGTGTGAGCATCCAAGATGTGCTAGAGCTGTTAGCCAGTTAGTTGTAATGTTAGAACGTCAGTACCGTCGGTCAGTGTGGTGCAATGTTATCGCATGAGCTGATTGTTTAGTAACTGGTGGTGTTACTGGACATTATAGCGTCACTTGTAGTTCCTTGGTCCATTTTCTTTTGTATTTATTAATCCTTGGCTCTCCATCCGAGTCCATAAGTTTACAAGTGATCCATTTTGTCCCAACAGTAATGATTGATGGATTGATGCAGCTAAGCATCAGGCCGTTGAATGTCAGTATCGCACCAGTCAGTTTAGTGCTAATTTTTGCACATTTTGACTCGCCATTATTTTGCTGATAACCGTTAGTGCTGGACAAAACAGATAACTTGTTAACTTATGGTCTTCTCTTTGTTAATTTTAAACATGTATTGCCCAGGCATTTATGCATACATGTACAAGTATTTCGTGGAAGATTTGGTGACTTGGGTTGAGCGACTTTCTGATCTCGATATGTTAGCTTCTCATTATTGCATCGTCTGTGTGTGTGTTTTCATTGTATCGTCTGTCCGTGCCTGTGTGTGTCTGTGTGTGTTTTCTTGCGCAGTTTTGCAAATGTTACTTGTCTGGTCTCCCTTGCCAACATATACAGTAAGGAGTAGAGTAAGGAGTCTAGATTGCTTTGGTCATTGTTGCTATGAGTTATTTGTCTGGGTTGTGAATGATGCTATGTGTACTGTACACACACATGAAGCATTATTTACTCAGGTGGACTGACATATTCACTGTCAGTGGTAGACTGGTTGAGCTTCTCCTCACCTGTATGAGATATCTTCATTGGTTGTTGTGCAGCCTACACCCTGTACATCATTTGCAGTCCTGAAAAGCTATTGACGTAAAATCCCGCCAAAGCGCCCCTACCTCCGCGACCCTTCGAGAGGGGAGGGACGGATGGGCGAGTCCTAATTACCGTATTCAGTACTACATGAAAAGTACTCGCCGTACGAAAACTGTGCATGCGTCACGTACACCGACCAAAGGTCAAGAGCAGGGAGTTCTACAGACCCATCAAAACCCAGGCTTTGTGTGATCCTTGGTCAAAAGAGTGGGTACTGTTGCGCACATTTCCAACCGTGTCTAGCACGCGTCTGCAGGACAGTATGGCATCACACTTCACAGAGTCATACGAGAATTCTCACTTTCCTGACAAGAAGTCAGGGAGGGGCGCATGGGAGAGACGGGGCGCTCTGGCGGGATTTTACGGTACATGTATCGGTGTGCTATTTGACACGCGTACAGAGGTGGCACAGTGCTCTTCTCACAACCAATCATTTTGGCTTTCTGTTCTCTGATGCGCAGGCTGATGATGCGGAATCGGAAAAGATTAGCCCAACTCGTGCTCTCAAACAGCTGGCAACTGATCCGTATATCATCTTTACCTTCAGTAAGTTGTTCTCTGGCGCATCACGCCCGGTCAAGCAGGTCTCCGTACCGCCCTCTCTTTGTGCAAGCATGTTAGCTCCTGTATGAGCAAAACCAGAGACCGCTATCCCACACACACACACATGTACCATGTACATTGAGATGGGCACCATCAGCATCACAGAAATGCATACGTTGGCCAGATGACGTTACTCTTCGTGTTACATGTACCTAGTTTGGTAGATAGATCCTCTGACACCAGGTGTACAACAGGTGTACAGCTGACCCAGGTTCAATATCAATCGGTAGGTCATTTATTCTACTGTTCATCACTTTATTTACATTCCTTCATGGGTACACGTAGCCCAACTAAGACCTGCAGACATGTCATCATTTTGTTCTCTTCTTTCAGCTGTGAGTTTCTTTGGCAACACCGTCATGGCTGTGCTGGAAGCTAGTTTTCCGCAACTACTTTCCAGTACATTTGGCACGAGCGGCTGGGTACTTGGTGAGTTTTGTCTCTGCGTCGTGTGTTCGCCCGGGTGCAAAGAGACCCAGTGCTTGGACAAACAAATGACTTACCAAACAGGGGAAACACTAAAAATTTTGTTTCAACTGCTAGAAAACAAGGTTATTTGTCTTGACTCTACCCTCTTGAGGTATCTACTCCCTGGTGTTTTTTATTATTATAAGCAATGTGAGGCAATTGTTTAGTGTTGTTGTGGGAAGATTGTAACAGTTATGTGAGTTTGCTGTGTGATATGAGCTACTGTCATCACAGACCACATAGTCTGTTTAGTTTTCCAATCTTGTGTACTGGGTGCCCTTCTTGATAGACAAATTCAATAGACAGATTCAAAGAGAAGACATTTCTTGTCACATGAAAATCTATTCTGGAAACCCGCATGACTTCTTTGTTGTGCGGTATTGACGGCGGAATTTGTTCTTTTTTCGTACGTGTGTGTATGTGTGTGTATGTGAGTGTGTGTGTGTGTGTGTGTGTGTGTATGTGTGTGTGTGTGTGTGTGTGTGTGTGTGTGTGTGTGTGTGTGTGTGTGTGTGTGTGTGTGTGTGTGTGTGTGTGTGTGTGTGTGTGTGTGTGTGTGTGTGTGTGTGTGCATGTGTGCATGTGTGTGTACATGTGTGTGTGCATGTGTGTGTGCACATCGGTTTGTTTGTTCAGGTGCTATATTTATTCCATGTATGTTGCCGTATGTACTGATTGCCCCTATCAGTGGAAAATACTTGGCACGTTTTGGAAGGTAAAGTTGGATGTCACCGTGTGAAATAAGGTCAAGTTTGCGTGTTGCACACACAGCAGACACCCAAATGGGCTTGTATGCGATTTCCTACACACCATAGTAAACCTCGCCCACATACCACCATCACGCACACACACACCCACACTTGTACTTGTACTTGCTCAATGCCCAAACTGGCCACGTGGGTCTCCCCGGGAGAGGGAGAGACATTCAAAAGGAATCTTGGAAAGATGACTCGATTGGCTATTGAACCGCCCAACGCTCGACACCCCTGAAATCCCCAAATTCTGGTTGAGCTTGGAAATGTTCCCATTTATGGGCTCGCCACACCTCAGTAAGTGGGTGAGGACAAGGTGCAGAAAAAGGATTGACGGCAGCAGGGTATCTGTCCCGGGATCCCACTGCATTCACCCTTGCCCCTAGTGAAAGTTGTTGTTAATTTTTATTTTACTTCGCAAGGCCAAACGGGCGATGGTGCCCAATTCTATGGAAGCGAATTTCAAAGCGGGGGAGAGACAGAGAGAGAGAGAGAGAGAGAGAGAGAGAGAGAGAGAGAGAGAGAGAGAGAGAGAGAGAGAGACAGAGAGAGACAGAGAGAGACAGAGAGAGAGAGACAGAGAGAGACAGAGAGAGAGAGACAGAGAGAGAGAGACAGAGAGAGAGAGAGAGACAGACAGACAGACAGACAGACAGACAGACAGACAGACAGACAGACAGACAGACAGAGACAGGGAGATAGATAGATGCATTGGGGAGATAGATTAGTGGTGCGTGGTGGGCGCATCAATGTGTGGTAGGGGGTAGTAGCAAGAGTACATAACCCCCCAGAGTGTGCAACTCGACTATGGGTGCTGTCCCGACAGAATTTCAAGTTGACGTCATTATTAATGATGCAATGCTCCTTGCACCAGTGATTTACAACATGTGTACGGGTGTCAACGCATCACACGTTTTTCTTTGCAATAATTTGTACAGGATCAGATAGGCTTTGGTTCACCACAGGTTCCAGATTTGTCTGATAATCCGTGTGCAGTGCGCATTGCATCATCAAAATGACGTCAACTTGAAATTCTGTCGGGACAGCACCCATAGTCGAGTTGCACACTCTGGGGGGTTATGTACTCTTGGTAGTAGCGAAGAATAATTGCTATGTAATTTAGTACGGGAAATATGCTAAGCAATTTTGCAGCGTCAACGGAGGGAACACAAAGAGTTCATAGGTGCACAAACACGCAGAGAAGAATACATGACGGCATGTGTGGACGGGCAAAGCCAGACAGAGCATTCATTGCAAGGTGTAGGGGATGGACGCAAGCTTAAATTGCTGGGCAGCCTTGATCTCCCTTACACTCCTTGGGAGTGCTTTCCAGGCCAAGGCTGCCTGAAAGGCCAGGCGAGATCTGCCGACTTCTGATTGTGCCGAGGGGACAGTGAGGCCCCTGTAAACCTGGTGCCGGGTGGTGCTACCAGCTGATGGAGAGAATAGATCCTGGAGGACACTGCTGGCTTTCCTATTTACACAGCGCCACACCAGGACGAGTCGCTTCTGGCTGTAATACTCGTGAACTCTGTACATGGACATCCGTTCGAGCAGAGGCTGGGCAGAGGTGTGAGGCGGCAAACCGTATACCGCTTTTGCCGCTCGGTTCTGCAGGACCTGAAGGTGATCAAGCTGCGAAGCCTTGAGGGAGGAGGAGAAGGCGTTAGAGGTCAGGCATGATGACTGACCTCACATACTGGATGTGACTACCGAGGCAGAGGCATCTGCGGGACCGCCATAGTGCTCCTATCTTCTGCACAACTTTCTTCGCAATCGCGTCAACATCGGGGTCCCATTTCACAGCGGCATCAAGGGTCACGCCAAGGTACCTTGCCGTTGGGCTGGGGGGGGGGGGCTCTGTCTGGTTGCAGTGGACAGCGACATGCTGACCCGCACTGAGTTGTGGTACAACTGACAGGACCTGACTCTTCTTATCATTTAGAAGCAGATGTCGATGCTTGAGCCAGTCAGCGACGTTGGCGACTGGCCCAGATAGGCAAGCTGATGTGCCTAGCACTGATTTCTTGTGGCAGTGCACGGCAATGTCGTTGGCTAATTGCAGAGATGGAGCAGGATGGGCGCCTGGAACACAGAGAGTGCGAGCTGAGCATCGCCACGCGTAGTCACCAACAAGGCTGAGTCGTCGGTGAACTGATATTCCCCGAACCTGGTCGAGATCTTTCGCGTCCCGGGCTTGCCGAACAGGTTGTCGTCAATGCAGTAGGGAATCTCCATGCCGACGCCAGTAACTGTCGACATTCTCTGGGACCAGGAAATGAAAATGGCCCACATAAACAGATTGAAAAGCACAGGGGCTATAGAACACCCCTGCCTTAAGCTGTTGTTGATTGTGATGGGTTGAGTCATGAGTGTGTCCCTGGGCCTTGCGGATTGTGATGACATAGATGTGTGAAAGGACTTGATGATAGCGAGGAGGGGGTCCGGTACCCTGGCACACCCAAGCACGCACCGCATACACTTTCTGGGTACGCACACCTGCACCCACGCACACACGTACACGCGTGCCTTGGAGGTAGAATGTCACATTCCAGAGCCAATACTGAAGTACATATTTATTGTATGAACGTATAGGTTCAGGGATGTACACTACAGGAGCAAGCTGGCCAGTTTTCCGTGTAAAAAGTGCGGCTCTGAGGCTGGAAAATATGGCAAATGTGTATATCCAATGTAGCGTGGCCTGTTGATCAGTATGAGTAAATCTACTTCAGAAGTACTAGTAGCTGTTCTACTGCATGATCCTCCTATGTATAGCTATACATGTCCAGACTATACATGTCCAGACTATACATGTCCAGACTATACATGTCTAGACTATACATGTCCAGACTATACATGTCCAGACTATACATGTCCAGACTATACATGTCCAGACTATACATGTCTAGACTATACATGTCCAGACTATACATGTCCAGACTATACATGTCCAGACTATACATGTCCAGACTATACATGTCCAGATTATACATGTCCAGACTATACATGTCCAGACTATACATGTCTAGACTATACATGTACAGACTATACATGTCCAGACTATACATGTCCAGACTATACATGTCCAGACTATACATGTCCAGACTATACATGTCTAGACTATACATGTCCAGACTATACATGTCCAGACTATACATGTCCAGACTATACATGTCTAGACTATACATGTCCAGACTATACATGTCCAGACTATACATGTCCAGACTATACATGTCCAGACTATACATGTCTAGACTATACATGTCCAGACTATACATGTCTAGGCTATACATGTCCAGACTATACATGTCTAGGCTATACATGTCCAGACTATACATGTCCAGACTATACATGTCTAGACTATACATGTCCAGACTATTCATGTCTAGACTATACATGTCCAGACTATACATGTCCAGACTATACATGTCCAGACTATACATGTCCAGACTATACATGTCTAGACTATCATGTCCAGACTATACATGTCTAGGCTATACATGTCTAGACTATACATGTCCAGACTATACATGTCCAGACTATACATGTCTAGGCTATACATGTCCAGACTATACATGTCCAGACTATACATGTCCAGACTATACATGTCTAGACTATACATGTCTAGACTATACATGTCCAGACTATACATGCCCAGACTATACATGTCCAGACTATACATGTCCAGACTATACATGTCCAGGCTATACATGTCCAGACTATACATGTCTAGACTATACATGTCCAGACTATACATGTCCAGACTATACATGTCTAGACTATACATGTCCAGACTATACATGTCCAGACTATACATGTCTAGACTATACATGTCCAGACTATACATGTCCAGACTATACATGCCCAGACTATACATGTCCAGACTATACATGTCTAGACTATACATGTCCAGACTATACATGTCCAGACTATACATGTCCAGACTATATATGTCTAGACTATACATGTCCAGACTATACATGTCTAGACTATACATGTCCAGACTATACATGTCCAGACTATACATGTCTAGACTATACATGTCCAGACTATACATGTCCAGACTATACATGTCCAGACTATACATGTCCAGACTATACATGTCTAGACTATACATGTCCAGACTATACATGTCCAGACTATACATGTCCAGACTATCATGTCCAGACTATACATGTCTAGGCTATACATGTCTAGACTATACATGTCTAGACTATACATGTCCAGACTATACATGTCTAGGCTATACATGTCTAGGCTATACATGTCCAGACTATACATGTCCAGACTATACATGTCCAGACTATACATGTCCAGACTATACATGTCCAGACTATACATGTCTAGACTATACATGTCCAGACTATACATGCCCAGACTATACATGTCCAGACTATACATGTCTAGACTATACATGTCCAGACTATACATGTCCAGACTATACATGTCTAGACTATACATGTCCAGACTATACATGTCTAGACTATCATCAGGGGCGTCACAGGGTTGCTGGGAGTGGTACGACCGGGGGTCCGGGGGTGTCCCCCGGAGAAAAAAAATAAGGATTTTTCGGCTAACAGGCCACGTTTTAGCACTCTACAGCCGCAAAGGAGGGTTCCCCTAGCACTTATTAGACAACCCCACTCCAGCTCCAAAAACATACTTCTCATGGATTTTTGGTATTTTCTGTACATCGTAGGTAGCCAAGCAAGGCAAATGGAACCCATTCAATGATTCAGGGCCATTGCCCTCGAAAAAATCGCAAAATCCGAAGTACAAGCGTGCTGCGCGTTCTAGCGCCAGCGGCTATGCAAAAACGTATGTCGTGTCCTGCAAAAGTCTGCCGCGTCGCGTACACTATATACACGTACGGTACACGTCCGGCCTGGACAGTCGCGAAGTAATTATTTTAGTTGTTTTTAGAGAGAGAAGAAGATCCTTTGTTTTTGTTCGGTGGGATTGAAAGATCTGCCAGTGGACCGGAGAGCTACAACAATGGAAGCAGAAGAAAGCGCTTGCGGAATCTTCTCTGTCTTCGTGGCAACAGGACTTTAGTTTGCGAGAGACTTTCGTCCTGTCGTCGCGGACGAAATTCTTGTTGCTGCTACCAGAAAACTCGGGGAACGAAACGATCGTAAATCGTGATAATATAGGTGAAGCGGGTCGTGTCGGTGAACAGCTGCAGAATATTCTGCCGCCGTGGAGCAGCAGTCCAAACACTTTTCAGCTTCGGAGAATGAAGCGCTTCCCTTTTCCGTTGACAAGCGCTGCGTTCGCGGGTGTAATGCATTTTCGAATCCGCTTGCAGTAGATCGTCAGGAGCCAGAGGTACTAGGTAGGTGTCGTCGTGGAAAGAATATAATTATTATGTTGTAGCTGACAAGTGACATACATGTAGTGTCTCTTGACGTACTGATCGCCATTGTAACATGGTAGATCTTGGAAAATTTTAGTTCTGGACCCAGTGATCGCCGCCAGCTCAGCTCTGTTTCCGTCAAGTTTGCAGTGAATGCGTCCGTGAGGAATCCATCGTCTGGTTGTCTCTAACCGTGACTCCAACCGCCTATCGTAATGGATAGCCGCCTGGAGTCTTGGGCAATAGCTAGCTGCTAGGCATCAAGTCTGTATGCTCCTTGCAATGAAAGTAACACTACTAGTACTAACAGTTGCGATGTTTTGTACAAGTCCGAAGATCCTTGAATTTTTTTATTGCTTTTTCGGATGAATTGGGTGGACCATCCTGGACGAAAAGTGGTACGACCATGGTCGTAGTGGTCGTACCGTGTGTGACGCCCCTGATCATGTCCAGACTATACATGTCTAGGCTATACATGTCTAGACTATACATGTCTAGACTATACATGTCCAGACTATACATGTCCAGACTATACATGTCCAGACTATACATGTCTAGGCTATACATGTCCAGACTATACATGTCCAGACTATACATGTCCAGACTATACATGTCCAGACTATACATGTCCAGACTATACATGTCTAGACTATACATGTCCAGACTATACATGCCCAGACTATACATGTCCAGACTATACATGTCCAGACTATACATGTCCAGACTATACATGTCCAGACTATACATGTCCAGACTATACATGTCCAGACTATACATGTCCAGACTATACATGTCCAGACTATACATGTCCAGACTATACATGTCTAGACATGTCTAGACTATACATGTCCAGACTATACATGTCCAGACTATACATGTCTAGACTATACATGTCCAGACTATACATGTCCAGACTATACATGTCTAGACTATACATGTCCAGACTATACATGTCCAGACTATACATGTCCAGACTATACATGTCCAGACTATACATGTCCAGACTATACATGTCTAGACTATACATGTCTAGACTATACATGTCCAGACTATACATGTCCAGACTATACATGTCCAGACTATACATGTCCAGACTATACATGTCTACTTCTCTAGACTATACATGTCTAGACTATACATGTCCAGACTATACATGTCCAGACTATACATGTCCAGACTATACACAGGGCACACGATAACGGTCGGACATCGGACATTTTCCGACCATTTTCGATTCGAATTCGGCGCTTTTTTTCTTGAACGGACAATCTGTCCGATCGAAATTCACAAAATAGCGTCGCTGGGAAAGAGAACGGCTGAGGACAATGGCGCTCTGCCTGGGAAGAAGTCTCACGAAGTCAGAGCAGCAACCTGTGACAACAGGGTTTTACAGCAAGACAGGGAGCTGTCCACTTCAGTGTAGCTCCAGTTTGAGCGTAGCAAACAATCGAGGAGTTTTGAAATGAAATTTCTTCCTTTCTCGCTACAATAGGGACTATTCCGCGAGGCGCTTGTACAATCCGAAATATTGAAAACGTCCCTGTTCCAGGGAAACAAGGCGTCAGTAATGTGTGCCAGCTTGCGATATGCCTCTATCGAAAGGAGCAGTCTTCTGCAAATCCAGTCAAGTACGCTCCTGTTGCACAGGCGCTGTGCAAGATCGACGGAGCAGCAGCAGCGAAATAAGTCAGAAGTTCAACGTCGCGTAGAAACTACGTGCTGTTCAAAGAGCACATCGCGTTTGCAAAGATGGGAGCCTTCAGCCAACTCGAGTAGTGACATGTTGTCGATCTTGGAGTTGGCAACAAGAAGTTAGAATGGGCAAGCAGATACCCACTTTGTCTTTTGTCGACTGCGTAAAAATGAATGTCTTCGATCTGCCGCTGAAAAACCAGGTCAAATCCGAAATGTGCAGAAACACTGCACGCTCATATCACAGTTACTATGCTTGCTGAAAAACGCACAGCGATTTGAATCAGTGTTACAATACTTGAGATCAGTGTGATGATCATCCTTTATGTGACCAGCAATACGGTATACCGCAGGGTGATGTAGCATGTACCGGTACATGCATGTGTGCATTATGCAGTGGTGTCGTGTAGCCAATAATAATAATAATTATTTTTTATTATGAGTGCTGAGTACCAGACTTGTAAAAAAATCACAGTGTCCGGCCATGTCCGACCGGTTCCAGAAGTGGCAGGACATTGTGTCAGAGCAATTTCGAAATCTTATCGTGTCCCCTGATACATGTCCAGACTATACATGTCTAGACTATACATGTCCAGACTATCCATGTCCAGACTATCCATGTCCAGACTATACATGTCCAGACTATACATGTCCAGACTATACATGTCCAGACTATACATGTCCAGACTATACATGTCCAGACTATACATGTCCAGACTATACATGTCCAGACTATACATGTCCAGACTACACATGTCCAGACTATACATGTCTAGACTATACATGTCCAGACTATACATGTCCAGACTATACATGTCCAGACTATACATGTCTAGACTATACATGTCCAGACTATACATGTCCAGACTATACATGTCTAGACTATACATGTCCAGACTATACATGTCCAGACTATACATGTCTAGACTATACATGTCTAGACTATACATGTCCAGACTATACATGTCCAGACTATACATGTCCAGACTATACATGTCTAGACTATACATGTCCAGACTATACATGTCCAGACTATACATGTCCAGACTATACATGTCTAGACTATACATGTCCAGACTATACATGTCCAGACTATACATGTCTAGACTATACATGTCCAGACTATACATGTCCAGACTATACATGTCCAGACTATACATGTCCAGACTATACATGTCCAGACTATACATGTCTAGACTATACATGTCCAGACTATACATGTCCAGACTATACATGTCCAGACTATACATGTCCAGACTATACATGTCTAGACTATACATGTCTAGACTATACATGTCCAGACTATACATGCCCAGACTATACATGTCCAGACTATACATGTCCAGACTATACATGTCTAGACTATATATGCCCAGACTATACGGTGTTCTCTCACAATGTAGTCAGTAGCCCGTATGATATACTATCCGGGTATTGTGCAGTGTTCAATTAGTGGTGTGCAGTGATATGCAGTGGTGTACAATGGTGTACAGTGGTGTGAAGTGTTGCACAATGGTGTACAGTGGTGTACAGTGGTGTGAAGTGGTGCACAATGGTGCACAATGGTGTACAGTGGTGTACAGTGGTGTACAGTGGTGTACAGTGGTGTACAGTGGTGTACAGTGGTGTACAGTGGTGTACAGTGGTGTGCAGTGGTGTGCAGTGGTGTACAGTGGTGTACAGTGGTGTACAGTGGTGTACAGTGGTGTACAGTGGTGTACAGTGGTGTGCAGTGGTGTGCAGTGGTGTACAGTGGTGTACAGTGGTGTGCAGTGGTGTGCAGTGGTGTGCAGTGGTACAGTAAAGTGGTACAGTACAGTGGTACAGTACAGTGGTGTACAGTGGTACAGTACAGTGGCGTACAGTGGTACAGTACAGTGGTGTACAGTGGTACAGTACAGTGGTACAGTACAGTGGTACAGTACAGTGGTACAGTACAGTGGTGTGTATAAAAGAGTTTTTGTATGTGTTTTCCTCATGCTGTATACATGTATGTATTTGTCTATTGTTTATGTGCAGGCAATGGGGTCTCATGTTTGGTGGTATATCGCTAGTGATTGGAATGGTCACCGTAAGTTGCTGGGTTCTCTTTGTGCATGTACGTATGTTCACAGGTGTAAATTAAAATACCTTGTTTCATGATTGTCTAAGAGTACTGCAGGAATAGAGTTACTCAACTTCTTGTCATTGTTATCGGTCCGAATGAAAATTTCTTGTGTTGCCCAACACAAACGTGGCCTGTTTGTGCTCTTGAACTTGCGGAATGAGCGGCAGAACACATTGTGGAGAACCATGGACTGATGCGTCGTGGGGAACAACCCAGCCATTATGGATCCACAGATCGACTTCGTCCTGAAACAATTTCTCTTGATCCGCAGTCAACTTGTGTCGTGAGTACTCTCCAATACCCGAACCGACACTGGCACCAGGCCCTACGCCATCGTTCAACTGCCACGTCACTTTCCACCGGCTCGGTGCTGCATTCCAACGCACGCTGCCATCACTAGTGGCAAGCGTGACATTGCCGACCTCATCCTGATCCACCGACACATAGGGTAGTGGATGCTCGAGCTTCTTCCCCGTGGCAGCACAGACAGGTTTGAGAGCTGTAAACACCACTGAGGCCAGATCATCACCATCATAGCGTTCACAAACCTCAACCAGATCATCACCATCATAGCGTTCACAAACCTCACCCACCGCTGAGATCAAGGTCAAGCCGATTGACACATCTCAGGCAGTTCCGTGAAATGTGCCCGACCACATTACATTCAAAGCATAGTACTGAACTGGACTGTCTTCGCCCGCTGGACGAGGATGACGACTTCACCGAAGACGCTGCTACGGCCGACACACCACCCGACATGTGAGACACCGAAGTGCGCAGGCGGCGAACATATGTCACGCAGGCTCCAATTGATGACGAGTCACCATTAGATGTTAATTGGTTGGCCTCCGTCGACGGCAAGCCCCTGATGAATTGGTTGATGAGCGTGGGCATGTTGGGCATTGTGTAACTGGGCACGACACATGGTGTCATAGTGAGAACGATCCAAGACCACAATCACACTAGACTTGTCAGCCTTTGAATACACCCGAGTCTGATCGCGTTCTAACTCCCTAACTACCTGCTGCATGTGCGCACTCTGCCTACGCCTATTCCCTTCTAAATCCTCCTCCTGCAAACTAGCAACGGCATCAATGGTCCGAGCAGCAAATTCTTCCAATTCCTTCCCGTCCTCACACCTCTCAATCTCACCGACCCGGGTCGTTGGAAGAACTTGCGTCACGGGGGGATCGCGACAAAGGGCACTGATCCTAGAAGAAGCACCATACAGTCGACTCCAGAGTGATGTGCCGTCCATCTCGACATTATGTCCCACCGCGATCAATAGCCAGCGCAGGTCTGCTCCATATGCATCAACACTCTTGACGTGACCAAGGGTGCGAGTAACAAACTGGCCATGTGCCTGGCCTGTTGATGGTGTGAAGGCATCAGGCAGCCGTTGCTTCACGTTGCCCTCTTTCTTTTTATCCTCGTCAGGGAGCTCAAAAAATGCATCTCCATCCAAAAACAACGGAAGTTGTGCCATTCGCTTTTCCTCCGCTGTCCATTGTTGTAGTTGGGCTGCCACCATAAACTTCCTTCAAAATACATCAAAGTCGTGCGAGCTCCACGATACTGCTTCAAGTACGAGTCAAGTTTGGAGGACATGGTGCATACAAGTAGTTCACCAACACCCACAACACCCAAGAACACTACAGTACTGTAGACTCTCTGCAGCATGTTCCCTCGATCCCTCATGACCACACACACACAGGCACCCAAATACGGCTTGTCTAGAAGTAACTAATGTAAAAGGAGTGAAGAACATCAACCAAAGCCAGCCTGATGTCGCGGGGTTCATGCCCTCCCTTCATGCCCTCCCTGTTCATGCCCTCCCTGTTCATGCCCTCCCTGTTCATGCCCTCCCTGCATATCAAAGGTTCATGCCCTCCCTGCATATCAAAGGAGCATATGCGCATAGCAAAAATGGTGCATGATGTGGTCAGATCACATGATCATATCTGATCATATGAAGGATAGGCACATAATTCCAGCAAGCCCAAGATGGTAAGTTCCTTTTCTGGTTTCTCCATCCCTGCGAAATTGAGAGATGTTTGGTCCAGTGCTCCTGCGTCAATTTTTTTGAGACAATAGGGAGGTTCTGCTATACGTGAAACGTAGAGAAATCACGTAGAGAGCAGGTGTCTAGGTTAGAGTCTAAGGCTTCGCGTGTTTTGGGTCCAGATTTCTACGCGTAGATGAGGTTCTCTACGTTGTGGCACACGCAAAGAAAATGCGTACAGATCTGCTGGGTATCATTCGAGTGCAGACAGAAAACTGCCAAATATGGAAGAGGAAAGTCCCAGTACACAGTCCACGTGACTTCTCTGCGTGAACGTAGAGCAGAAAAGGATTTCTTTACATTACGGGAACGCGAAGAGAGTTCCCGTGATGCTTTGTGTCGCGTCGCGTTCCTGTAACGTACAGCAGAACCTCCCTACGTTTGGCTGCACCCACAGCTGGGAGCAGCAATCGCGGCTGATTGTGCAGCGCCATCACTGGCCACTGTAGCAGGCTCAGTAGCCTGTGCTCTACAGTAGTAACCCAGTGGCACTGACATCTTCTTTGACATCACGATCACTGTCATCATTGTCATCGTGTTGAGAGGAACAAACTACCAACTGATTATAGCAGCAGCCTTGGCCTCAGCACTCGGCGGAGCTTCAACTTCATGTCCAAAAAATAATCATCTAACTGGAGAAGAACCTGGTGGAGCTTGCCGTCCATGCTGAAGGGAGAAACAAACGACATTTCGCTATTAAATAATTTACAAGAAAGCCCGAGAGCTTCTCTTCCAAACAGCAAACACCAGAGCCAAAGAGAACCTCAGCAACACCTCTCTTCGAAGTTCGTTTTAAATCCGTGAAGGGGATGTGAAGTTTTAAAAGAAACTTCACAGCCCCTTCACTGATTTACTTTGAATAAAGACGAGAGGAAAGCTTGGGATTTTTCTTCTGTCTGTGCACCAAAATCACAACAAAACGACCAGATTTACATAGAAAACGAGCTTAAACTAAGCGAATTTGGAAAGTTCACAGGAAACAGACGCAACATTTCAAACGCATTTATCTCAACTGCAGTGCGCAGTCCAATAGCACCCTTTTGTCATCACAGTCTGTCTGATGTGAACGTAAGTTAATTATATTATTTTAATCCTAAAGAAGGACAGTCGGAGGGAAACATAATTATTATCACACGAAGAGAAGCCGGTTGTAAACCTGATGAGTCCTGTCGTACCATTGAGAAGTAGTGGTGCGAAATACCTCGTCAGGTTTACAACTGGCTTCGTCTCTTCGTGTGATAATATTTTAATCATTCGAAAACTACGATTTAAAAAACATCAGTCCATTGAGAGAATTTGAACAGGATTGAAGGAGGATAGTGATTACTGGAGGATAGTGATTACTGGAGGTGTAACAGGTTTAATCAAACTTGAAAAGTAAGAGGCCTGGTTGAGCGTGCCTCGACCAGTTATATGCAAAATGTGATAATATACATGTGGCAATGGCGCCAATGAAGGTGCTAATAGACAGGCGTAAGACGCATGAGGTGCGAGGGAGTGTAAAGTTATAGAGAACAGGGGAAAACTGTTACATCATCCCCCTCCTATGGAGAGGAAGGAGCTTATAACCCAAATGCTCAAGTGGAATAGAGTACAATAAGCGCAAACACGTGCGAGACGAAAAAAGGCTTCGCACTGAAGTAACACAATAAGACGACTGAAACTCCATGCAAATAAAGTGTAATAAGCTCAACAAATGTGTAAGGTGAAACTAGAAGTTCAACTGCAAAACTCAGCGGGCAGAAGCCAAGGTTTTGTACTTCTGAAGTGGAACAATGTCATTACCAGATTCATCCAACAAATAATGTTCAGGCTCCCAAGTGGCATCAGAGTAGCCTTGCCACTTGACTAGGTACTGAAGCTGATTCTGCCGGCGGCGGTGACTGAGAATGTTCTCCACCACATAGCGGGCATGACCATCAAGGTCCGTGATAGGCGGAGGCGTAGGCTGTCTCCTATTAGGAATAGCGTTCTTCTCGTAGGCACGGAGTGCCGACACATTAAATACCGGGTGACAGCGGCTGGTATGAGGCAACTTGAGCTTGTAGGCATTCGGGCCGACCACATGGGTTATAGGAAAGGGGCCAAACCACTTGGGGCGTAATTTATGGGATGGTCGGTCCCGAGCTTCAGGAGTCAGGAGGAAATCCCGGTAGACCATTACCAAATCTCCCACCTTCAGCTTTCCCTCGACCCTTGTCCGATCTGCATAGAAGGCCTGACGAGCTTGAGCTGCCACTAGCGCATCTTGTGAGATCTTGACCGCGTCTTGTCTTGCTTGCAACCAATCAGCTGAATCTCTGCCTCCCTGAATAGGGTTGAGGAAGTCGGGTGGCGCTCTGGGATTTAGACCGTAATTTAAGAAGAACGGTGTGTTTCCTGTAGATGATTGAGTAGCGCTGTTGATAGAAAACTCACAGAGAGGTAGGAGCATATCCCAGTTATCTTGTTTATGATTTACAAAAGCCCTCAGCACATCCTCTACTATTCTGTTTACTCGTTCAGTTAGGCCATCTGTCTGAGGGTGATTGGCAGTACTAAATGCTAGTTTCGTTCCTAAGCGATCAAACAATTCCTGAAAAAATGCTGCCGTAAATCTTGGATCACGATCACATACAATACTAGAACTCAAACCATGAAGTCGAAATACATGTTGAATATACAGATCAGCACTTCCTTTAGCGTCAATAGTAGAGGAAGTAGGTGCTAAATGTACACACTTTGTCAAGCGGTCTACAAATACATATATAGCATCATGACCTGTATCGGTTCTAGGCAAACCCATGATAAAATCCATCGAGATATCCGCCCACGGCTGACTGGGCACTGGTAAATTCTGCAAGAGACCAGTTTTTAGCTGGCCGCCTTTAACTCGTTGGCAGACGTCACATGACTTGACAAACGCCTTTACATCCAGTCCCATTCTGGGCCAATAGAAATATCTAGAGAGTCTGAAATAGGTGCGATCTCGACCGGGATGCCCCGCAGTCACACAGTCATGGTATTCTTGAAGCAGCGCGAGTCGGAGTTTGCTACTCTTTGGAATGCATAACCTGTTCTGTGGTGAAGATCTGAGATAAAGATAACCGGGTGTTTCATTTAGAAGGTAACGGTCGTGCAGATTGTCATGGCTTGAATTTTCCAGTCTCCTGATAATGGGAGCAAGATCCTTGTCGCACTTGTAACCGCTGACAATTAACTGCGCTAAGTCTGGATTAATCTCTAGGGTATGCTCTATGGCATTCAACTGAATGTTAGGAGGATAGGATGACCCGCCTATTTCAGAATCACTGAACAGATCTGGACGGCGTGAAAGCGGGTCGGCAATGTTTTTCTTTCCTGGTTTGTGAAAGACCGTAAAGTCATAGTCAGCTAAAAACTCTACCCATCTTGCCTCACGCTTGGTGAGAGTCGGTTTGGTTCGTAAATAGACAACACCCATATTATCAGTCATCAGGTCAAAGTGGCGGAATAGATAGATTCTCCAGCACTTTAATGCAAATACCACAGCCAACGTTTCCCTCTCGGCCGCAGTATAGTTGCGTTCTGCAGCTGACAGTTTCCGACTACAATAGGCTACGGGATGCAAATCCATATCTTCTCCCTGCTGCAGGAGCACACCCGCCACGGCAAAGTCACTTGCGTCAGTTTCTACCATGAAGCTTTTCTCAACATCGGCCAGTTGCAACACTGGCGCCTCGAGTAATGCTGATTTTAGAGACTCGAATGCCTTCTGTCTAGCAGCGCTCCATTCAAAGCGTGAATTTTTTCCGGTGATTTCTTCTAATGGACGAGAGATGGTCGAGTGTCGATCTATGAACCTTCGGAAATAGTTTGCAAAGCCAAGAAACTTCCTCACATCAGTTACTGACGACGGAGTTGGCCATGTTTCCACAGCACTTATCTTCTTGGGATCAGGGGAAATTGATGTGCCGTTGATTTTATGCCCCAAGAAGAGAACTTCTCTCACGCCGAATTCGCATTTAGACTGTTTGCAATACAGCTCACTATTTCTAAGTGTTTCTAGAACTGTTTGAAGATGATGCTGATGATCTTCCCAGGTCTTGCTGAAAACTAGAATGTCATCCAAGAATACTACAACGAATTTTCGGAGATGCGGTTGCAGAATAGAGTTCATGAGTGACTGAAAGGTGGCCGGGGCATTAGTCAGCCCGAATCCCATGACTCTAAATTGGAAGTGGCCGAACGGCGTATTAATGGCCGTCTTAGAAACATCCGAGTCTTGAATTCTGATTTGATTGTAGCCTGACCGCAAGTCCAACTTGGAGAAATATGCACTGCCCTGGATCGTGTCGAATAAGTCATCAATATTAGGAAGACAAGCTTTGTTTTTGATCGTAATTCTATTCAATTCTCGCCAATCGCACACCATTCTCAGAGTACCATCCGACTTTTTCACAAAAAACACAGGTGCACCGTATGGCGACTTACTTGGCTCAATGAATCCCTTCTCAAGTAATTCTGATAGCTGTGACTGGAGCTCGTCCATCTCTGGTTTCGGCAGGCGGTAGGCGGGTCGAGACGGTGGTCTGGCTCCATCTTCTATCTGGATTTCATGGTCGACTGGTCTCTTCGGTGGAAGCTCATTCGGCAGCTCGTCTGGAAATAAATCCTGGTACCTCTTGAGCAGGTTCTGGATGTCTTGTTGCTCTGATTCCTGGAGTTGTGGCCCGGAACGATTCTCCTCGTTTGCAGCAGTGACCCATGCAAGAAACCCCTCGGCTCCACTCCTCAGGGCATGACGAGCTTGTCGGCCACTGATAAACATGCTTTCCACAGATGGCCGGTCGGCTGTCGGCGGGTTAGCTGAAGGCAATTTGGCAACAAAGGGCTCACCGTCCAACTGAACTTCGTTCGTACGGAAGTTGATGCTGGGGTTGTTCCTTGTAAGCCACGGCTTGCCAAGAATAGCGTCGTAGCGAGTCAGGGGATACACAGTAAAGTGCTGTTCCTCACTGAAGCCCCCGACTGTCACCCTTAGCGTGCGTGTGGAAATCTGCGGGACCTCGCTGGTCGAGCCGTCCGCCAATGTTACGCTCAGCACTGCTGAGCTTGCATCCGTGTCAAGATGATGCTTTCGAACAAAACTGTCTGCAATGAAGTCATGCGTCGAACCGGAATCTATCAGCATCACTGCACGGCCACCGCCGATCTTTCCCTGTATGCGCAGTAGGTCGTGTTCAGGTTCATTGCCGACGCTGACGTTGCTGACATGACACCTTTCTGCAACGGGACAATTATTTCCTACAGCTATGGGTGTCTCCGGCTCCGTAGGTTCCTGGAGAGCAACGTCTTCAACCTCCAGAGCTCCGAACCGGTTAGCGACTGGTACCGGCGTGGGCGCTTGGGTCGTCGCCAGTAAGCGCACCCCCTTTCTTACTGGCGACCAGCGTTTGGGTAGCGCTGTCCACCCTCAGTACAGTCTTTAGCGAGGTGGCCTGGCTTCCTGCAAGCAAAGCAGTGTCCCATTGCTCGCAGTTGGACACGCTCTTGGTCCGTCAGCTTGCGGAGGCCCTGACCACGGAAGCTGGGCACGGAACGCGACTCTCTACTGGCTGGTGGCCCCGACGCCGGTGGCCCTGACGACTGCTCCACGGTGTTTGCTGCCATGACAGCTTGCTCCAGGGTACGTGGATGCTCACGCATGACCTGTCGCTGGATGTGCGGCACTAGACCCCTGACGAACAGCAGCGCTCTGGTGTGGTGGTCGATTTCCGGCACTTGCAGGCTGAGGCGAGTGAAAGCAGCAATGTATGCGTCCAGCGACCCGCGCTGCGCTGCGGAAATTAGTCCCATACGCGATGTTTCCTCGTTGTGCCGTGGTCCGTACACATCGCCAAGTGCCGCTTTCAGAGCAGGCCAGTCGGAAAACACTTGGTTAGCTTCCAATGCCGCTATCAACCAAAGACGAGCGTTTCCAGTCAAAAATCCTGCCGCGTAGTCGATCCTCTGTGCCGCATTTGGGAGTGCCAACGACCGTAGGGCCATGTCCATTGCAAACGTCCATTCTTTGAATGTAGCGGAATCTCCTCCAAACACAGGCGGCTCTTTCGTAAGGCGGGGTGTTGGCTCCCACGGTTCCGAGTTCGGATGTATCGTTCGGTTTCCTTGGCTAACGCGCTGAGCGGTCTTGATATCGTTTATCAGCCGAACGACGAGTACGAGGAGCGTAAGCAGAGCGACCAGAACACCCGCCAAAAGCAGAGTAGTAACCATCCTCTGCTACCAGTGTAACAGGTTTAATCAAACTTGAAAAGTAAGAGGCCTGGTTGAGCGTGCCTCGACCAGTTATATGCAAAATGTGATAATATACATGTGGCAATGGCGCCAATGAAGGTGCTAATAGACAGGCGTAAGACGCATGAGGTGCGAGGGAGTGTAAAGTTATAGAGAACAGGGGAAAACTGTTACAGGAGGATAGTGATTACTGGAGGATAGTGATTACTGGAGGATAGTGATTACTGGAGGATAGTGATTACTGGAGGATAGTGATTACTGGAGGATAGTGATTACTGGAGGATAGTGATTACTGGAGGATAGTGATTACTGGAGGATAGTGATTACTGGAGGATAGTGATTACTGGAGGATAGTGATTACTGGAGGATAGTGATTACTGGAGGATAGTGATTACTGGAGGATAGTGATTACTGGAGGATAGTGATTACTGGAGGATAGTGATTACTGGAGGATAGTGATTACTGGAGGATAGTGATTACTGGAGGATAGTGATTACTGGAGGATAGTGATTACTGGAGGATAGTGATTACTGGAGGATAGTGATTACTGGAGGATAGTGATTACTGGAGGATAGTGATTACTGGAGGATAGTGATTACTGGAGGATAGTGATTACTGGAGGATAGTGATAACTGGAGGATAGTGATTACTGGAGGATAGTGATTACTGGAGGATAGTGATTACTGGAGGATAGTGATTACTGGAGGATAGTGATTACTGGAGGATAGTGATTACTGGAGGATAGTGATTACTGGAGGATAGTGATTACTGGAGGATAGTGATTACTGGAGGATAGTGATTACTGGAGGATAGTGATTACTGGAGGATAGTGATTACTGGAGGATAGTGATTACTGGAGGATAGTGATTACTGGAGGATAGTGATTACTGGAGGATAGTGATTACTGGAGGATAGTGATTACTGGAGGATAGTGATTACTGGAGGATAGTGATTACTGGAGGATAGTGATTACTGGAGGATAGTGATTACTGGAGGATAGTGATTACTGGAGGATAGTGATTACTGGAGGATAGTGATTACTGGAGGATAGTGATTACTGGAGGATAGTGATTACTGGAGGATAGTGATTACTGGAGGATAGTGATTACTGGAGGATAGTGATTACTGGAGGATAGTGATTACTGGAGGATAGTGATTACTGGAGGATAGTGATTACTTTGTAATAGACATGTACTGTATATCATGCAATTCCATTACAATGTTACTGTGTACTTTGAAGTGTGCTGCAATATACTGGAATGGTAATCACATGCTTTGAACTCTGTGTATATGTGTGTGCATGTGTGTGTGGGTACATGCGTGCTGTGTGCGTGTATATTTCAGATACCGTTCGTTGCTGATGCATTGAAGCAGCATCACTTGTCTGTGTGGATCTTGAGTGCATGTCTGTCATTCTGTGGACTAGGACTAGGTAAGCCAGTACAATGACTAGTGCAATGTGTGATGTGATGACTAGTGCAATGTGTGATGTGATGACTAGTGCAATGTGTGATGTGATGACTAGTGCAATGTGTGATGTGATGACTAGTGCAATACATGTAATGCATGCGAATTGGGTCGGGTGGGGTTTGGCCCATACCTCCCTGGGCAACGCATTCCGAAGCCCATACCTCACTGGGCAACGCATTCCAAAGCCTAGCTCCTTGGAACACAAGACAACCCTTTTGTAGCTCAGTGCAGGTTGTCAGTGTTTGGAGAGTCGTAGACCCGTAGAGGACTGGAGGCGAGTAGGAGTGCCAGTGGTTGGTAGCAACACGACTTGCAGTGTAGGGCTAGCACATAGCAGCAGTAGCACCAAACCAGGAATACATGTACATGGCAACCATTTCCTGGTGTGGTGACTGGACTTTGCTGACTATATACAAGCTACACGCCTGCCTGATTGTGCCTGCTTGGGTGAACATTTGGAAGACACGTGATATTTGTACTTGTGTAGCCGAGGACCAGTGAAGAGTGTGCAGGGAATCTTTCTGCAGCTACATGTCCATGGGGTGGTATTGTGGTATTGTGGCATTCATTTGGAGATGTGCATCTTGTAACTCTAGGACTTGTACATGTGTATGCCGGTAGTTTGGTTTACAATCTTGATTCAATGGAGTGTTCTCTTATGGTGTCTTATCTCCCTGTTAGGTGTCATGGATTCATCCGTTATGACGTACATGGCTGATGTGGTACAAAAAAGGTAAGAATGCGCTATGTGTTCTTGTCATTGGATGCATTGCCTAACTGCATTACTCCCCGGATTACGGGTACTTCTCACATTTACCTATACGAGTACTACTGCTGTAAAGTGGAAAGCTACGGTTTGCAAATTTTATGTTTCAAGAATTGCACTGGTTCAAAAATTGTCTTAAAAGGTGTATAAGCTCCATTTCACCGGTCCAGTACAAGAAAAGTTTGCAAATTCAATTTATCTCTTCAATTGGACAGTGTAGTGTCCACAATCAGTACACAGAGTAGTTTATGATCTAAATGCATGCATTTAGGTACTATTGAGCAGCAGCAGGGAACAAGTCCATGTGATGATACTCCTCACTAGACATGGTGTGGCAGTGACATTTGCTGGAACAGCCATCATAATTGGAAAAAAAGACAAGAAACAATCTCCAGACAAGGACTTTCTGCTTCACGTGTAACATGGAGAAAGCACATGAAGAACAGTTGTCTGGCTTAGAGTCTTCAACTGTCTTCAACTTTGCATACTTTGATCCCATGTAGATACTAGTATATTATGTATACGGAAATGAGCATCTACACATTGCGGCACACACAAAGATAATGCATACGGACATGGTCTGTACCTTCTTAGAGATATGTGAAGTCCAAGAATGTGAATACTTTTTAAAAATCATTTATAATACACAGGTAGACTCCATCTAATTCGAATACGGTATAATTCGAACATTCCGTGTAATTCGAACTTCTTCGTCGTACCGATCTTCTGCAAGTCACTTCAAGTCAAATTCGAATGCATAATTCGAAGTACGAAAAGTGCGCCCGCTGGATAATTCGAACTCTGTCTTCGTACAGAAGAGCAGTTCACAGTACAGCGACTATGTCCTTCGAGCGCTTATTTCGAATTGAGATGGAGTTGCTCTACTCGTAATTCGAAGTTCATTTTTTTATCTTTCTCTAGTCAAGAGTAACTCAAAAAATGATCCCTGGTCCGCTCCAGGATCGACAAGAGCGTTGAAGAAACCCACCTCTTTGAACAATGACAACTGGAAGTCGTAAAAATTGTCTATGCCTATGCTCCACTTCCGTTCTTCAGAACGACGTGCTGCTCTCCGACGGGTTTCATGATGTAGAGAAGGCAGCGCTGTTCTTTTCCGTTGAAATTGTTTCAGGACAGCTGCAGTGACTGAAAACTGCTTCACTAGAACTTCGTAGAAGATGAAGATTTAATGTCCAATGACTTTGTGTCGATCCAGTGTTTTGATGAAATGAAATGATCCGTGACCGCCCATGTTTCATTACAGTAAATACAATGTGCAAAAATAATTAGCATGCAAGTTCGAGCATTTTGACATACATATCAGTACATGGGACTGCATTTGGATAATTAGAAGTTCGGGATAATTCGAAGTTGGGGCCTGGCAATTGGAGGTTCGAATTAGAGGGATTCTACCTGTATTGCATTGCCGTCTTGTAGAGTACAACCTCACCAATGTTCTTCTGATCGACTGTGTCGACATTGTTGTTTGTGTGTGCTTTCAGACATTCATCCTTATTTGGCAGTAGCTGTGCTATAGTTGATGGGTCCGTATCCCTTGCGTTCTTCATGGGTGAGTGGTTGTGCTGTTATAGTATAATTATAGGTGAGTGGTAGTGATGTTATACTATACAGTCAACACTATCAATAGAAACCTCCGGTATAACAACAACTCATGAATAACGACACTCACACTATCTTCACACCAAGTAACCACTAGACTGCATACTTTCACCTCAGCCTTTGGCACCTCAGTAATTCTTCAGAGTTTTTGTAGGTTGTTGAGTCATAAGTGAGCCTTTATAATCTGGCTCAGCTTCTCACTCGGACGATGACACGCATCTACGCTGCCTTACCGTGTAGCGTGGTATGGATGAGGGCGCAAACAATACTTGTCTGGATCTGGTCCATTTTGGCCTAACTAAAGCATTGGCATATCTGACAATGACCCGTCACCCATGCCTGCAGCTGTGTATTCTGCATTAGCAGTGCAGTGTTTTGAGTTGAGCGACTTGGCGACTTTGCCCTGCCGTGATAGCGTTGTTTTGTACATTGGTTGATCCAAACCTTCCAATAGCACTAGTCCAGTCCGACAAGTGTTTACTCAAACTACTGTTTAGTGATGTCACTAGTCCAGTCCGACAAGTGTTTACTCAAACTACTGTTTAGTGATGTCACTAGTCCAGTCCGACAAGTGTTTACTCAAACTACTGTTTAGTGATGTCACTAGTCCAGTCCGACAAGTGTTTACTCAAACTACTGTTTAGTGATGTCACTAGTCCAGTCCGACAAGTGTTTACTCAAACTACTGTTTAGTGATGTCACTAGTCCAGTCCGACAAGTGTTTACTCAAACTACTGTTTAGTGATGTCACTAGTCCAGTCCGACAAGTGTTTACTTAAACTACTGTTTAGTGATGTCACTAGTCCAGTCCGACAAGTGTTTACTCAAACTACTGTTTAGTGATGTCACTAGTCCAGTCCGACAAGTGTTTACTCAAACTACTGTTTAGTGATGTCACTAGTCCAGTCCGACAAGTGTTTACTCAAACTACTGTTTAGTGATGTCACTAGTCCAGTCCGACAAGTGTTTACTCAAACCACTGTTTAGTGATGTCACTAGTCCAGTCCGACAAGTGTTTCCTCAAATTACTGTTTAGTGATGTCACTAGTCCAATCCGACAAGTGTTTCCTCAAATTACTGTTTAGTGATGTCACTAGTCCAGTCCGACAAGTGTTTACTCAAATTACTGTTTAGTGATGTCACTAGTCACACTCAATCTACCAACAACACATCATTTTCATAATTTTCATTCAATGATTATGTTCTGTGCGTATCCTTGCAGGTCCGCTGGTCAGTAATTTCTTGATAGACAAGCTGCAGTTTAAGTGGTACGTACAGCAATGACACACAGCAATGACCACCATCATGGTGGCGGCATGCTCAGTTTGTTCAAGACTCATGCTGTAGTGCCGATGGTATCGACCAACTACTTCCTCCGCCCAAGCAAAATTTTCGCTTATCTTTACACTTTTTACTGATACATTCCAGGTTCTCAGAATGGCTTATAACGACTCAGAATGAGTTGAGGAGTCGTTGAACATCAAGAGAAACTCTCCAAGTCGAAAAATGTTGAAGTCATCCTTTGTCATCAGCCGACGCAGCACTTGTTGTCGGGTAGTACTTCGTACTTTCCAGAAGCGCAAATATTCTGTATCCACACTTTTCCAAGCGCTTCACCTCCTTCATGAGTACGATCGGTCGTGTTTCTTACCAGCTGAAGCTGACGAGCTCAGCGTCGCTTTGCAGGATTTTTCACGTTGACATCAGGCGAATGAGCTGGGTGAGTGACAACCCTGTCATCGAAACCTTTCTTCTCCCCCTGTTTTGCCCAGCGCCGATTCTGGTTCATTTTGCAGTATGTGGGCGAGCGTCGCTGAGTACGAGTGGCTTTCTCGGCTTCAAGCTCATGTGCATTTTACCGTACACACATCTTGTGCTGGATGCAAACAAACACGCTGGCTTTTCGCAACATGACACCTCTGCTTTGTACTCCAGTGGTGCTCTAGCAGTACCCAGCCACCCACCTTGACCAGTGACTGACTTCGTGTCTTTTTTACCAGTTCACTCGCGTTCAACGCTCTCTACTCTAGGTGTTTCTTTACTCTTTGCCGACTTCGCCAACTTGTTTGGAACTGGTGTGCCTGAACCAGCAGATTTGTGTGATGGTGAAGTGCACAAGATGCAAAAATTGCTGTCAGACACCTGTCATTGGGCTGAAGGAGATAAGCGAAAATTTTGCCTGGGCGGAGGAAGTACGACTAGAGTAAAAAGTATACTTGTGAAACTAAAACTTTCAAGATGTTCGTAAAGAGCCTGAAGTGTGTCCTTTTTCTGAGTATTACAGCTAGAGTGTTGTGTGTTTCTATGGCACTCCTCCATCCTCCAGCAAATTTTCTCTTGTTCTACCTGAGAGAATAATCTCAGAATATGCTGCTAATGATCACCTTGCTTCCTGTCTGAGCCGGTGTATGGCCAGTAGGTACTTGTAGTGGGGATTGACACAACACCATGTACCATGCACACTAGCATATTCTGTATGTAGTGTGTGTGTGTGTGTGTGGCTGCTGTGAATAACACAGTTCCTATAGAAAGACGATGTACTTGACATCATGTGTCTACTGATGTCATCGTGTGTTTGTGTATTTGTATTATGATGTCATCGTGTGTTTGTGTGTTTGTATTATGATGTCATCGTGTGTTTGCATTATGATGTCATCGTGTGTTTGTGTGTTTGTATTATGATTTCATCGTGTGTTTGTGTGTTTGTATTGCAGGGTGTATGTAGGCCTGGGGTGTCTACTACTCATGTTCCTGCCTGGTGTCTATTTCTTGCATCAACTGCCAAATAATCAGACAGGACCCGAGAGTGGAGATACTGAGGTAATTGTAGTTGCTTATTGTCAGTTGAAAGCCTGAAACCCCCAGCAGAACGATCTCATGCAGTGTTGATCAGGGACTCTGTGACATGTGCAAGGATTACATTACATCTGTGCACGTACTGAGTCAGTGACTCATCAATAACCTCTGTGTATACTCAATCTGCGGACAGCATCCTGTTTCGTTCTTTCTGAACTCATCAACGCAGCACAGAGAAAATGAGACCGAACCTGATAGCAATGAAAATAAAATTTCCAAAGCCAGATTTAAACCAGGCCCGAACGTACCTTGCCAGAGTGCTCAAACTGACAAGTCAGTGAGCTCTGCGTAATGCAAACAGTGAAGGCTCTACCCCACACGAGAGTGCTCAACTACTACAAGAGCAGGACCTCTGTATATACATGTATATATTTTATTTTATTTACAGCACTATCTGCACTTCATGGCACATAATGGAAACAGCCAACACAAGGAAATGAGGGTGAAACCAACCACGGACTGAGGGCAAAAATGCAAATTAAAGAGAAGAAAAATAAACGAGAGAGCTTGGAAGCTCAGGGCCCTACGCTATGCTTTTAGTCGAGCGAAAGCGACGCAAACTGAACTCTCTGCTCATTCTGCCAATAGTTTCTCTTGTAAAGACGCTGTACATGAGCTAAACTACCTTCGTCCAGTGGTTTGCAGTCGATACAAACTGTTCTGGACCTGTTCTAAGCATTTTCATATCCATCAAAAATTCATCACGAAGTTTTTGTTAACGGAGGAAGTTTTTGTGGACCCTGGCTAGCTAGCGCCAGACGTTGCTGTACTATCGCCCTGCATGCACTCCCCCGATACACTTCGCATACATATATGCCAGGCCTCTACAGTCTCTCGTTTCTTGGTGCTGACCGCTTTAATGCTACACATAATGCTACTATACATACTCATTCTCTTGATGGTACGATACGGGACAGATACGGGATAGCGCCAGGCGTGACACAAACACACAAACAAACACGAAATTAAAGCTGTGTGGACCCTGGCTAGCGCCAGACGTTACTGAAGTAACTGAAGTAACGTCTTCTGCATAGCTACGGGAATAAATAAGATTGTACTGAGCTCTTTGCGGTAGACCCACATCACGAACATTTACATGCACTACCCAGTGTAAAGCTACAGTATACTTGAGAGTATGTTAGACAATGGTAGCAATCCTGACACCTGAACTAGAATGCACAATGTACTACTACTACTCAGTCTACTAGTGTGCATCTGAAGAGCACGATGCATGTAGCTAGATAGAAAACTGAGTGCATATGCATGTACGTGTACGTATTGTGTGTACTTCCCCTTTGCTGTTGCTATATTTTGATACTGGTGTATTTTTGTGTAACCGTGTGCTTGTGTGGTATGCGACTTGTCTGCACAGGAGCGTGAGCCACTCCTCAGTCCTGATCTCAACCCTGGTGGCCTTGCTAATGCCAGTATCCAGGACTGAACAGAGAACAGAGACTGTATACCAGGTGATATCTAGCTGGAGTATCTACATTGTACATCTACTTATCAATGTCAAGCAACGAGAATCTAGAAGCATTGCTTGGTAAGAGAGTAAGTCAAGATGGCCACTGCCACTGCCAATGCACAAAGACTAAACTAATCTGTAGATTACAGTGTGGAAATTAAGTTACAGATGAAAGTTCGATTCCTTCGTTGAACACCTTGGCAAGCATTGATGAACCATGCCTCTGCACGTGTGGTCATCAAATCCTCCTCCTCATCATCATCATCATCATCCTCCTCATCATCTTCATCATGACTTGAGTGGCAGTAGTGCAGGAGCACAGGACTCGCCATGACTGCTAGTAGTAGAGTATTGAACTGAACACTTCACTTCTACCTAGTCACTAGTCACTTCATTATGTTGTCACTGCTGACGCCACTGATACTGCTACTGCCCGTATCCACTAGTACCAGCTTGATCAGCAGTATGACAGCAGTAACTCTGCTTGACCAGCAGCAACAGCAGCAGCAGCAACAACAGCAGCAACAGCAGCAACAACAACAACAGCAGCAACAACAGCAGCAGCAACAACAACAACAACAGCAGCAACAGCAACAACAGCAGCAACAGCAACCCTACGTATTAGCAACACTAATCAACAGTAGTCACAACAGCTGTATCACCATAGTGATGGCTGCCATAGCAACCACACCTTCGCATACAGTAGTTGTGACAGCAGCCACACCACCGCATCAACGGGATGACATGGCTGGCACTGCTGAACACCGATTTGAAGATGACAAGCTGGTGTCGCACATAGTGACATCCGTTCCTGTGTATTCAGGAACACAACATTGCGTTTGTCCTTGTTCCAGTCCCTTCCCTTCCCTTTCCCGGGGAATGTGTGTGGGTGTGCGGGGGCTGATCATCATCCAGCTCATGACTGCATCCAGCCAGCTATGCTTTACATGCTCTAGATGCTGTACTGCTGCAGCACATACTACCAGGTACTATGCTGAGTAAGCTCAGGTGCTGCCACATGTCGCAGGTTTCAGGAAAGACTGCTTTTTGGATTACCGCTAACTCAACACCTTGATCACTACAAGTGCACACACAATGGACAACCGTGTGTGCAAATGGTTTTGTAGACTCTTGCTGACATGCTTACATGTACCTGAGTTATACGTACCTGATCGGAGTCCTGGATCCCGCGTCCTCACTCACTGTGCAGCACTTGTACCACCGCGTACATTTTATGCTTTTTTATTCTCTAATACTAGTTCTCTGTTATTCATTCTCCGGATATTTTCGCTCAAAAGCACGTGTCTTTGCTGCTAATCAGGCGGTTTGCTGCTGGATCACTTACACACACTGTATATGTGCATGCTTTTCTGGCAATGCTCAAGAAGCCCTGGTAATTATGAGAACGCCTGGTAGTACTCAAGAAACACAGGTGCTCCTCAGGAAACCTTGCAACTGCTCAGTGCACTTATATATTATTTCTGGAGACAGGTGCCAGAATTCATTTTTATTTTTATTCAAATTATAACAGATACCCGATGGAAGTCTTGATATATATTTTTTATACTATTATGAATCTTCTCTGCTCTGAACTGTGTGCCTGCTGGCCTTGAATTGTACACTTTTGAGTTAGCTGGACTGCTTTTAGCCATTTTTCACATGCCGCAAGCACTTTGAACAGTGCTATTTTCATGCAGCATTTACTGAGTTGTTGTTGTTGGTCCAGCACTGTGGGTAGTGGTCCAAGAACTGGTAAAATACAGTCTAACAAGCTTTGAGTCTTAGTTTCATACAACCATAGACTGGTAAAACGTTCCATTCGGTGCACTTGAAGTATCACACACAGCGGATGGGATTTTTGGTCTTTCACCGCTGTGACTTCACCAAATCCGGCAGTGTGTCTGCTCTCCAAATCCGGCAGTGTGCTGCTCTCCAAATCCGGCAGTGTGTCTGCTCTCCAAATCCGGCAGCGTGTCTGCTCTCCAAATCCGGCAGTGTGTCTGCTCTCCAAATCCGGCAGTGTGTCTGCTCTCCAAATCCGGCAGTGTGTCTGCTCTCCAAATCCGGCAGTGTGTCTGCTCTCCAAATCCGGCAGTGTGTCTGCTCTTCAAATCCGGCAGTGTGTCTGCTCTCCAAATCCGGCAGTGTGTCTGCTCTCCAAATCCGGCAGTGTGCTGCTCTCCAAATCCGGCAGTGTGTCTGCTCTCCTTACTTCACTGCTTTAGGAGCTGCACCTCATGAGCACTGGCTGCACTCTGGGTACATCCTTCGGAGCTGCACCTCAGATATTTTGGTCCAGGGAGTAGTAGAATACCATGCATGGTATCTGCAAGCCTTGCTTGATAGACATACTGTCATCGTGAAAACATGTTGTTACGGAATCTCAGCCATTCCGTTCCCCAGGATGCAGGACACAAAGGACAAGACTTGTTTGTTTTACATTATATTATTGACATGACGGAAATGAACACTACACTGAAAGGGACGAACAAGAAGACTGACAACAGGACTTTCGACTACAAAATCGCGCATACTCATATCACACATGCACACGACTAGACGAGACAGTTTGGGGAATGCCATCACACAGGAAAACAGGAACAGGAACAGGAAATCATTTCACAACAATGTTGCAATAGTTATACTGTTAGATTTGTTCTAGAATATTCCGGTCTTTCTTTTGTTTTGATAGTTGTAGTCCAGTGCATTAGTGCTGGTCATGCTTGGTAGGTCGACTGAGACTCATTCATGGCTGTTACATGCATTGTATGCTATAGCCTAGCCGTAGCTGACCACTGTTACGGATGTCCAATCCAGGTCAGTGTCTAGTGTTTGACCATTCATGTCTGAGTGTGTAACCTGAGCACACTCTCTATGTGCATCGTACCATATCCGAGCATGAATAGTTTAGTAATCTACGCACTGTCCTGCCGTGCTCGTTTTCTATATCTTCCGTTGTTCTCATGTTCTTGGAGTTAGTTGTTTTAGTTTACAGTCTTCGTACCTTTCGTAATGTAGGTTCTTTACTGATTGCTGCAGTGCATTTAGTTGGAACATATACCATGTTACTATTCGCTGCTTTGATCCTTGGGGTAAGGGTGATTGGATGTGTTGGTTGATTACATTGCTTGACTGATACATTGCATGTCCCAATCATAGTATTGCCAGTATCACCAGTACAGTAACTGGTGTGGCTTTGTACCATCCCCATGCAGGAGCATGTGAACAGTGCAGAGGCTGCGCCGATCAACTTTGGACCTTCACCATTGGAATCAGTGCATTTTTCGCTACCGGCTGTGAAGTTTCCATTTTAGGGTGAACTTCCCCTTTAGAGTTTATAACATACATACGTATGCCGTACGTGTGCAAATATGGGGTTGCATCCTCTTCACTGAAGTGCACAGAGAGTCAGTCTGTAGCAAAGGATCTCATGATGCCTCCCGGTAGTGCTCAGCGAATCGGCGAGGGACCGATTCGCTGAGCACTACCGGGAGGCTAGGGTGATGGTAACCGATTGGCTGAGCACTACCGGGAGGCTAGGGTGATGGTAACCGATTGGCTGAGCACTACCGGGAGGCTAGGGTGATGGTAACCGATTGGCTGAGCACTACCGGGAGGCTAGGGTGATGGTAACCGATTGGCTGAGCACTACCGGGAGGCTAGGGTGATGGTAGCTGAGCACTACCGGGAGGCTAGGGGGAGGCTAGGGTGGTGGTAGCAAAGGCTCCCTGAGGTTTCCACTATCGTACCCAGCATTGAGCATTGAGCATTGAGAATATTCAAAGTATTCCAACTTTCTGCCACTCCAAAGATTCTCGGTAGGGAGGCTTCCGGCACCACCAATCCATCAAGAAACCTACTTGAAGCCATCGAGATCTGGAAGCGCAAACCAGTAGTCATCGCAATGACAGTTGGCACCTAATTGATTGATCTGGTATCACCAGTGCCATCCGAGTTCGAGGAGCTGGCGCGGGTATCTCTAGTCAGAGTCCAGTGCCACTGCCCAAGAGACAAAATGCATGCTGAAAACCTTGTGAAAATACGAGCCGGTCGGCGGACTGTGCCAGTATGTTTAACTTTTAGATGGATGTGTGACCGCTCCTTTATCCTAAAATACTCCTCATCCGGATGCCCTGGAGACAGAACCGCACCCCACGGGCCTCGCCGGGCACTATACTGTACATGCACCAAGACTGAAACTTGTCAAGATCAGTCCATACCGGCCCTCCCCCTCAGATAGGGAGGGCCCTAATATGCTCAAAAATTTCGCATATTGGCCACTTGCTTCAAATATGCTTCGAAATCACACAAAAGCAGAAAAATATGCTCGAAATATGCTCGAAATATGCGTGAAATATGCGCGAAATATGAACTGATATCAGTGATAATTACCCCCCCCCCCCCCCTCAGGTATGCGAATTCTTTGCTCCTTGTAGCAAAATATGCTACATTTGGTACAATATGCTAGATTTGCTACTGTATGCGACCTTGAGTCGCAGACACTCTCTTCTCGGGTCAAAATTTCGCCCCGTGTTTGGATGAGCATTTTTCCTTCCGGGCTAAGTAAAGTTTGGAAGTGTTCCCTGACCGAGCGTGCCGTGGTAAGTTTCCTTGTCCATTTCCGCAATCTGCCCTATAATTATGCGAATTCCTTTGTAGCAAAATATGCTACATTTGGTACAATATGCTAGATTTGCTACTTTATGCGACCTTGTGTCAAAACACCAAAATATGCGAAAATATGCGCAAGCGTACTTGGGCCCTCCCTACCCTCAGAGGGGGGGGGGGGGGGGGACGGTATGTTCTATCTGTCCCCGGGGAACTTCGCGAAAAAACGGCTAAAAATTCGCAGCATAATTTGCGGCCAATTCTGGCACAATTTGAGGCAAAATAATCATTGTGGGGAATTTGCGACAGGTTTGATAAACTAATCTTACTTGCAAGTGGATTGGCCAATACATGCATCCGGTACACTGTGTGCAATCAAAATTAATAAGCCCTGGCCTTAAGCCTTGTGGGGCTCTTGGTACAATCAAGAGCCTACGGTACATAACCATACTCTTGGTACAATGCATGATTGTACGACCTTTTCCTACTGGGTATAAGCAAGATTATCACATGGCACGTGATTGTTGCCCGTACTCCAGCGAATCAGCACCTTTCGCGCCGCGGGCAATAATATGCGATATTGCCCGCAAAATAATAGTTTATTTGCCCGCAAAAAAATAGTTTATTTCAGTGATCGCGTGACTACGACGACTCTGTAGACTGTATACGACTCTACCACGAGTCGCAGTGTAGCATTGAGACGAAGATGGAATTCTTTTTGGAGATGGACATCCCAGCAATGGACATGGCCTCGGACGTCTGCCGTGTGGTGCTTGCAGGGATCATTTGTTCAGTCATGTTGGCAGCCTGACCGTCGGTAAGCATGTGGATAAGATTCAGTTCTGCTCGAAGTGGTACTGTGATCACAAACAATTATTTGAAATAACACAAATTCAACTCAGCGTCGTGCGTTTTCAAATCCTCGCAAAGTCACTGCCTGTGTGTGGTCTTCATGTGCCACGCAAAACTCTTACCAGGCTCATCTGTCCTCTGCCTTCACCTTTGCTTGAACAACAAACACAACAATTCAGGAATGTTTTGCAATGAAAAATTCAGCTATCTGGAGCTGAAAAAAAGAAGAAAAATTGTCCTCAAAATTACACACCAGGGAGTCGTCAAATACTTGCACTTGTTGCAGTACTGTATTTGACAACTTCCTGATACACATGTAAACATGAAGAAACTCTTTGTGGTAGCACTCTTAATTTTTCAACTGAAATTATGATTCTGCTGTATTTTATTGTCGTTGCCATGTCTATTGCTATGACGATGCGGTGCCGGCACTTTTTTTCTGTCTCCGTCTTTCAGTACTGTATACTCTCTGATGGCCTGTAGCAGACTTTTTGTTAGGGTGTAGGAGAAATATCTTCATTTTTCCTGTTTTGATAATGATAGCACATCAATATACATTGTGGTCATAATGTGTTGGCATTTGGGCTAATTTCAACAGCAGCCCAATGGTCTGCTCTGTGGGCCATGTGATAAATTTGTTATCGCATGGTTGCTGCGGGCCTTATGGCATATTATTGCCCCTCGAGGTTAGCCCTTGGGCCTACGGCCCTCGGGCTAACCTCTCGGGGCAATAATATGCCATAAGGCCCTTGCAACCATGCGATAACATATACGTATAACCTCTCAGTACGTATACAAGTACACTCTTTATCTAATACTAGTTTTGTACTAGTACACTGTATTGGGTTATATAATAGGTACACTCTTGCAGTCAGGGCTTGGTATAACTATAACTTTGTAATGATCTTTTTTGAGGGAATGGAAAAGGCCCTGGGGAAAAGGGGCATCATGGACTGATGGAGTCGTAAAAATACCGTGAGTTTTTGACTCCCTTTGAAACAAAGAAAAATGGTGGCACCTATGTACAGGGGATGGCCCACGCCTGGTATAAAGTACTGTAAACGTAAAAGAGAAAAAAAGAAAAAGTAGTACCAAGAGTGCATAAACTGTTTATGGACTCTTGGTAGTACAGCACACGGGGTCGTAGTAAACAGAGAGAGAGAAGAAGGAAAAGAAAAGAAAGAAAGAGAGGTAAGCAACCCCGCGGCCATGTACATGTACATCAACAGCAGGGAGTCGTAAAATACCGGGAGGCGACACGCCACACATTTCACGATCCGAGGATTGCCGCACTCGACCCGCGAAATTTGAAGCGTGATTGAAACGTCGTCGTCATCTTCTTTTTCTCAATTGTTTTTGCTATATGCTTCGAGGCTATTCTGGATCTCCAGAGCGAAAGCTGGTTGTTTCTAATACGTACCACGCATTACCTTAGGTTGAGCCGTGGCTTTTAATTTTTTTTTGGAAGTTCACTGCTTTGGAGACGACGGAATGTCAAGGTAAGTTATTCACGAAATGTACTCAAATTTGAATGGAGTCAATGCGAATGACACCCTGTTTTCGGAATAGTTCTCCACTAAACACACCATGCCCATGGCCCCTTCATGTTGTCCAAGTTCCATTCTAGGTTTGTGTGAAGTTTCGAGATGAAGTTCGACGATGTACTCACCTTTCCATGGAAGGGAAAAAAAAGTAGCATATCAAACAGAATCCATGCAGTATTTGATGCCACTATCCTCATTCTTCTGCATTCAAAGTGTTTCACATCTATATGGCCCATGAACTGCAAACAATATTTGTCATTTCTTAACTGTTCATAGCTGTTCATAACTGTTCTGAACACATTGCCTTCAGGAAATGTAAGGCCGAGTCGCCTCACCGACTGAGCAAAGTTCTCTGCGACGAAAGTCACACTATCGGCGAATGCACTCAAGGTGAATACCCGTCAATATCCTGTATACTGCTTGTACCGCTTATCACAGTAGCATACACACAAGCACACATACACATACACACACACACACACACACACACACACACACACACACACATGCATGCTCGTGCACACACAAGCGCAAAATTCACATATCACTGGTTCAGTTGTTTTTATCTGTGTGGTATTTTGTCTTATACAGAGCTTCCGAGCCACGCCGAGTCACCTGACCAACTGAAGAAGGTTCTGTGCGACGAAAGTCACACTATCGGCGAATGCACTCAAGGTGAATACCCTGTGGACTGCTTATACCACTTATCACAGAAGCACACACACACACACACACACACACACACACACACACACACACACACACACACACACACACACACAAGCGCAAAATTCACATATCACTGGTTCAGTTGTTTTTATCTGTGACGTATGGTGTCTTATACAGAGCTTCCGAGCCACGCCGGGCCACCTGAATTCTCCAAACAAGGCTGAAGGCTTGTCACGGCATCCTTGCCAAATAAAGGTATAAGCTGCAGCAAGTTGTCGTTGCGACACCTTGCTCCTTCCAGCTCACGCCGCACGGCCACCAAGCACCAACCACCATGGTACTTTTCAGCAAGGTGAGACAAATTGTCAATCACCGGTTCGGGGATGGCTTCAGCAGCTTTGGATGGTGCTATTGACGCTTTCCTGATAGCAGCGGCAGCCGTGGCATGCAGGTAGCTTATCAGATTCGCTAGCACTGCAGATGTAACTTCCAAATCTGAAGAAGAGAAAAGAAAAAGACAACATATAAGGACTGGTGGTTGCAGAGACTGTACTAGTATTCAAAAGCCAGCGTTTGCATACCTAGTCTGCATACCTAGTCAGAAGCCAATTTTTTTCCAACATGCATGCAAAACGCACTGACCTTCACAATTGATTTTCACTTCGGGAATAGCTGTTGCGATGACGGACAGCATTTGTTGCCATGCTTGCGAAATATCAGCACCCTTGCATGCCTTCAGCTGGCACACTTCCTGGCGTAGCAGATTTGCAGTACCTGATGCCTTGTGTAACCGTGTCATAATAACATGCAGGAATGACTCCGTCGCCTCAGTAACACTCGCCTGTCTCATTGTCAGCAGTTTGCAAATTCCATGGATCACTGCACCTTCCATAGGCCTGTACACCATGATGGCACTACCACTCTTACATCGATCTGCACATAGACAAAGTATGGTTTGAGGATGGAGGTTTACATCATCTACGGTGATGATACATACTAGGTACACAAGTAAATTTTCAGGACTTCAATAAATATCCTGTCACAGTGAACAGACAATGCATCGTGGGCAGACTAGGATGAAAAGGATGGTGTCGACCACCTAATTTATCGGGTCAGTTCGGGCACTTAGGTATGCTACAGATTATACATTCGTGTCCACAAGGAAGAGACAAAAACATGCAAACGAAAGAATCTCACCTGTAGCCCACAGCTGAACATCCCCACAACTCAGGTCACCAAGTGAATACGTGGCGTCATCTACATCTTCCACGGTGGACTCATCACTTTGGCAGTCATCTCTGTCAAGCTCCATCATCCTTTACTTCGAAGGCCAAGGCACAAAGTATTATTACTTAGAAAAACAAAACGAACTGCTGACACTGGATTCGTTGTGTGCAGGATAATTTTATTGAGTTTTCAAATTTTTTGGACCAAACAGCGAACGCGTCCTTTTGCATGACCTGCGCCGCTTTGACCTCATGGGAAGTCCCTCGCCATGCAGCGCGTGAGGTCTCAGCACTCGTGCCCGAGCTGAGGCAATCATCCGACGCGGTTGTGCATCTCGTGTCGCCTCCCGGTATTTTACGACTCCCTGATCAACAGTACAGTTTTTGACTCCCTGCTACCGTGATGACGTAATACTATCAAAAACGCAAAACAAAAAAATTAATGTGAAAAGACGTAAGAAAACAGGAAAGACTAGACACAGCTCACACGTGTCATACTCACAGCGCTGCACTGCAGCAGCATGCAGCAAGCCGTCGTCATGCAGTCCCCAGACTCCCCACAAGTGGACAACAAAAACTTGAAAAAGGCATGTGCCAGGAGTGTACACCGTCGTATCTACTCGACAAGAGTCTTGACTTCACTTCACAAGTCTTCAGTTCAGGCTTGGCATGCGGTAGCATCCGGGCATGGCTATGCCTATGGTGCCGCTCCTTTCTGCTGCTGCCCTGAGAGTGAGACGGAACGAATCTGCTGCCACAGTGCTGGCCGCGTGAGCCAAGAAATGTTGCTGTCGTACTTTTTTTCTAACTGAAAGTTCCGTACGAATTTGTCCTCTGTACGCCTACGCTAATCAGTTGAGGTGGTCTCTGTAGTCAAGCTTGTAATTCTTCTTGAGCAAATGGGGCCGAATGGCCTCCCTTCGAGGGGCATGCGCTTGGAGGCTTTCGTGGAGGAAACCCTGGATGATCTGCTGGTAGTGTCTGTGACCGTTGCTGGAAGAAAACTTCAAGGAATCCTATTTGACACAGAGAAAAGGTACACATGTGCATGAACTCAATACCACTCATAATAAAAAAAGATTATCCCCATCCAAGTTCACATCCATAACTTGTCAGTGTGTTGCGTTCGTTATTGCCTTTACCCCGTTCATCTGGTAGGTGGAAATACATGTATTAAAATGAATTGCGGGTAAACTGAAAAATAAAAGTTTGTGGAAACAAAGCTGCTGCTACTACTCCGGTACAAAGAGTGCAGAACCCTTGATGTAGGCACCGTTGCCTTTGAATTTGACTCATCTGTATATTCAATAATTATAATAAAAATAGCGTGCGTAACTCCACAGATCGGTTTGGGAATGCGTATTTTTTCGTTAACGCCTTTGAAAAAAATGTCGAGATACTAATAAAACTGGTATTACCATGATCACATGTCCACGCGATGCAAGATTTACGTCATGGAGCGCGGCTTCTATAGGTTATTTTGCTTATTCACGCTGGCATCAACATGCATGAAACAAGTATTACCTATAACCTTCACTGCCAACGGAAGCGACACAATTACTCAGAACCTGACTGGCAAGAGGGGTAAAATACAAAATAGCAAGGAAAAACTATAAAACAGAGCGAAGCACGGAACGTGGAATTGAAAAACTTAACCAACCTTAGTTGATTTTCTACCTGTGAAATTAAGCCTAACATAAGTGGACGTTTCTGGTATAACCAGTGGATGGGAAACCTGTCCTTTTAAATTGTTGGCTTCCACGGCCCGTCGAAATGACGTAATTGGCGACCCTTCGTTTCCAATCTCATATGCAGAGTTGCTTTGTCCCATGCCGTCATGCTCAGGCTGCTCTGCTCGGATGGCTAGTGTCCACTCCCCTGTCTGGTCACAGTACAAAGCATGAGCAAGGAGAGCAAGGACATGATTGTATGAGCAAGGAGAGCAAGGACATGATTGTACTAGTATGCCTGACTATGATGACTATGATGTGTGTACAAAGCACAACTGGCAAGTGCATGTGACAGGCGCAATGTTGCAGAATTAGAACAGCCACAGCGCTATGCCAAGTTGGACTGGTAGACTGTTAGCCATGGAAGATTATAGGATTAGAACAGGCACAGTCCTATGTATTTGTACTGTTAGTCATGGAAGGGATTGTAGGATTGCTTGTTCTGTTAGCCATGGAGGGGAGAAAAGGATTGCTTGTTCTGTTAGCCATGGAGGGGAGAAAAGGATTGCTTGTTCTGTTAGCCATGGAGGAGAGAAAAGGATTGCTTGTTCTGTTAGTCATGGAGGGGAGAAAAGGATTGCTTGTTCTGTTAGTCATGGAAGAGACTATAGGATTACTTCCTGCACCGCACTGCACCTTGCAACTGATTTCTTGCATCTTCTGCAACTTTTCTATGACCCACGTGTATCATGTCGGCGATTTACGTGAGGATGAGGATTGCCATTCCTTCATGTTCTTCGTCGTATATGCTTGCATCTTTTGATGTGGCATGCTCGCGAAGTCATAGTTTCCACGATTGTGCAACGCTTACTGCCATGATGGCATCGGTGTGAGAATGGTGGCAGAGAATGGTGGCGGAGTAAGAGGAAACTGAGAGAATGGTGGCGGAGTAAGAGGAAACTGAGACACCACGTGGACTATGAGCTACATGCAGAGCTGCCGGTGGACATGATGTGTTGCTTCATTATATACATTCCTGACGAGTAGACGTATATTTTTATTTTGCCGCTGCCGCACTGCCGGTAGGTGTTGAATCATGAGCTGTCTGTAGGTGTGCTGATTGATACGGAGAATGGGCAAAATCGGGAAAATGTAGTACTGCTTCCATCTCTCTCACCAGCACAGTGTGGCTAGTTGAGAACTCTCATGCTCGCCTCAATGTCTATTCTGTTTACGACAGCATTTGGAAAGAAAGTCATCAACCTAGTTTCCCAATATGCTTTATTGCCATACAAGCACGCGTGAAACTAAAGCATTCACCTCAATCATACCAGAGTGCCAGTAATGTCTTATGCCCGAGGCTACGAAGAAGAGATCGTCACTCCATTTTATCTGTTTTATCTTTTGTTTGTTAGACAGTGCCCGTGAAAGAATGGGTTGTATATCTTGTGTCTTTGGGCTTCACATCTATGCACCAAGCTAAATTTAGGATTGTGTATTGCGAATGATTCCTCTCTTTAATTTGTATACTGGTATCTAATCATGTGATGGGCTCTTGCTGCTGGTGTTGCTTTGATTTCCTGTGTGTATTGTGCAGGTCTGGACAAGCTGCTGGAAATGACAGTGCACTTGTAAATGGTGTAGACCGTCAGTCCCTCTCTAGTTCTTCCTCTGTACCGCGCCATACTGCAACAAGCTCTGTTGCACAGAGTACTCAACAAACATCCACAGTGCATGAAGATCGCCTCTCCTCTGCTCACCCCGTTGCTACACTTGGTGACAGGAAGACAAGTCTTGCGGAGCCCGGTGTCAAGCGCAAATCAACGTCTTCTCCATCCAGTAAGCAAAGTCCTGCAAGAAAGCGTCTCTTTGCAAATGATGGTGCAACTAGTCAGTCGGCGACAGTGGACGCATCAAGCACACAGAAATCACCGTCATCTCGTCACACCGTAGTGTTATCTTCTTGTGGTGAAGAAACAGATGGCGATGACTTTGGCTCTACATCTGAAGAAACAGCTGGTTCTCGACCGCAACACCATGCTGTTTCCAGCAAGCGGCCACGTCTGCGTGGTATGGCGCGGCGTGGTCGAGTGTCTCTACTTGCTGTGCAACGACATCAGCAGCCCGGTGACTCGCTGCTAGAAAGAGAGGCGGCCGCGTCCAGCTCTAACGTGAAAGCAGCTGCTAAAACTGGCTGTGTTCGACTGAGAGGAGCTGGACGCGGTAGACCTCCTTTATCTGGCCGTGGACAGCAGCGCAAAGGAGCGGCTTCCAATAGTGCAACACTGCGTTTGCTCAGCAGTGATAGTAGTGATAGTGCTGCCGGTTCAACTCCCACCAAAACCACTTCATCCAGGGGCGGCGGTAGAGTTCGGTTGCGAGGTGGTCGTGGTAGAGGAGCTGCAGCGGCTGCACGTCTAAGTCGTCAGCACGTGTCACGAGGTGCCAGTCTAGCAGCTGCAACATCTAAAGCTGGAAGCAGACCGCCGGTGAGTGATGAGGAAAGCAGTACTGCTCTCTTCAGTGTCCCTGCAAGACAAGCTAACACTGCACCGGCTGTACGTGGCGGTGTACGTCTACGTGGCCGTGGCGGTATGCGTCGACCACCAACACGAGGGTCTCTCTCCTCCTCAAGCAGAACAGGAACAGCAATGGAAGTAAATGATGAAGATGAGGATTTTGCTACAGTGACCATATCACCTTCAACTATAACGAATATCGGCGTAAAAACGAGTACGAGTGAACATGAACATGCTACTGCAAGTGCAAGTAAGAAGTCACATTTGCTCTCCATTGACCTTGCCGGTGCTAATGGCATGAGCAGGCTAAGAGATGCTGAGAGAGATGTGAAGCGAAGATCTGATCAGTCCAGTCCGACTACCGCAGATGCTAACAGCCGCTGCACTACTCCTACTACTTGCCAAAGCGATGATGACGATGAACAACAGCAGCAACAGTCTGCTCGACTTGTGTGTAAGAACAGTCCACTTAGCCGCAGTGCTGCCGCTAGTCTTGTTGCCAGTCATTCTCCTAAACAACGTACACCTATGGCATCTACCTCCTCTCCAGCCTCTGACCTGGAGATGCCATTGTCACCTGTGTTAAGTTTCCACAAGAGTGCTTTCAGGATAGGTGATGTGGTCTGGGCGAAAATGGTCGATGCACCATGGTGGCCTGCAGTTGTAGAGTCAATACGCTCGTCAAACACAGCGTCTGCAGCCATGCAAGATCTCAGCCTTCTATTCCTTGGCCGTAAAGGATCAACACAGACATCTCTACTGCCAACAACGTTAGTTGCACCATTTGTTGCTGGCTTCAAGGCCAAGTTTCTGCCCAAGAAGCGCACGTCTACTTACGTCCGAGCTGTCCAGGAAGCCTGTGAGAGGTGTAACGTTGATCCTCCTCCAGTTCCACAGGCACCAAGCAAACCTGCTTTGTCCCATGGTATGCTACTTGTACAATGCAGTTGCTTGTGTTCTTGATAGCTATATGTTACCCCTTTATCTTCTCTCTCTCTCTCTCTCTCTCTCTCTCTCTCTCTCTCTCTCTCGCTCTCGCTCTCTCTCGCTCTCTCTCGCTCTCGCTCTCGCTCTCTCTCTCTCTCTCTCTCTCTCTCTCTCTCTCTCTCTCTCTCTCTCTCTCTCTCTCTCTCTCTCTCTCTCTCTCTCTCTCTCTCTCTCTCTCTCTCTCTTCCCCCCCCCCATAAGATTACTAAGAAGACTAGAGTGACAATGGAGAGATAATTCACCTCAGCAGATGATCGAGCCAATAGGGATGTACGGATACTGAAGTATATGAATGTTTCGACGGTTTTGTCTTCTTCAGAAGATGCTAATGAGTTACCTGTATCATTATTCTGAAGAACAGGACAACCGTCGAAACGTTAGTATATCAAAACATTAGTATATCAGTACCAATCACTCTAGTCTTGGTCCTGTAGTGTGGTCCGCCTATCCACCGTTGCATTTTGTGAATCTGGCGTGTCATCGTATGCATATCAAGGAACCCATGGACTCGTGCTGCAAGAAACTGAGATACAAAAAAAAACATTCAGGGGCGAATAATTATGTGTGACCTTAAAGGGTCCAATATCTGCCTTCATTCAACAAATCAGTCAGGTCAGTTTGATAGTGTGAGTGTGTATTAAAGAGAGCCAGAGGAAGAGAGGTAGAGGAGTTTGTGGAGGGGGCGGGGGAGGCAGTGGCGAATCCAGTATACTTCCATGGTATGTTCGCATACAGTTAACTTCGCTAATAACGACTGCGGATATAACGACAATTCGCGAATAACGACAGAATTTCCATGCCCAGAGCTAAGTCCCATACCACTGTAATGCATATAATGAGACTTCGGGTATAACGACACTTCGCAAATAAGGACACCTTTTTGATGCCCCGCCGAGTGTCGTTATAAGCGAAGTTGACTGTACATACACACGCACACACACACACACACACACGTGCACATGTCGCTTAGCCTGTTCTTGCATAATGTGTATTGCGTTTTCATTCTTCTTCTCTTCTCTTCTTGTGTGTGTGTTTGTGAAGCTGCCGCCGGTAGTAGTTCAGAGACTAAGTCCGGTCGTGAGGATTCAATCAGCTCGGATCAGACAGCAGATTCATATCTTCTCTCCCCAGTCAAGATTGTTGCTACCAGTAGTGAACCTGATATTGGTTTGTCCGCTCTTGGTACTGCTACTGCTACTGCTACGGCTACTGCAGCTGCTGCTTCTACGGCTACTGGCACTGCTGAAAGCACTGTTGGCGTGACTTGCAACACAGTTGCTAGTGAGCAGGGTGTGGTCAAGGTTGAATCACTGGAATCCGTTACTAGTCTGCAGACACATCCACCGGCATCGCCCTATCACTATTCATCTGCTAATGATAGCAGTTAGCTGGCAACTACCTGAGCTACATCTGCTAATGATAGCAGTTAGCTGGCAACTACCTGAGCTAACGTTACATCTACTAATGATAGCAGTTAGCTGGCAACTACCTGACCTGCATCTACTAATGATAGCAGTTAGCTGGCAACTACCTGACCTGCATCTACTAATGATAGCAGTTAGCTGGCAACTACCTGAGCTACATCTGCTAATGATAGCAGTTAGCTGGCAACTACCTGAGCTAACGTTACATCTACTAATGATCGCAGTTAGCTGGCAACTACCTGACCTGCATCTACTAATGATAGCAGTTAGCTGGCAACTACCTGAGCTGCATCTGCTGGTGCTTCAGGTGTTGTTGCTGCTGCTTATTCTCTCTCTCTCTCTCTCTCTCTCTCTCTCTCTCTCTCTCTCTCTCTCTCTCTCTCTCTCTCTCTCTCTCTCTCTCTCTCTATCTATCTATCTATCTCTCTACCCAGTGCTGCACTTCCCCCTTACACACAGTGCTGTTTAGTCCTGTTGTGTCCTGTGTATGGTCAAGCCTCCACCACTTGCCCTCCTCCCCCGGTGCACACCAGAGAGTTGTATGTAGGGTCTAGTCCACTCACTGGCGCATGCACATGCACATATATACACACACGCACACACACACACACACACACACACACACACACACACACACACACACACACACACACACACACACACACACACACACACACTTGGAAACAGATTTCATAATTTTCGCCTGAGCTTGACACCATTCCCAGTTTTTTTGTAATCTCGCTACTCTAAAACTAGTACACATTTTGTAATGTTCTATATCCATTCTCCAGTCAGCTAGATCAGTTTTGTTTACCTAGTGTTTGTTTACGTTAGCATACCACCCAGCATACTACCCAGCATACCACCCAGACCCTCGTCTTACAGACCAGTGCAGTGTGTAGGATTTTTATTACCTTACTACACAATCATGTAACGTTACATTGGTATTAGCACTTTTTTGTAGCCCTTCATTCTCCTTCACATTGCAACGTCTCGGTTATCATGAAACTCCTGTCATGAAAGGTTTTATACTCTGGTGCATATGGTGTTCAGGTGGTATAGTAGCAGTCCCCAGTGTCTAACACACTGGTTTATGCAGTCTGGTGGTGCGTGGTAATACACTACTACACTGCCATTGTCCTCAGTGTCTGTCACAGTCTGCCTTGCTCAGTTCTTTATGACCAGACAGTGTGCAGTGGCTGCGTGCGTGCGCGCACGCGTTCGTGGGGTGTGTGTATGTGTGTGTGTGTAACAAGTGTTGTGAGGGGAGCTCGAGGCAACCAGACCAAAGAAGCGTCGGCGAGACACGATTGTCGGTGATCTGCGCTCACTGGATATTCCGGAGTCCGAGTGGTACCATCTCGCACAGGATCGCCCGGAATGGCGCAGGCGGGTCCATCAACATCATCTTCCTCTTCCAGCACCGAAGGACTTCCACTGTGCATGCGGCAGAACGTTTAGGAGAAGTGGCGATTTGAAGCGTCACCTTAAGTACTACTCAACTCAGTAGCCTATCATCTCCACTGGAGATGGGGCGTCAAAGGTCAAACGGTGTGTGTATGCACATGTGTGTTGTTGAGTGATTGTTGACCACTCCGCAGAGATATGGATAAGCTAACTTCCTTGGTGGCCCTTTCACTCTCCACCTTGATGCCATTCCGGCCTCGGTGGCCCTTTCACTCTCCACCAGATGGTGACCTTGATGCCATTCCTTGGTGGTTTCACTCTCCACCTTGATGCCATTCCTTGGTGGTTTCACTCTCCACCTTGATGCCATCATCGGTTGACAGTTCGCTGCTCACACCATAATAGATCGATTAGAGCCCTCTCTCGGATTCCCCCGGACACCCTGGATATCCGGGGTAGAAAAAGCCCTCCGTTTCGTACAGTGCACCAGCACTTCTAATGTGCATGCGCACACCGTGTAAAAGACAATGGCTTGAATGCCAGTGACGATGCTGGCATCAGTGACAACAGATAGCGTTGATGCTGCCTCAACTTCGCCTCAAGTAAAAACACCACACCGTGGCATGCTAACTGAGCTGAGGAACAACAAAGTCAGTGAGGGGTGGCCGGGCTGAAAATAACACTGCTTTCACTACATCGGTAATTGCCGCAAGAAATGATACCATCGCTATGATGGCCTGTTTTGCGCGCGCAGCAGTAGTTTAGCCACCATGTTCAGGTGAGCGCATACATGCAAATTTTCTGAGCATATCTTTACACGTGGGACAAAAAGAACTTGATTTGCCTTTGGTACCGTAGTGACGTCATGACGCACATAAAGCTAAAGGCCCATGCTCTTATGAGTGAGGTTTTGCGGTTTTGCTCATGATACCGGTATTTTGCGGGTCGTTTTGTCTCGCAAATGATTGGCGCATATAGAATTCCTCGGAATCGAGGTCAACTCAGTGCACATGATCTTCACTTACCCCAACAGGAAGCTCAATCACCTCCAGCACGAGTGTCGGCGAATTGCCAACAAGGTGACAGCCTCTCTCCCGTAACTGCGCTGCCTTGTGGGAAAGATCTAGGACTGCAGCAAAGCATGCGCATGAGTTGCTAGTGTACTGGTACATGTACCTTGTACAGTCGTCCCTCTCTAATCCGGCACCTTTTGCAACGGCATTTTCTGCTGGATAAACAAGGGTGCTGGATTATCAAATCCTGCCCTCCAACCCAGCCCACCTGTTGACATACATGTTTGTGTCGTACATCAAAACGTAGGGATTTTCTGTGTCAATCCAAGTACTTTGTGGAATGCATGTCTTCAACATACACTTGGGAATATCCTATGCACTGGCATGGGATATTCCCAAGTGTATGTTACATGTGTTGTGTATGTTACAATGCTCCCTGACGGTATGCGATGTACAACTGCTGGATTAGAAAATCAAACAGTTTGAGTGATTTGTTGCAGAAAATCGCTGCTGGAGGCGGAATTCAAGTGCCGGATTAGAGCGTAGAAAATGAACTGAAAAAATCCGTTTTGCCAGAAAGTGTGCTGGATAAACAAGTGCCGGATTAGAGAGGGACGACTGTATAATTAATTATGCAAATAGTGCGATACCGCACTGCACATTAAACTGTGTGACCATGGTGTTTTAGTGGTGTCTGTGTGTCGCGGGATGGAATTTCTATTAGGTTCACTTATAAGCCCATGCGGTTATTTGTGAGGGTGCGCTTATGCCCAGATATAGGCACATGCGCTTCCCGTAAAGTCGCGTATTAAAGCCGGGCTTATTCCTGTAGAAGCCGATGTCAGGGCCAGGCTTATATTCACATCAAGCTTCTATTCAAACCAGGGACTTCTATGTGTTAACACTGAAACCAGGCTTATGTGCCGACAGTGTATCTTGAAAATCAGGCTTCTATATGAGATAGGCTCTAATACAAGCCACTGCGGTAAATGCGTGTCACCACGGTGTGTATTGCGTGTCACCACGGTGTGTATTGTGTGGATGCTGCTACATCTACATGATACATACCAGCACTGCAGGCCAAGAGTACACACGTACTGTTGTCGTGTTGATACTGGTGCAGCCGCTCTAACACCATGCAGCTATGCACTGATCAAGGTATGCTGATGATGTACAGTTGTCACTGCCTGCTGATCATAATAAGAACACTAGTAACCCTAGCTGTCTTGATATCAATCTGCTCTGCTATTGTCGGCAGGGAACCAGTCAACCTGGCTTCACAACATACCCTAATCGGTCTGTAGATGGCCAGTCTTCACAACTCATGTATAATATCCACAATCACAGGATGCCATCTGTGGATGATGTATGGTTGCAGTTCTGGTGGACAATTACAGTCACATTAAGCTCAATTTGCAACATCACAGCGGTAAGTATGCATTGAATTTCAATGATGATGCTCTAATGTTAGGATCAGGGAGTAGTAAATACTATTTTACTACTCCCTGGTTAGGATCCCTGGTTAGGTTGCCGGATAAAATAGGATGGTGAGAAAAAAATCTGAACGCCTTTGTAGAATTACATTTTTGCAAGTACAGGACCAGTCTTTTATTTCATTTATGCAACTTGATTTTGGGCTGCCACAAAGAATGGTACAGCGGTACATCCCAGGACAGCGGGGTAAAAGACTTTTCCAATAGTGTACTGTGCAGTTGGAGTCTTTGGTACCCGGCCTGAAAAAGGTGTACCCCTGCTGAGGCCTGCTCCCCTTCCCCCCCCCCCCCCCCCGCCACACACACACACACAAACTCATCAAGCAGCTGGTTTTAGCCAACGGGAAAACAGGACGGTCTATAACCGCTGGGGCTGGTTCATATGTTGGACCAGCCAGTCTACTAGTCGAGCACAGTCCATTTTTTTTCTTTCTTTCTGATTTCCCTCTATGGCTGTGTTTACATGAGGCGTTTCAACCCGGGTTGAGTTCGACCCGGGTCAGATTTCAACCCGCCATGTACACAAAATGAATGGCGCGTTTACATGACGCATTGCGCTTGACCCGGGTTGAAATTTCGCCCCGGGTTGATTTCAACCCTCCCCCCAAGGGGAGAGTTGAAATCAACCCGGGTTAAGAAAATCGTACAAACGTACTTCTGTGCGTATCTCGCGCCAGGTTTGAACAGCACTGCATATGCAAATTTCGCGCGAACGGATTCACGTGACCATACAGGACTCTAGAAGTGGACTTTTGGCGGCATGTCAGTATTCGACCCGGGTCAACCGTCTTCATGTAAACGCTCACCTATTTTGTCTATCGTACAGACTTTCAACCCGGGCTGAACTCGACCCGGATTGAAATGTCTCATGTAAACACAGCCTATCTTGTCTTATTGTCCGCTAACTCCAATGCAGCCACTTACACATGTATGAAACTTCGCCCATCAGCTCCGTCTCGTTACTGCGAATCAAATCAATTTATATTCCACCAAATGTTCAGACCTGGCCCATGATCAGGACGAATAGATAACTCTATCTCTATCTTGTATTCAAGCTGAGTCTCAGCCGAGTCGCAAGTTCAAATGATGCGTGCATACATGTAACTCTTGTACAGGTTCACACGGGCCTATGCTTTTAAATGCCATTATTATAATAGACCTACGCAAAACTTGCACAGGATGTTTCCCCACCAGAAAGACATGTTTCCATTGGTGGGGCTTGCGCACTTTGGGCATTATAATCTTTACAGCTGAAATGACCAGAGATGTGCAATGACGAAAGTTGCTCTCAAAAGTGTACAGTAACTGCCGGTAGTAAGAACATCTTCTGTCCAGTAGAGTTAACCTCTCGGCCTGTCCGAGCACCTCGGGATCATGCTAAGGGACATCTCCTGTCCAGTAGTCTCAACCTGTCCGAGCACCTCGGGATCATGCAAAGGGATATCTCCTGTCCGAGCACCTCGGGATCATGCAAAGGATGCCAGCATGATCTCAGAATAATCATGTTGTCTGTAGGGTGCTGGTTGAGGGGGTATGAGGATCTGGTTCTACAGCATGGCACAATGTTGTTATTTTATGAAAGCACCAGCACCACTGGACAAAGAATGCTCAGCTTTCGTCCGTATGGTATTTTTAAGTAAGGAAAAAGGTGGGAACAGTTAGTGACACTGTGACTCAATCTTCTCCTTGATGTGTATGCACCGTACATTAATGTGCATACCTTTTTCTTTCTTCTTCTTCTTTACACTCAGACACAGGTCGATTGAGGATCGTATATCACACATTGCTTCCGGTCTGGATGTGGAAAGAAAAACCAAGACTCGGCCAGACCTGACACATCACCGACGTCTATGTCTGCTCAGTGCCTTGAGCAACCCACTGGTATGGCCTAATGACGTTTTAAACTTATTATGCAACTCCTTTGACCAGCAGCAAAGTAATGATACAATGGATTTAAAAATCTCAAAATAGGAATAATAAAATGCCAAGAAACAAACAAAATAAGTACCTACTAAATGGCAACAAAATGCGATTAGTAAAAGTCATCCATGATGGTGACCACTGGCTGAAATATTGGTTTCTATATTTTTCCTCGAATGCAGTGAAGAGACCTGTTGAAGGTAGTTTTCGTGATTGCAGAAATAGTATAATCAGTCCACAAAAATAGGAAGAAGAGCAATAGGGAGTAGTAGGAAGTTCTGTGATATAATAGAGAACTAGAAAGAGACGCCATGGCCATGGAATATGAACAATGAACAACTAAAACTAGATAAGGTCTAAGACAAATAAAACGGCAATAACAAGCAAACCCTACAAAGCGTATTGCACGCGCAAAGTCACGCAAAGTTGTCTACACTAGTACACTACATGTCAACAGAATGTGCACTGCTACTTCCAAGTACACACTCTACTAATCTGTATAGTGTACTAGTGTACGGTGAAGTATGGAAAAAAGTAAGTACACATGCGGGCAGCCAACACACAGTATACACACACACACACACACACACACACACACACACACACACACACACACACACTCACACACACACACACACACACACACACACACACACACACACACACACACACACACACACACACACACACACACACACACTCAGTCACACCGATGACTGCTTGCATGAATCATGGCAATAATAGTGCATTCATTGCCCAGTGTGTGAGCGAACAATTGAAAACAACAGCATACATGACTGTACATGATACGGTACTTGTAATTGCTATCCCTTTGCCATGCTGCTTTTCATTTGGCACATGTGGCAATAGCATGTGCGCATACATGTGCACACACGTACATACTTGGACACACACATACATGTACACACACACACACACACACACGGACAGACACAGACACACATACATGTACACACACACACACACATGGACACACACACACACATAATGCTTATGACTGTCACTGTGTATGTTCATATAGCAGAGTGACGTCGCTGCCATCATGCTTGAGAGGCAAGTCTTTCTTAGTAGGCCCGTGCAGTACACCTAGACGTGCTGCACCAACCGCAGACGTGCCAGTCAGGAATAGCAGGCGGAATTCTGACACAACTGGTGACGTGTCTTCAGAGGGATACAGTCCTTTCAAGAATCCTGCTCACAATCACAATCACATATACATAATACACACTTACACACTTACATGTACACAGTGCTATGAAGTATAAACTGCTGCTGAAAACTTGATTAATGATGACGATGGAAGTTCATCGACGGTGAACAAGTACAAGTACATGTACAACCATATGCAACCAACACCACACCATGTAAAATAGACTGACCGCATATTGATGATGTGCGTATATAATATGCACACATCTCTAGGGCAAAATGGGTTTGCACTGTTAAGATCCGCAAAGCACCTATTCATCGAGCAAAACATGTACGGATGACATGGCAATTATTACATTATGCACGCGCTACGTGATCTACATTGTACACCAATGGGGATGACATGGAACAACTTTTTCTTTTAGAGAATACAATCTGTGTCAGGTTTGAGGAAAAAGAAAATTAGACTTGGTATCAACTATTTCTCAAAGCAGCCCCTCACCACTCACCTGCTTTCAACAAAGGCCAGCTTTTGAACACTGATCCAACACATACAATGTTCAACCCTCCAGCAGCAGATAGCAAAGACTGTGCACAGAGAACAAGACACATACAAACACACACGCACATACGCACACAAAATCAGGTCACAGGTCACCTACAGCCACAGCTTTCATGCCTACTTCACTGTCTTCAGCTTGTCAGACATGCACTACAACACATACACATTGATGTCCAGCAGCAGCGGTGGCGGCAGCGGCAACACCACAAGGCAATAACTCCTGGACTGAATACACGCTATAGCGGCACAGACATGATCAGACATCACATGATGAGAGTCTTACTGGATGCGCATGGCGAGCAACTGCACGGACATGTTTGCCAAGATACCAGCCAGCTTGTTGGAAGATATGCTGAACTACAGGATCATCAGAACCCTCTGTAGTACACACAACACACAACAACATTACAATACTGGTGGACTACAAGATCATCAGAACCCTCTGTACACACAACACAAAGTACACAACATAACACAATACTGCTTGCTGGTGAACATATACAGTATGGATACAGTGGGTATGTAGTAGAGAACATGACAAAGACCAGCGCACATGTACCAACAACTGTACTGTTGTATGAAGGTATGAACACATGCAAACTGGATATAATATATATATCAGCTGGCACAGCTGTAAACAGACTCTGTCAGTCTTGTTTCAACTAAAGACTAAGTACTGCAGTTCAGGTTTCACCGTACACATGTACTTGACATGGCATATCTGTGAAGTGTGAATGAGGAGGTATTGTCAAATCAAGCCAATAGCCGTGCAGTGCAGGCATGAACACCGCCGGTACATTAGCCAATAACCGTGCAGTGCAGGCATGAATACCGCCGGTACATTAGCCGAAGCAATAGACTGTACCTGTTGCCATGATTTTGCAAAGTTGAGCAAACTTTGGTTTCTTGAAATCATCGTACAGGTGAGGGAGAATACCGAAACCATTCTCCATCTGAGTGTTATTCCAGGCACACACACATGCATGCACACACACATGCATGCACACACACATGCATGCACACGCAGCACACACAGATAAAGAACAGAGGTGAGAGAAAGAGAAAAAGAGAAAGTGAGTGAGAGAGAGAGAGAGAGAGAGAGAGAGAGAGAGAGCAAGCAGGTAGACAGGTGTAAGGAGTACCCATGTACAAGATTGGCTTGTGCTGTCAGTTGCTACTGTAGCCGGTGGTACTAACAGCTTCCACAACAGAAGCTCATCCACACAGTATAGTAAGCACATGAATACATGTACCACAGACCACAGTACTGCATGGTATGTACTGTGCACCATGGCTATACAATTCAAGACAGTATGCTGCGGTTGTAGTCTATTTGAGTAGTTGAGTATTCACGGCCAGTGCTTCAGTGGTGTTCGTTCTTGGATGGAGTAAACCTGAGCTGCCATACCATGGCCAGAGCATACATGTACAACCTGTAGCACTGGTACAAAGAAATACTCTGGGCTGCAGCCAGTACAGTGTACAGCCAGCAAGTAAAGCCGTACACACACACATTGTACAACCAGCAAGAACAGCCGTACATGTACCTCAAAGAAGGAGTAGACTTTGTTCTTCAACCAAGTGATGTCAGCCGGTGCTTCTGTAAGTCCATCTTGATGCTGGAAGACAATTCTTACTGCTTGGTTTGCAATCCACCATGCTATCCGTGAAGCAAAGAGAGGCCAACAGCACATACAGGTTACATGACATCCATGATGCATGAATTGATCATCTGTGAGTTGCATTTTCAACTGAACTACACTACAATAAACTGGGTTGCAACCTGACTGTTGTACATGATTGTACTACTAAAGGACCAGTGCTGACTATACTACTGTAGTACTGAATGACCAGTGGTGACTATACTACTGTAGTACTGAATGACCAATGCTGACTATACTACTGTAGTACTGAATGACCAGTGGTGACTATACTACTGTAGTACTGAATGACCAGTGGTGACTATACTACTGTAGTACTGAATGACCAATGCTGACTATACTACTGTAGTACTGAATGACCAGTGGTGACTATACTACTGTAGTACTGAATGACCAGTGGTGACTATACTACTGTAGTACTGAATGACCAGTGCTGACTATACTACTGTAGTACTGAATGACCAGTGGTGACTATACTACTGTAGTACTGAATGACCAGTGGTGACTATACTACTGTAGTACTGAATGACCAATGCTGACTATACTACTGTAGTACTGAATGACCAGTGGTGACTATACTACTGTAGTACTGAATGACCAGTGGTGACTATACTACTGTAGTACTGAATGACCAGTGGTGACTATACTACTGTAGTACTGAATGACCAGTGGTGACTATACTACTGTAGTACTGAATGACCAGTGGTGACTATACTACTGTAGTACTGAATGACCAGTGGTGACTATACTACTGTAGTACTGAATGACCAATGCTGACTATACTACTGTAGTACTGAATGACCAGTGGTGACTATACTACTGTAGTACTGAATGACCAGTGGTGACTATACTACTGTAGTACTGAATGACCAATGCTGACTATACTACTGTAGTACTGAATGACCAATGGTGAAGTATATACAATAAATGTAGAGGCTACTACATTTATTATACATATGTTGACCTGCACTTTCCCTAATTTGAGCCAATAAATACTGTTTATCTCTTAATTTGCTAAATCCTATATATAGGATTTTGGTCATATTTTTCAACTCAAAATGGGTGTGGCATGAGCATAGGGAAACGTATGTGACCAATTCTTCCGCGTTAGGTCTTAGTCGATATGGAGAGTTGAATAAGATATACTTTTCAAATACTGACATCTAAGGCTCATCTCCTTGCGCAATATTTCTAAGGCCTGTGCCCTATTTTTCGAATCCTATATACCGTACTGGCAATATATGTTGCCGCGTAACGCGTAACGCAGGGGGGTGCGGCGTAACGCGCGACCAGGCTAGTGCGACAAATTTTCGTTGAGTTCGTAACGCGCGTCCGGCGGGGTGCGGCGATCTTTTCATTGCAGTTTGCACTGCACAAGAAAAATGATGCGGCAAAAGCAAAAAAATGATGCGGCAATAGCAAAAAAAGTGATGCGGCAATAGCAAAAAAAGGACTGCGGCAATATAGAAACCTGTGTAACGGCTCCTGTGCGACTTTGCATGTAACGCCCTGCGTGCGGCAAACATGTGCCAATGTAACGCTTCATGGCCTCACTGCGGCAACATATATTGCCAGTACGGTATAGGATTTGAGATTTTACTGGACCTTGTTTTATCCTTAGAATTGGTAGTTTCACGACGGCATGTGCGATATGTCGTCATGAAACCACCCCGTGCCACACCTGTAATGTTCTTTTGCACATTCACTGCTCCAGTCCTTCCCATGACACGAGCTGAACAATGCTGCTCAAAATTCCAATTCTTGCTCAAAATGGGTATTCATGATGTCCTATGAATCTAAAAAGTAAACATTCATGCCTCAAACATATTTACAGCTTCTAATAAAACCATTATGCTCTTATTATGGGTCATGAATGACTTATGATGACCAATAGCAACGGCATAAAGGTCGCGCATTTTCAAATCCTATATATAGGACTTTTTGCCAGCAAATTAGGAGATAAAATACTCCTTTTTAGGGAAAAGTGCAGTGCTGCATGGAAAAATGCAGTGGCATTTATTGAGTCAACGCAAATTAATTTGAATTTGATACTGTTGATGGTGTGGTCACAAATGAGTGTGGGTATTATCAAAGGTCACTATATTGTACTATTGAATAATCAGTGTTGACTGTACTATTGAATAATCAGTGTTGACTGTACTATTGAATAATCAGTGTTGACTGTACTATTGAATAATCAGTGTTGACTGTACTATTGAATAATCAGTGTTGACTGTACTATTGAATAATCAGTGTTGACTGTACTATTGAATAATCAGTGTTGACTGTACTATTGAATAATCAGTGTTGACTGTACTATTGAATAATCAGTGTTGACTGTACTATTGAATAATCAGTGTTGACTGTACTATTGAATAATCAGTAGGGGTCAAACGGGTGTACCTTTAACTAACGAATGGGTAATTTTCTTAACGGGCGGGTTAACGGGTACCCTTTAGCAGCCATGTTTAATTTTTGCGCAAATTTCCCATGAATCAAGATTTTGATTCATCTGTTCTCGGGTTGCATTTTGATATCACATTGTGATTCGCAAATCGATTGGTGTCTGATAGTCGCAGGAGTAGATCTACTAGGTGCGAAAATGCAACAACAATGCAGACATCCAGCGTGGAGTTGTAAATAATTGACTCCCGCCTGGAATACACGATCCCAGCAGTGTTGCTCCGTACCGACTGGTTCATCAAAATCCAAACGGGTACCCTTTTACTAACGGTACCTGAGATTAACGGTCGGGTACCCGGTACACTCCTTTGATCCCTAATAATCAGTGCTGACTGTAGCTGACTGTAGCTGACTGCAGCTGACTGTACTATTGAATGATCAGTGCTGACTATAGCTGACTGTAGCTGACTGTACATGACGTACCAGTACAGGGGTAGTACATGTAAATGAACTGGACGTACCAGTACAGGGGTAGTACATGTAAATGAACTGGATGAGTAACTTACCAGATCCTTCGTCACCAATAGAATGGCCCCATCCACCGCAGTTATGCGTTGAAGAATCTGGGTTGATAAGTAAGCAATTGCTTCCAGTGCCAGCAATCAGTACAACGCCAGCTGTGGTAAAAGCACAGCCACACGTCACAGACAACACATCATAGAGAGCAGTGCAACAAACATTCGAAACAGACATTCAACAAATATGTGCTCTGTTTGTGCTCTTCACAAAATCTTCCTAGCCACCATCAGTCCAGACAGAAACCATCAATGACCACTTGCTTACAGCTCAGAAAGACCCATGTTTCCATGGAATACCAGACCAGAAGGTTGTACAGGTACATGTATTGTGCTGTATAAACATGGCATATGCCTTGAACCAGGTGTGTTTCTGCACGTGCTTACACCACAGATGTTAACTAAAGCGAGTGATACTTTGGTGAATACTGACTGCACTATGAGTATTTTTTGAAAGATGTTCTTGTGCCGAATCTTACCAGCATCACATGCAGATGCCAAAGCTCCAAAAGTGTCAGTACACACGTCATAGCTATCACTAAGTGTGGGGTATGTTGATGTTAGTGTAGACGCTATCTTCTCCTTTACATCAGCTTTCTCCGCACCACTCAAGGATAGACCCTGATACACACAAGAATTCACAAGCATCACAAAAAAACAACAACAACCAAAACAAACTACACACGCAAAGCATTGTTCGATTTTCGAATCCTGCAAGTCATTGCACTACTTGTACCTGGATTAGGGTGTGTTCGATTTGTCGAATCCAGATGAGAATTCAACGGATTCAGATCCAACCAATCCACCTGAACAAGGACGGCTTGGATTACACAGTATCACAGAGTATTACAAAGTATCACAGAGTATCACACGGTATCACAGAGTACCACGGAGTATCACATGGTATCACACAGTATTACCAAGAGTACATACCCCCCCCCCCCCCCCAAGAGTGTGCAACTCCCACATACCCTGCTGTCCTGTCAGGATTTCAAGTTGACATCATTTCTATGATGCAATGGGTCTTGTTCACGTTTTCCAGACGTCCACTCAAGGGTCTCCGCGCTTGTTCCTGAGTACAAGCCAGGTAGTCGTACAAGAGGGATATCCGGATCAATGGGTTTGTACGACAAGCACAGTTGACATGTTACAATTTGCTGTACGACTTTCGCCGTTACACTATTCCCGGTCGTGGAAACGGGGAGCTTTTCATCTTGAAGTTCTCTACAAAGTGTCTGAGGTCCTTCCTGCAAATAGTGCTCAATACCCTAACAAGGGCAGAGGGTATTACACAAGGCAGAGCAACAGAGACCAATAACTTTCTCATGATTGCTAGTTTTGTGTTAAAAAACAAAAAAACCCACTGATGAGTGTTTTTTGAAAACGAAACTCGGATCCACGAGAAAGTTATTGGCCTCTGTTGTTCTGCCTTGCGTAGAAGTTATCTAGATAAACGTCGCATAAAGAAGACAACAATCCGTTTGGTTTGCGATGCAAAATAAAACTTCAAACAAACAAAAGAGAAAGCTACCCAAGCAAATGACCGGCCATACGGTGAAATTCTTTCGAAAGTACCGCATGCGGGCTCTCGCCAGAATCGTCCGATCTATCGTACAACTACCACAAGGTCAAATGTCATTATAGATCTTGAACAACTCCGCGAATGCGTTGAGGTCCAATGTCGACGTCTCAAAAGACGCGAACAACTCCAATTACATCATAAAAAATGACGTCAACTTGAAATTCTGATGGGATAGCACTCATAGTCGAGTTGCACACTCTGGGGGGGGGGGGGGGGGGGTACGCACTCTTGGTATTACAGAGTATCCAGCATCCAACGCTATGCCACAGTGTTGCACGGTACTGTATGACATCGTATCACACGGTATCACAGAGTATCACATACCACTGACTGCAATGGCTGATCAAGATCTAGGCCTGCACTGCGCTTGGCTGCAGTGATCATATCATTGATGCGCTTGCAGCATTCTTCTATGCCAATTAACTATAGTCAGTAATCACAAAAAAACACACATGCGCGTGCACGCACACGCACATGTACGCATACACCACACACACACACACACACACACAATGCACACATGCACACACACAATTATCAGTTGATATGGGACTCTTGTTACTACACAATTTATCTCCTCATGCATGTACACAATCTCCAGGGATGGGGGATATGCATGTATGATGACCATGCGGCGTCCATATTTTTTCCAACAGTACATTGATACACTGTGCTGTAAAAGAAGCCCGGAAATACATTCATTTTGAATCTAATTGTTGCACCTGCACTAGCTTTGGGGCGCAAACTAACTTTTGGACTCGACTTGTGTCAAGCCGTTTTTCTCCTGTGCCCGCCATACCATACACATGTACATGCTGATCTGCATGCCCGAACTGTACCTGTACTCATTCCGTGCAGTATGTTGATTGGATTAACCTTGTCATGATCAGATCAGTGCTACGCAGAGTACTGTGGCCACGCGAGACGGTCTGCAATTTGTATTTCACAGGCGACCGCATTTTCAAGCGTCCGCGCATACTAACATGTACACAAAATCAATGGGGCTGTGACGAGCTGTTCTCATCTTACAGGTGTCCGTAAGGACAGATTTAAGAGATACAGTAGTAGTACGTTCATTGCCTTCTCATCAGGTGGAACACAGGCAAGAAGAATCTCATCAAGCACACTGAATATCAGATGATAGTGGTGTGATGGCCAAGTGCACAAAGAAGATGCAGTGCTGCCAAATAATTTTCGCCCAAAATCGGACACCCTTCACCGCCAAGGGTGGCCACATGGTGCGAATTTTTCTCCTCGGCAATTTTTTACAGAGAATTCAAAATATCGCCTAAAACACCATGAAAATTCGCTTCGTTGCCATGGTAACCCCGGAGTTGTCATGAATTTTGTAATGATGAGTGTGGTCGCACACTGACTCTGTACAGACCGTCAGCGTACATGCCATCCATGATCCAGCCTGATCCAGGCATGTTACTTTGCACTTCCACAGCCAAGCGCTAGCCTTTTAGAAGCAAATGTACAGTGATTTGTGCCTTCAGTTACGCTGAAAAGTGAAAGTGCAGGACTTCTGCATAGGAAAGTAATGATCTCCGACATTTTGGCTGCTTTTCGGACGTTTCCCTTTTCGGACCGGTTTTCGGAAGAGCCTTCAAAAATCGGACACTGTCCGAAAAATCGGACGGTTTGGCAGCACTGAAGATGTCAATAACTCGTTGGTCTTGTCCCTTGGTTGTCTGTTGTTGTCGCAGTACATTGTGCGCTTGTTTGTTTTCTACACACTTACCCCTTTGTAGTGGACGGACTTTCTCTGTCCACCCTGCACTCACTCGTTGCGCACACGTCCGCACACTCACTCATACGTGTACACCACTATTGAACACGTGAACATTGCCAGTGGGGGCCACCACAGCACAGCGCCCCAACTTATTGTTTTTGCACACAATTCCGTGGTCATGACTATACAGAACCATTGCCTAGTCTAACAAAAACTCCAGCTACGTACAACCAGAAAACCACGCCCGACCATTATGCATCCGCACACTCTAGAACAATCAAATCACTAGAATAATCAAAGCGATATGTGATATTTCTTGTCAATCCTTCTACCGGTTGGCAAATGAAAAGCAATCCCTGGACTTAACGTACGAATGCCGCGGAGCTAAAACGAATCCTAGCGAGTAGTTTACATGTCCCTGGCGTGGGAGCAAAGCATGAAGATCACTTTGATGACAATCTCTCTCTGGTCATGCGTATGTGCATGCATTGTTGTACTGTAAGCTTCCGGAACTCCTCATGTTCATATTGTACTTGCAAGGTACAGCATGACACGTACCGTACAGCTGTTGTACATTGCATGCATGCACTGTGTATGCTTTGAAGGTTGGTGCGGTCGCGTGCTGTTTTGGTGCTGCGAGAGCTCCTGGGGTCAGGTTTGACTTGCGACCACTGGATGTGCACGAGGATATACATGTTACCAAGAGTACATGAAAACCAGAGTGTGCAGCTTGGCGCCTTTTCTGCTATGGATGTCTGTCACGGCGGAATTCCGTGATTACATTATATTTGGCGCAGATCTGAGGCGGGAAATGGCGTAGTGCGTACAACTGAGCTGCAGTTGTGCAGAAAGAGACCTGCTTGAATCCTGCTTGTACGCACTACATCACTAAAATGATGTAATCACGGAATTCCGCCGTGACAGCAACCCATCCGAGCTGCACACTCTGGTTTTCATGTACTCTTGATGTTACTGTTTCGTTTCTGGCGACTCTTCCTTGTGCTGTTGCTACCACATCACTATCGTATCAACTTCATTGTGCTTCGTCAGATTCTATTTTTTTTACCTGTATTCCACCTGACGACAAGGCAGTGAATGTACCAGTGGAACAGTTTTGAAGATGTTGATTGTGAGGAGCCTCAGCTGCTTGTTCTTTTCTTGAGTTTGATTGCATTTCTTGTCTCCAAGAAAACTGCTTACGAATATCAAAATAATTATAAAAACAAGCGTTTCGGAGACAGCAGCTTCAATACAGCCACAAGGATGACTGATTCAATACAGCCACAAGGATGACTGATTTACAGCCACAAGGATGACTGATTTACAGCCACAAGGATGACTGATTCAATACAGCCACAAGGATGACTGATTCAATACAGCCACAAGGATGACTGATTTAGCTGTAAGCATTTCCTATTTGTAGACATGCATGAGTATAATGAAACAACGAAGATTATAGGGCACGCAACCCGTTGTATACATGTAGTATAATCACCCTTTTGTTTCTCTCCTTTTTTTCCCCTTACCAGTATTTCACTTTTATTTGTCCATTATAAGATTTGTTTCAAGTACTGTAAAAGCAGAAATTTTCGGTGGTGTAATATTTTCGGTATTCGCCAAAATCGGCGGTTCGGTAGCGGGAAATTTTCGGTAAAACCCGTTCTCCAGGTAGGTGTACTAGTACTGTACATGTATACGTAGTATCGAGTGTACCGACAATTTCGGTGCGTTTTATTTTCGGTAAAAATTGTCGGCACCGAAGTTACCGAAAATAAAACACCACCGAAAATTTCTGCTTTTACAGTAGTCCCCAATCATTGTTGCTTAGATTCACTGATGATCGTAACAAGAGAACAGTTCTGAACTAATCATTTCGTTCTTTCTCGTTGTGTGCCCTATTATGATCATTGTTACACTATACTCATGCATGTCCACAAATTGGAATTGCTTACATCTAAATCAGTCCTCCTTGTGGCTGTAATAATTATATCGTTATTATTTACAGAATGGCCCCTTATAATCTCTAAAACTTCTCACCCAGTGATTGGTTCCGAGGCCCTCCTCTTTCGCCAACACTGTCCCATCGTTATTCAAGATCACAGCCACAGAACGTGTCGCTCCTCTGGCCATACAAAAACAGCGGTCATCGATAGTTAGAACCATCTTTGATCACAAAGCAAGCAAGCCTCTCTGTGGCTCTCACCCTTCCACACCTCCACACGCCATGGTTCAGTTTTCCAGCAAGAATTCAAAAATTCAGTTTTTACAAAATGGAAATAATGAAATGCAACAAGCTATGCACGTTGTACAGATGTACGAAGTTCTGTGTTCATTGTGTGATACATGCGCATTTGACCAATTATTTTAGCCCCGCAATAATGGCAAACAATCGCTTTTTCAGCTTCTTTACTTTGGTAGTTCGGATAGAACTAATGTAGTAATGACTAGCTAGATCTATAGATCTTTCGAGGGAAAAAGTTTTCGTATGAAGTGCCTAGGCTTCAGGAATCAGGGCCCATTTTCTTGGTGGAAAATAGCAGTAAACACAATACAGACTCAGTGTACTCAAAGGGTCCCGCACAATCATACCGTATTATCTCTAATATAAGCACGGTCCTTTATTTTTTCAATGTACCTCTGCCCCGTGCTATTAATGGAGACGTTCCTTTATTGGAGACTGTTCCATTATTATTTCAACCTTATTTCAGAGGCATGTTGCCATGCCCATGTCAGACACACACATTTCAGGGTTTTTTCGCCGGTACAGATAATTATGCTTATAATAATGGAGACTGAGCACTGTATTTTTTGAATGCCGCCCCAAGGTGTTCTATTATTGGAGACGTGCTATTATACCGGTAGTTCCAAGCCTCTTGTACAGGCAAAATAAACACAAGTGCAAGGTCAAAAGCTTAGTACCGAGAGAAAATGAGCTGAAATGGCTGTGAAGACGTGCTATTAATAATATTATTGGAGACTGTGCTTATATTGGAGATAATACGGTACTCAACCGGGTGACCGGGTCTACGGGATTCTACGAGATTCTACGGGATTTCGTGCATCTGTGCATTCAAAATGGGAATGTACAAGAAAATAGTACATGATGGTGAAAATGTCGTACCGCCCATTAGTTTGTACGACAGAGTTGTATACAAAATAATCCATGTTTTCCGGCTTGGTCATCTGGGTCTGAGTACCTTCTCCATGTGCCTGAACTGTGCGGTGCATGTAATAACTCGTACACAAATGTTTTCTCAGGGTGTTTTCACTTCTTTCAATTTCACAAGTAACAGTTCCCATTGGTTCAAGAAGTACCAGGTCCTTACGTTTCCGTGGGTAGTGTGACATAGAGAAATGCGTTGTGATTGGAGAAGCTAATTGTCTGCAAGGGAACGGAGAGTTGTCAACCGTTCGTCCTCGAACAATGTCTTTTGGTTTGAGGTGAGTAGCGATAATTTTGCCTCCGAATAATTGGGAAGTTGTAGAAATGCTGGCGCATGTTCGACTCTAGCTCTTTTGGCCGTCATAGAACGAGGTGACATAGCATTAGTTGGGTATTAACATGTATATAATCCATTCATCATGTCACGAACAGCTCTCACATGTTATTTTCGATATCAGTTTGTGAGCAGCAGTTTATCAGTATTATTGTGTTGGTATTGAATTTGTGGATAGTATTGAGGTAATAAGGAAATGGAGTAATGGACACATGAGGATACGGGTTTGGAGTAACTGTCCACCACTGTAACTCGATAATATCATAGTCAGTGCAAAAAGTAGGCACAAAACTAGTCGGGTACCCGTGCTACCCCGTGAGGACCTCGGGCAGATGGGAACAGAATTGAGAGGTTCGGCTACAAGTAACGCGTACGCCTACCGTATTTTCCGTAGTATAGTGTGCACTTTATATGTGCTATTTTAGGCCCTAAATCGCAGGTGCGCACTATGCTCCGAATATGAAATGCATATACTTCAATGAAGATTGAAGTGCGCACCCCCAATGAAGATTGAAGTGCGCACCCCCAATGAAGATTGAAGTGCGCACCCCCAATGAAGATTGGGGGTGCGCGTTACTGTAAGACATGTTATTATAACGAGTCGCAAATTTAACGATTGTCCAAAATTCATAGGTTAACGAGAAGATATGTTAACGATCTAGCAGTATTCTGCCATATCCACACACAGCATATATGAAGCAGTACGGCCTCAACGGATCTTATTATAACGAAGAAATGTCATCCGTTAAAACGTTAGATTTGCTTCCTCGTTATAAATACATGTCTTACAGTATACAAAGGTGCGCACTATACTCCGAAAAATACGGTACGTGACGAAAGCGTTGGCCACACGTTGCAAAGCTACGCGGGCGCAGAGTTTGATTCGGCTTCGCGTTGTGGCAAGCCAAGCTGCATCTCCGGGACAACCAAAATGGCGACATTGAAAAAAATTACTTCTCGGGTTTTTCTCCAGTGATGTCATGGTGTTCTACCCGAACCCGATACCCGAAAAGAATGCAACCCGACTCAGCGCTACACAAAACCCACCCTCCATGTGTCAATTTTGTCTTTGAATTACTGTAGTGTGTCACCAAGACTCGAGTTCATAACCCCCAAGAGTGTGCAACTGGCATTCACCCAGCGCTCGGCGAAATTCCTACATTATGTCATGCGCAACTTGTCATCCGAGGTAAATTTGGGTTCCTTGCGATTTCTGGAAACTATACCCGGAACTGCTCCTAACTCCAGGCTGTAGCCTCGACATTTCGAAGCTTTTCAGACGTACAAGTCGTACTTTCTCAAAAACAAACTCTTTCTCGATCTCCAAGAATCCATGGACATCGTGACAGGAAGAAGTGAGGACACTGTTAAAAAATATTGCATTGGCGTCCAGGATAATCATTCTGATAGCTGTGCAACTCAGCCGAGAAATGCTCCTTCGACGCATTCTTATTTCCTCGATCATTTGAAATTATCTCTGAGCAAAGCACCGGCAATGTGCCGAGCGCCCGGGGAAGAAATAGTTTTTGAAGAGGCTGACTGCACTGGCGACACTGGCGAAAGAAGAAGGTGATGAAGAGTCACCATTGGCATCGAAAAAATAATTTGTCTTTTATAAATAGGATCGTGCGCTTTGTTTTACTTCTTATCACTCAGATCAGAATCGCAGTTTAGGCAGGTTAGGCAGTTTACCCTGAGGAAGCATCCCGGTTTGACTGTAAATTATAGAAGAATGCATCGGCATGACTCATCGCACTGCACCAAAAATGACGCAATGAAGGAATTACGCCGAGCGGGCATCCATACTTCTTTTGTACTAATGTATCCTCTACCTCTTCTCCCTTACGAACATACTTTCTCATTTTCCATACTTACTTAGGAGACTCCCTTCGATAGGCATCTATTTGCCTCTGGAGGATCCGTGAAATAAAAATCAATTAAAAAAAAATAAAAAAATACGGGGACTGATCAAGAGTTGCACTCTCTTGGGGGTTATGAACTCTTGCTGTCACTTACTAGTATCCGGCGATCAGTCATCCGACATGCAGGTTTTCCGGCAGCGTGCATTGCTTTATTGTTATGCGGAATATTCACTTTACCAACATGGCGCGGTGCGAGGGTGTCAGATAGCTGACATACTACTGTAATTGTATTGTTGGCTGAACTTCCGAGTTTCGAATATTTGTGAGATTTGGCCGCTCACGCTCTGCTCTACGGATAAAAAATGTGCCAAAACGGTTAACCCGAATGGAACTTTCATCTCAAAGGCCCCTGCGCAGAGGCACTTCCATATCGTCACGTGTACATGTATGTAGTCTGTCTCATCGTTAGTTATTCCTAAAGACAATGTTCATAAGTCTGAGGGACTGAAAATGGAAAGTCTGAAGAACAAATTAACTGTCACCACCAGGATGCAAACCAGGGACATTCGCTATAGGCCAGCAATGCTCTAACCATTGAACCAGGGACATTGGCGATAGGCCAGCGATGCTCTAACCATTGAACCAGGGGCATTCGCTATAGGCCAGCGATGCTCTAACCATTGAGCTGTGATGTACTTGTAGTTGTCATCCCAGCTGCGACTATTCAATATTTTAACCCTTTGGAGTCCATGGTTCGATTTCGAACCATGGGCATTTTGTATGCATGTGGGCGCAGTCAAACTTTCGGTTCTCGGCCAAATCTTGACCAAATTCAACAATCGAAGGGTCTAGATGGTAGAGAAAACTCTCAGCTATCGCCTCGAACAGGTCCGAAGTCTCTGTGATGAAATTTGATTGAGCGGCGAGCGATCAAACAGTTCGAAAGTTCTGCGCTGCGTGCTGCGAGTCAGCAGTGCGTGAAAAAAAGGGATTTTCCCAGCTTCATGACAGGCGGCACGTGCCAGGACCGGCGCGGCGCGAAGTCACGGCAAGGTAAGCTTCTACTCGAAAAAATTTGAACATTTCCGAGCTAGATTCAGTGAAATGGCTACAGGAGACCGATTTCGTCTCAGATCTGGAGCTGGACTCGCATTAGGGGCGCGTTGTGGCGGACAATGAATAGTTCTCTTTGCGAGTTTGGGCTCATTGTATATCTCTCATCAAGAGCTTTCCAACGAGCCCAAGATCTTCAAAATCGGTGAAGTAGAACCAAAGTTATGTTGGAAATGGAGTGCGCATTTTCGTGACTGCCACAAATTCTGCGGAAGCAAAAAAGTTACGGACTCCAAAGGGTTAAAGCAGACAGTCAAGCAAATGAGATGATCGAGACATTCATTTTCGGTAGTTTGGGTGCAGTGTGCGAAGAACTGCAGTGGTAGATTATTGACATTCATGGAGACTCCCTCCCCTGTCTCTCTCCTCCTCCCCTGTCTCTCTCCTCCTCCCCTGTCTCTCTCCTCCTCCCCTGTCTCTCTCCTCCTCCCCTGTCTCTCTCCTCCCCTGTCTCTCTCCTCCTCCCCTGTCTCTCTCCTCCCCCCCCCCCCCCCTCCTCCCTTCCCCTTGGGTCAAATTGCCTGCAATGGAATCGTGCGCCCAAGAGCATCGTTTCCAGGTGTCAGGCTGGGACATTCTATTTCCCCCGCTATGAGCCTATCTGGCTGCTGTCTTTTAGCACATTCTTCGACACACATCTTGCTGGACTGTATATACCCATAGCCGTGCATAACAAAAGCTGTATTTCAGAGCAGCAGAAAACCAGCACCTTACACCCAGTGTTCGTCTTGCCTTTTTCTTTTGTCATGGCTATAATACCGGTATATGTACATGTTGTCGCTGTGCAGTACTGCAAGCTCTGGAACTCATGATCTGTTTGTTGGTAATGTACCAACAGCATGGGGCAAGGTACGGTGCAGGTCATGTGTGTATGTAACATGTATTATGTGTGCGTGTGTACCGTGTGTACCGCAGCCTTAAGCCTAGTTCACATTCGACGCAACGCCGACGTAAGGGCTTGTCGGGAGGGCTGGGGTGAGCTGTAAAATCCTGTACGATTCGTACGACACGACATGCAGCAGTCGTTGCGACGTTCAACGTCGAACGGCGCGAGTCATAAGGCACGGTCCGTGACGGGGTGACTTTTGGACCTAATTTCTCGTTTTTCGGGACTTCTTTTCAATTATTTCTCCTTGAAAGAAGCGGAATCAAGTTCACAATACCAGTTTTTCATGAAGATCAAATAATTAGCCCTGAAAGTTGCGGCATTCAAATAATAGCCCCAGGAAATGATAGAATAGTTCGTCTGTCACGCTTCTGAACTATCCCTAAATACAATATGTGACATGAGATCTTATGTTGCTAAAATTCAACTCAAGTCGTGCTAGCCATTCTCTGAGTTATCATGGGAAGCGCAGTGTTCGAAATGCTAAAATTTCCAAGTACGAATCGGGAGCAGTCGGCGCACGACGCCGTCTCATGTTCACACTCGAATTGCAGCCGTTTTGTACGCTTGCGTCCCCGTCTACGCCCGTCTACGGTATGAAAAGTTGGATCGATCCAACTCTTCCCGTCGCTTCCCGATCTGTACGGTAGTACGGTTGCGTTCCCGTTCCTGGTGTTCACATTGGACGCCGTCAGACCGTCCCGTCGCTTCCCGTCGATCCTTAAGTCGCGTCCCGTCGCGCCCCGTCGAATGTGAACTAGGCTTTATGCTATGTATGTACCGTGCATGCTTGTGCTGACTCTGTGTGCTTGCATGCGACTTGCGAATTGCGGTTGTGCAGCTTTATCCTGTCTACCATAGGTGTGTTGTGTTTTTTTCTTCATTTGGGGCGTAATGAAACTTTGAATGCTGTCTCTACCCGCCAGGCAATAGCAGAATGACTGTATATGCCAGCGCATGGCCATTATGCTTGTTTGGGATGGCATTGTGCAATATCGGCTCAGTGATGCACTGCTACACGACTAACAACCTGCTTTCCTGCATTCCATCAACTCCCTTTTTTTGAGCCCCAGTGCAATGTACTTTCATGTAGCTAGAAAAGCAGTACCTTGTTTATGATAATTTTTCTCGACTTCTTTTATAATTGTAATCAACAGTTCTGTGTCCATTAGCCCAGTATTTTTTGTGTGTTGTAGCCTATGTGGAATTGCCATGGTTTGCAACATGAAGTAGTGTCTTTTATAATACTGCCCATCTAATTTGCAGGCACTGAGGTTAGCCAGGGGTTCTTGCCCCTGTGCCACAGGCCACACATTTTCACTTGGCTACGGAATACATGAGAACTAACAACATAGTACTCGAAGTAGTACATGTATTGTGGCCTCAGTACAATCTGGTCTTGTAAATCAGTTAGCACTTGTGGGTGTGCAGCTCTCCCCATTGCAATCACTGGGTTGTGCTAGTGCGCTGCTAATTCAAGAAGTCGGATGTCGTTGAGTATGACTGTAGTTTGTTTTGCAGAAGTTAACGGATATGTGTTTTGGTGTGACATTGGGCCTTGCTTGCTAAAATGTGATTGGTTGTTTGAGTGTCCACGGTGCATCTGCTTTCAAGTTGAAAGTACTGTCCTGCTGTCCTGTTCCTTTCTTGATGCCTGCGTTCTTCAGGAGAAGTTAGCCGAAGTGTTTGCTGAGCATGCGACTGTAGCTCGCTGCAACGTTGTGTCACCAAAGGATCGAGAATCGCGTGTTACCTATGGGTAAGCATCCGTAAATAGCTCCGGGATCCATGTCTAATACTGAGGGAGTTTCTAAGAAAACAATCTATTTCACTCTGGACACCGCTGCTGGTGGACATACCCCCCCCTGTAATGTTTCACACTCTGTGTTGTACCGGCGTCCCACTTTGCACAACTTCCGTATTCCCATGTTGATGAATCCCCACAACACTCGACCATTTGAACACTAAGCAAGAGTACATAACCTCCCAGAGTGTGCAACTCGACTATGGGTGCTGTCCCGACAGAATTTCAAGTTGACGTCGTTTTCATGATGCAATGCGCACTGGACACGGGTTATCAGACGAATCCGAAACCTGTGGTGGACCAAAGCCTATCTGATCCTGTACAAATTATTGCAAAGAAAAACGTGTGATGCGTTGACACCCGTACACATGTTGTAAATCACTGGTGCAAGGAGCATTGCATCATAAATAATGACGTCAACTTGAAATTCTGTCGGGACAGCACAGCAGGGTATGTGGGAGTTGCACACTCTGGGGGGGGGGGGGGGGGGGGGGTTATGTACTCTTGCATTAAGGTATACTAGTAGGGCAAATAAAGCTATCGTTAATTTCTATGCAGAGAAGAGGATCCCTATGTTGTTGCACAAGCAAAGATGTGCGTCGATTTTGTGCGTACCACCCCGGAATTGGTAGCAGACTTTCGGAGAACTGCCGCATTTGGAGTATGAAATTCCTAGTACACATATCACATGATTTCTTTGTGTGAACGTAGAGCAGAACGTCTTAGATGCGGAACATGGAATTGTTGAATGGGAGTACTCAAATCGTTGCGCTTCCCTTCATGTCTTGACCCTTTCAGATTACTGATTCCACGTATTCCCGCCAGGGCACACGGTGACGAGTGCGTAGCTGCAAAATTTTATCATTTCACTCACCAGTGGCAGAATGTCTTCATCTTGGTCTCATCAGCAAGCTTCAGATCTCCTCTCTCCAAATCATAGAACTAGATGTGCAGCAGGAGCAATAAAATCGCCGTCATGCCATTTGAGAGCTGCCCTATTGCGCCTAAGTGAGATACTGTGCCCACCTCGACAATTTTCTTCGGTCCTGGAATTTTACTCAACGCAGAACAACAATTCAAAATTCTCCAGATTTGTGCAGTTCAAGCGAATCCTTTGGGCTCTACTTCGCGTGCACCGTTCAACGATGACTCATAGGGGAAGTTCCCGTTTGAGTTATACTGATAGATGCAGATCACTGCGCACGCAATTATTTTGTCAAAAAGTTCGAGCGTATTTATGTTTCGCTCTTCGGCGCTCCTTGAATCCACGCCATGCTATATCAACGACATATCACTGAAAAGCTTGTTTTCTCAGCTTTCCAACGAGCTAGCATTTGCGATGATCGGAGAAAGGACACCAGAGTTTCGATAATTTGAACACTGGTGTATATGCACTGTGCGAATGTATGCACTGTGGTGTATATGCACTGTGCGAATGTATGCACTATCAGGCCAAGTATACTCGTTCTCGGGAAATATAGCTTAACTTTTTTGGACGAGTTAATTCGTCCTCGGTCCTCAAAGGGTTAAAAGCCGAACCTCACTATTTATTGCACCAAGGGGGCTATGCATAAATGCTGATATTTTTTCATCTCTCCCCATCTCATCCCCTGTCCAAGTGTGTGGACAATTGCACAGTTCCTCCATAACATCTACAGATGGACGTTTTCACAAAGCAAGCCAAATAGCTCCTGATGTCTTCCCTCCCCCCAAATGAAAGAATATCATCTCTGGAAAAATGTGGATATTTGTGGACAACTTCTATAAATTGCAAGAACTAAGAATGTCAGCAAGACGTATTTAGCTATCTTTTTTAATGCGATTCTTGTTTAAGCTGTGATGCCTCAGAGCCTCTCGTGTTGCTTTATTGAAGTTGGTGTTAATTGCCTTCTTGTTGTATGCTGTGTTTGTGTGTTCTGTATTGTAGGTTTGTGGCTGTAGCATCACAGACTGATGTCGACAAGTGTATGACGAATCTAAACCGTGTCCCCAAAGATGGCTATTCATTGCGAGTTGAAGTCAGTGCGAAGAAGCGAGATAAACCAGCGTCTAATGTGCAGACACCAACACAGTCTTCGACAGCAACGCAATCGTTGACACCTACGACATCTTCCACGCCATTGCAATCTCCTACGGTGTGTCAGCATCCGTCCTGCAGTAAGCCGGGAAAGCATCGATGTTCAAAATGTAAATCTCCGTACTGCAGTGCAGAGTGCCAGAGTGCTGATTGGTCAAAGCATAAATACTTATGTGCTGGTCTAGCTGTATCTGCCACCGCAACACCTCTATCTCCTAGCAGGCAACAGCAGCAGCAACAGCAGCAAGGCCCTGCGTCACCTGCTTCTTTGCCTACTGCCGTATCCCCTGTGGGGAAATCAGCATCACCGATTCTCCCTGCAGACAGTCATCGTTCGTTTGAGCGCGCATCTCCCAGTGTCGGAAAAGCTAACACCTCTTTGGATGAGGGATGGGTAATGGTGAATGGTAGCAGCACATCTGACACACGTCGTGTAGAAAGTAGTTCAACGCAGTACAAGAGCAGCAGCAGCAGCTCCTCGTCCACTCCACTGGTACCATTTGCAGCAACCAGCACTGGCATTCCTGGCTTCTCTCCAGCACGTCTTCAAGGGAGACATGTTGACACTCCATCAACTATGCCAGTGTCTCAAGGCTTCCAGTGTATCATCTTGCCAGCTGGACGGACACAAGTTCAGCTCTCTTGTATCCGGGATGACTGCTCCGACATCTATGTCCACGTCACGAATCATGACCAAAGCAGCCGCTTAGCTCGTCTCAATGCCAACATCAATGCTGCAATTCATATGTCAGACCGCTCATCGTACATCCCGGCTGTTGATGCTGTATGTTCTGCACGCTATGGCAATGATGAGCTATTCTACCGGGTCCGCGTTGAGAAGCAAGAGTCAGCCCAAACATATCAAGTGATGTTTGTCGATTATGGTAACACAGCAAGTGTTCCTGTAAATGACCTTCGACCCCTGAAGCATGAATTTGGAATCCTGCCATTTCAAGCTGTCCGCTGTTCTCTGTCAGCTATTCAACCAGCTGAAGGAGCTGTCTCGTGGTCGCAGAAAACCAGGGAGATACTGCAGCAAGTGGACACCCTTGCAGCGTACCTTGTCAAGCCTGCTTCTAGCTCTAGCCAGGAGCATGTCATTGAGTTGTACAATCGTTCACTCTCTGGCAGTATCCTGCTAAATAACGAGTTCGTGAAGCGTCGAGTGGCTGTGTACAAGCCGGGTGAAATGCCTCCTATTGATAAGAGCACTCCATCAGTATCAGTGTCGCACTCTGTTGAAGATGTGTTTTCTGCCAACACCCAGTCTGCCGCCGAGGCTGTTGCTGCAACTGCTTCTCGTACTCCAGTTGCTGCTGCTCCTGCTGGTGTTGATCTCGTCTCAAGTGGCAATACACCAGCTGCCGCCTATAGTTCCACCCATTGTCCCGCAAGGTCTGTCCCACCAGCAGACAGCAAGAGACTTTTTCTCAAAGATCTGTCCTGTTTCAAGTTGCCCGTGGGCAAACCTGTGGTCTGCGTCTCTACAGCAGTGAAGTCTCCGGGTAGTTTTTGGTTGACATGTGCTGCAAGATTCACAGAGTTGGCAGATCTTCTGGACTTGATGGCAGATCCTCCTGCGTACCCTTCCCCTCATCAGCCATGCACTGGAGAGATGGTTGCTTGCCAATTCTCGGCTGACCTGAACTGGTATCGTGCAAAAGTCAACTGTACTGCTGATGATGTAGCAGAGGTGACGTTTATGGACTTTGGCAACTCTGAAACTACATCAGTTTCTCAGCTTCGTCCTCTACAGCCAGAGTATTTGAAGCTACCTATTCAGGGTGTGCAGTGCACTCTGGATGCGTGCCAGCCTGTGTTTGGCACCAAGTGGTCAGCTGATGCAACTGCAGCTTTCAATGATCTGATAATGGACACGGAGCTGTCGTGTGTTTGCACAGCTATCAACGAGAATGTATACAGTGTACAAGTAGAGTGCAGTGGTAAGAATGTAGTGTCTGAGCTCATTGCTTCTGGACATGCAATCTGTTATGAGCCGCTACGCAAGCCGCACGATACCTCGCAGCCAACCAAGACCACTGCCGCTATGCTCAGTACAGACCATCACACGTCCAATGACATTGCGACTGAAGGCTTGTCGCTGTCCATTGCAGATCGCCCGGGTGAAAGATTAGGACCGTGTGGTGCATCAGTTCCATCATCTCCATCTACTATTACTACTGCCAGTCCTGACATGATCACACCATCTGACGCACAGTGGTCATGTTTGCCGACTACTTCCGGTGAATTTGACGTCATTCTATCAGATATCGCCAACCCCAGTTGTTTCTACGTCCAGGTTGCAGAGAAGAACGCTATCCAAAGTCTTCATTCGCTAGTGGATGTGATGAACACCACGTTCAACGATGCATCAAACCCAAGCGCCACGCCATCTCTTGGTGACTGCCCGGTGGACAGCATCTGTGCAGCTCAGTTCAGTGAAGATGGTGGTTGGTATCGAGCTGTAGTTACCAAGGTACTCGACGGTAATCGGCGGGAAGTAAGATTCACTGACTTTGGAAACAATGATACTGTGGAGAAGTCGTCACTTCGTCCTTTGAGTCCGTCCATGCTAGAGCTACCAATGCAAGCTATTGCCTGTCAATTGGCGGATGTCAAGCCAATAGGTAGTGAATGGTCAGCGCAAGCCATCGCGATGTTTGCAGAGCATGTTGGAAATGTCGGAGCAGCGCGTGTGACGGTTTGTAGATCTCCAAACAGCAGCTCATCCGAAAGCAATGGAAAACAAGCCCTGTGTGTCTACAGTATGAAAGATGCAAGCACCATCAACGATATCCTTGTGTCTTCTAAGCATGCAGTTTCTACTATTGCTGTTCCAGCTGCTGCTCCTGTTGAGTCCCTGAAGGTTCTTTCTCAATCTGACGCACAGTGGTCGTTTTTGCCAACAACTGCTGGTGAATTGGACGTCATTCTGTCAGATATTGCCAGCCCAAGCTGCTTTTATGTCCAGTTGGCAGACAAGAGCACTATCCAAAGCCTCAATTCACTGATGGATACTATGAACACCACATTCAACGATGCATCAAACTCAAGCGCCACGTCATCCCTTGGTGACTGCCCGGTGGACAGCATCTGTGCAGCTCAGTTCAGTGAAGATGGTGGTTGGTATCGAGCTGTAGTTACCAAGGTACTCGACGGTAATCGACGGGAAGTGAGATTCACTGACTTTGGAAACAATGACACAGTTGAGAAGTCATCACTTCGTCCTTTGAGTCCGGCCATGCTAGAGCTACCAATGCAAGCTATTGCCTGTCAATTGGCGGATGTCAAGCCAATAGGTAGTGAATGGTCAGCGCAAGCCATCGCTATGTTTGCAGAGCATGTTGGAGATGTTGGAGCAGCGCGTGTGACGGTTTGTAGATCGCCAAGCAGCAGCTCATCTGAAAGCAATGGACAACAAGCATTGTGCGTCTACAGCGTGACAGAAGCTCGCACCATCAACGATATCCTTGTGTCTTCTAAGCATGCAGTTTCTACTATTGCTGTTCCAGCTGCTTCTCCTGTTGAGTGCGCGAAGGTTCTTTCTCAATCGGATGCACAGTGGTCATGTTTGCCGACAACTTCCGGTGAATTTGACGTCATTCTATCAGATATTGCCAGCCCAAGCTGCTTTTTTGTCCAGTTGGCAGACAAGAGCACTATCCAAAGCCTCCATTCACTGATGGATATGATGAATACCACATTCAACGATGCGTCAAGCTCAAGCGCCACGCCATCCCTTGGTGACTCCCCGGTGGACAGCATCTGTGCAGCTCAGTTCAGTGAAGATGGTGGTTGGTATCGAGCTGTAGTTACCAAGGTACTCGACGGTAATCGGCGGGAAGTAAGATTCACTGACTTTGGAAACAATGATACTGTGGAGAAGTCGTCACTTCGTCCTTTGAGTCCGACCATGCTAGAGCTACCGATGCAAGCTATTGCCTGTCAATTGGCGGATGTCAAGGCAATAGGTAGTGAATGGTCAGCGCAAGCCATCGCTATGTTTGCAGAGCATGTTGGAGATGTCGGAGCAGCGCGTGTGACGGTTTGTAGATCTCCAAACAGCAACTCATCCGGAAGCAATGGACAACAAGCATTGTGTGTCTACAGTGTGACAGAAGCTCGCACCATCAACGATATCCTTGTGTCTTCTAAGCATGCAGTTTCTACTATTGCTGTTCCAGCTGCTTCTCCTGTTGAGTGCACGAAGGTTCTTTCTCAATCGGACGCACAGTGGTCATGTTTGCCGACAACTTCCGGTGAATTTGACGTCATTCTATCAGATATCGCCAACCCCAGCTGTTTCTACGTCCAGGTTGCAGAGAAGAACGCTATCCAAAGTCTTCATTCGCTAGTGGATGTGATGAACACCACGTTCAACGATGCATCAAACTCAAACGCCACGCTATCTCTTGGTGACTGCCCAGTGGACAGCATCTGTGCAGCTCAGTTCAGTGAAGATGGTGGTTGGTATCGAGCTGTAGTTACCAAGGTACTCGACGGTAATCGGCGGGAAGTAAGATTCACTGACTTTGGAAACAATGATACTGTGGAGAAGTCGTCACTTCGTCCTTTGAGTCCGTCCATGCTAGAGCTACCAATGCAAGCTATTGCCTGTCAATTGGCGGATGTCAAGCCAATAGGTAGTGAATGGTCAGCGCAAGCCATCGCTATGTTTGCAGAGCATGTTGGAGATGTCGGAGCAGCACGTGTGACGGTTTGTAGATCTCCAAACAGCAGCTCAACCGAAAGCAATGGAAAACAAGCCCTGTGTGTCTACAGTATGAAAGATGCAAGCACCATCAACGATATCCTTGTGTCTTCTAAGCATGCAGTTTCTACTATTGCTGTTCCAGCTGCTGCTCCTGTTGAGTCCCTGAAGGTTCTTTCTCAATCTGACGCACAGTGGTCGTTTTTGCCAACAACTGCTGGTGAATTGGACGTCATTCTGTCAGATATTGCCAGCCCAAGCTGCTTTTATGTCCAGTTGGCAGACAAGAGCACTATCCAAAGCCTCAATTCACTGATGGGTACTATGAACACCACATTCAACGATGCATCAAACTCAAGCGCCACGTCATCCCTTGGTGACTGCCCGGTGGACAGCATCTGTGCAGCTCAGTTCAGTGAAGATGGTGGTTGGTATCGAGCTGTAGTTACCAAGGTACTCGACGGTAATCGGCGGGAAGTAAGATTCACTGACTTTGGAAACAATGATACTGTGGAGAAGTCGTCACTTCGTCCTTTGAGTCCGTCCATGCTAGAGCTACCAATGCAAGCTATTGCCTGTCAATTGGCGGATGTCAAGCCAATAAGTAGTGAATGGTCAGCGCAAGCTATCGCTATGTTTGCAAAGCATGTTGGAGATGTCGGAGCAGCGCGTGTAACGGTTTGTAGATCTCCAAACAGCAGCTCATCCGAAAGCAATGGACAACAAGCATTGTGTGTCTACAGTGTGACAGAAGCTCGCACCATCAACGATATCCTTGTGTCTTCTAAGCATGCAGTTTCTACTATTGCTGTTCCAGCTGCTTCTCCTGTTGAGTGCGCGAAGGTTCTTTCTCAATCGGACGCACAGTGGTCATGTTTGCCGACAACTTCCGGTGGGTTTGATGTCATTCTATCAGATGTTGCCAGCCCAAGCTGCTTTTATGTCCAGTTGGCAGACAAGAGCACTATCCAAAGCCTCAATTCACTGATGGATACTATGAACACCACATTCAACGATGCATCAAACTCGAGCACCACGTCATCCCTTGGTGACTGCCCGGTGAACAGCATCTGTGCAGCTCAGTTCAGTGAAGATGGTGGTTGGTATCGAGCTGTAGTTACCAAGGTACTCGACGGTAATCGGCGGGAAGTAAGATTCACTGACTTTGGAAACAATGATGCTGTGGAGAAGTCGTCACTTCGTCCCTTGAATCCGTCCATGCTAGAGCTACCAATGCAAGCTATTGCCTGTCAATTGGCGGATGTCAAGCCAATAGGTAATGGATGGTCGGCTCAAGCCACTGCTGTATTTGAAGAACATGTTGGAGATGTTGGAGCAGCACGTGTGACGGTTTGTAGATCTCCAAATAGCAGCGCATCAGAAATACAACCATTGCATGTCTACAGCATTTCTGAAGCAAGAACCATCAGCGACATTCTTGTGTCTTCTACACATGCGGTTTCAACTATTGTCAAAGAAGCTGCTGTTCCTGTTGAGCGTCCGAGGTTTCTTTCTCCATCTGACGCACAGTGGTCGTGTTTGCCAGCGACTGCTGGTGAATTTGGCATCATTCTCTCAGATATTGCCAACCCAAGCTGCTTTTACGTCCAGTTAGCAGACAAGGGCACTATCCAAAGCCTCCATTCATTGATGGATACGATGAATACCACATTCAACGATGCATCAAACTCCAGCACCACGTCATCCCTTGGTGACTGCCCGGTGGACAGCCTCTGTGCAGCTCAGTTCAGTGAAGATGGTGGTTGGTACCGAGCTGTAGTTACCAAGGTACTCGACGGTAATCGGCGGGAAGTAAGATTCACTGACTTTGGAAACAATGATACTGTGGAGAAATCGTCACTTCGTCCTTTGAGTCCGTCCATGCTAGAGCTACCAATGCAAGCTATTGTCTGTCAATTGGCGGATGTCAAGCCAATAGGTCGTGAATGGTCAGCGCAAGCCATCGCTGTGTTTGCAGAGCATGTTGGAGATGTCGGAGCAGCACGTGTGACGGTTTGTAGATCTCCAAACAGCAGCTCAACCGAAAGCAATGGAAAACAAGCCCTGTGTGTCTACAGTATGAAAGATGCAAGCACCATCAACGATATCCTTGTGTCTTCTAAGCATGCAGTTTCTACTATTGCTGTTCCAGCTGCTTCTCCTGTTGAGTGCGCGAAGGTTCTTTCTCAATCGGATGCACAGTGGTCATGTTTGCCGACAACTTCCGGTGAGTTTGACGTCATTCTATCAGATGTTGCCAGCCCAAGCTGCTTTTTTGTCCAGTTGGCAGACAAGAGCGCCATCCAAAGCCTCAATTCACTGATGGATACGATGAATACCACATTCAACGATGCACCAAACTCAAGTGCCACGGCATCCCTTGGTGACTGCCCGGTGGACAGCATCTGTGCAGCTCAGTTCAGTGAAGATGGTGGTTGGTATCGAGCTGTAGTTACCAAGGTACTCGACGGTAATCGGCGGGAAGTAAGATTCACTGACTTTGGAAACAATGATACTGTGGAGAAGTCGTCACTTCGTCCTTTGAGTCCGTCCATGCTAGAGCTACCAATGCAAGCTATTGCCTGTCAATTGGCGGATGTCAAGCCAGTTGGTAATGGATGGTCGGCTCAAGCCATTGCTATGTTTGCAGAGCATGTTGGAGATGTCGGAGCAGCGCGTGTGACGGTTTGTAGATCGCCAAGCAGCAGCTCATCCGAAAGCAATGGAAAACAAGCATTGTGTGTCTACAGTGTGACAGAAGCTCGCACCATCAACGATATCCTGGTTTCATCCAGCCATGCCGTGTTGCTTTCTTGATCTGACTGATAGGTAAGTCGTGTTCTGCCTAATTAGGTTGTGTGTTTTGATCAGGTGTTGGTACAATGTCTCTTTCCCAGACTATCTTCCTTTCCTGGCTGTGACTAGTAGACATCTGTAAAAATTGTTGAGTTAGCGGATTTCCCTGTCGTAGGTACACGATTTCTTCTATTTTAATTATACTTATTGGCTCAGTGTCCGAGTTAAGTTCAATCCACTTTGGAGGTGAAAAAAACTTTTACAGAAGAACAGCTATTTTCTCTGTTCTAAGTTGTTCTCTAGCATGCATGGACTGCGGAAATGATATTCCTATGGGGGATACTTATGCATTTTGTTGTACTTCTGGGGCCTCGAAGTTACGAAAGTTGCATTTTTCGTACTTTCAAGTGGCCATATTATTATTTAAGGGGCCATCCATAAATATAGATACTTATTTAGAAAGGAAAACTAGTCGTTTAGGGGGGAGGGGGTTGAGTGACTTTTCGTTTCTCGAAAAAAATCGATACACAGTTTGGGTGTGTGGGCATGTCCAGAAAAAAAGAAAAAAATATCGATACTAAAAGTAGAAAGGAAAAGGACATAATTATTGAAACGAGTTAAGAGTAACTCTCCACCACTGTAACTAGATACTGTATACAGGCAGAAAGTGCAACAACTAGGCACAAAACTGACGTTTCAATAATTATGTCCTTTTCCTTTCTACTTTTATTATTGGCTCAATACCCGAGTTTCAAATATCGATACTGTGTACCATTTGGAGAGAGAGAGAGAGAGAGAGAGAGAGAGAGAGAGAGAGAGAGAGAGAGAGAGAGAGAGAGAGAGAGAGAGAGAGAGAGAGAGAGAGAGAGAGAGAGAGAGAGAGAGAGAGAGGGAGGGAGAGAGGGAGAGAGGGAGAGAGGGAGAGGGATGGAGGGAGGGAGGGAGGGAGGGAGAGAGAGAGAGAGAGAGAGGAGGAGAGAGAGAGAGATTTGTACGATTCATTGATCCAGTCTTTGATGTTGGTGAACCGATTGTGACGGGGGCGACCACGGGGTCTGGATCCAGGCACCATTCCATCCAAGAAATAGTGGGAGTAGCTAAGGTAGTACCAAGTGGAACTATAATGTGTAGCCCATTCCAGATGATTTTCTTGTGGTTTGTCGAATCGTCAAATTCTTATGAAGTAAAGAAAAAGGACCAAGGAACTACAAGTTACGCTATAATGTCCACTAACACCACCAGTTGCTGTTGCAGTTGTTATTTTCTTTTCTATAAATTTATCCTTGGCTCTCCATCCGAGTCCATTCTTATGAAGTACTTTAGTATAGTACTGAGCGGAAACAGTTTGTAAGAATTTGTATGGGCATGAACCTGAGTTGAACAGGAGACCTTCCGAAATCAGTGGCATGTCCTCTCCCAGATTTATATGACATCTTGGTTTGCACTAAGAACAAAGACTGCCACAAGGGCACGGCGAATGCCTTACCCTTTAAATGTTTGGGCTTTGATGCGATGGGGGAATTCCCCTACATTGTAGATTTAAAAAAACCCGTCTGCGTGTCTAGGGACCATCGCAAAAGTTCGCAGAAGCCCCCGAAACGAAGACCGTTAGTTTCGGGCCTGACCCCCCTCCCCCCCCCCCCCCCCCCCCCTCCCTCCCCCCTCAAACGAAACGACAGTCACAATATGGGCTTCATTATTTCACTTGGATGCTCACACATAATAATAATTATTATAATATACTACACAGCAGGGGTTCATAAACCCTATGAACCCCTGCTAGTACTAGTACTAGCAAGAGTCCATAAACCATGCGTTTTATGGACTCTTGGTACTAGACTACACACAGTGTACAGGCAGCCAGCTACGCGCCACGCGCAGTTGCATGAATGGACTACGCGTCCTGACAAGCGATCTACGCCGGCTGTGATGGCATGCTAATCTATATCAGCTCCTACATGTCGTCAATACTTTTTTGAATTGAAGCCCGGTTTGCGATTTTCGACACCGACTCCCTCCCCCCCCCCCCCCCCCAAACGTATGCTCTTCGTTTCAGGGGCTTCTGCGAACTTTTGCGATGGTCCCTAAGTAAGGGCGCGTTCAGACTACCTATAAAAAGTGACGGAATTGTAAAGTTCCCACGGTGATTTAATCACGTGACATTACAGGCATTTTGCAGGTGGAAAGGTCCTTACTGCTGTGGCAGCTGCGGCGGAAACAGCATTCCGGCAGTAAAAAAGGGTGCTCAGGCTTCGAGTAGGGGAAAATCCCTTCTCGGTGGCGCGGTGAGAGCTGCACCAGTAACGTTAGTGCGAATTTTGTTCATGGTTTATCGCCATTCGTGGTTTGACGGCGTTCTCGGTAGTCGGAACGCGCCCTAAGGCGCTGGGTCGAATGATCTTGGTCCAAGGAGGTTATGATGCATCATTGTCGTTTGCATGTATTCACAATTGAACTTGCGGGTGCGAGGTACTGCTTTCATTTGAACACACCATGCACCACTGGCACAATCAAGAGACTAACACGTGAATTTTCAGTGTAAAACACAATCCAGATATTCACCCGTACGTTTTGATTGTAAAATGTTGGAGCGTGTTTGATTGGGGAATTGTATGTAGTAGACTGGCAGTGCCTTCAGACTTAGATCACTCGACACGTCTTCTGAAAAAAGTACTTGAACAAGTAGATCTAGGGGGCATTGAGCTAATGAGATGTTTGAGTACGGTCGCATGCCTCACTGCATACTGTATGTACTTGTAAAGTTGTCTTTTGAGCTGATGACATTATACAAGTATGTAGGTGTGCATGCAATTATATGTACGAAGTTCAAACGTTTTGAATGGAACTTCACAATATCTGGCAGAAATACGATAATTCCGGTATATCGTTTGATACTTGAACAAAGTGTGTATGTGATGCAATATTAAGGCCCAGTTTTTTTGTGTGTTTTGTTCGTTTGTATTTCAATAATTGCAATGGAATGATTATTGGTAGAAACACAACCAATCGACAACCAACAGACACCAATTCGGTTTGACAGAAACGTTTTTTCTCCAGAATTCATCGGTGACAGAAAAACATTTCTGTCAAACCGAATCGGTGTCCGTTGGTTGTCGATTGGTTGTGTTTCTATCAATAATTGCTATCTTGTCTCCGACTAGAATATTTACGGAATGATTGCTGTTCTCGTTTGTTCGGTTTTGTTCAGGTCCGAGGATGTGTCCATTGCTCAACAATTCGCTTTTGCTGGCCAAGCTGCTGGCACAGTCTAGAGCTTCACCACATGCTGTGGTGAGGAATGTGTTTGTTGCTATTCCATGCAGCTACCTTTTGGCATGTTTGTTCTTTTCTATGCTTTTGTCTAGAAGCAGTGAGCGCTGCTAGTTTCACTGTGTCATGTCTTAGTACACAATGCTGAGCTGCAATTGCCATTAGCAACCTGGTTTACAGCTGGGCCCCCCCCCCCCCCTTATTTAGGACTTGTGTGGGCTTGTTCCCTTGGCCTGCATTTGTCACGTGTACATAGACGTAAACCCTCACTACTCTGTTTGCGCCATGCTCTGCTGCTGCCGTATTGTAATCTGGGTCTCAACTTCTGTTCTTTATTTACATTTTCAGTGGGTTGATGATCCCAATATTGATTGATCCTTTTTTATGCCATGTTATTGGCTGTGTGTCTGTGTATGTGACTTGATTGTTGAGCTGTTCAGGTGACTTTCGTCTTGTTGTTTATGTCCATCATCTAGTTTCTATGTGCTACCATCATCATTGCTACCCCCCCCCCCCCTCCCTCTCCTATTGCAGCTGCTACGGAGCACTGTTTCTGTTTCTTGCTGTGCTGGCTTGTAGAGCTCTTTTTATTTTAAACTTTTCCTTGTTGTTTGAGCTTTCTGTTTCGTTTTTTTAGCGTGCTGTGATGATCTTGTTTTCTATTCTGAAAGTTTGGTGTCTAACTTACGCTGCTTGGTAGCTGCTGTTCCAGCTTGTTTCATTCTGTGTTGTTTGTTTGTTTAAATGCATACTAGGCGTACCCAATATCAAAACTTCCAGGAGCTTGTTCAACTAGGGCTGCACTCGTGATGTTTTCTTCTTTCTTCGCATCATTTTTTTCAAGCTACTTTGAGCAGTAATTTTCAGTGAACTCGTGAATGAAAACATTTTAACAGCTTTATAGCCGTGGTCTTGTGTGGCAGTGAAGGTATTGCAGCTGCCTGACTGAGTTGTGGTGTTCTGATGGTTGTAGCAGCGCGGATGATTGTAATGATCATATCATAGTGTAATAAATAAATAAATTTCACGGTTCGCGTGAGACTCGGCTGGAAGCCGAGTTTTCCTCATCCGCCGTGGGAACGCCACCACCCTCTAGGATCAAAGGCGCAGATGCAGCGCCTAAACGGTGGGAGGTGAGTAGATCAGAGACCCACCACCAAGTGGCCAAAGACCGAAATCCCATTAGCTGCATCCATGTAGTATAATTATATCAAGTAGTAAAATACCGTGGTACAGTCGTCCCTCTCTAATCCGGCACTTGTTTATCCGGAACCCTTGCCAACCGGCGCACTTTCTGACGAAACCGATTTTTTTTCGTTCAATTCCTACATCTTAATCCGGCACTTGAATTCCGCCTCCGGCAGTGACTTTTTGAAACGAATCGCTCAAACTGCACGTAGTTTGATTTCATAATCCGGCAGTCGTAAATCGCGTGCCGTACAGGTGCACTCCTTGCCAGGCCAGGCTAGGCTTGTCCAGGAGACAACGGCAGTCAACCATACTTTCTTATTTTAGCAAGGAGTAGTGTCCTGCCAATTTTCAGGTGTGTGTGTGTGTGCGTGTGTGTGTGTGTGCGTGTGTGTGTGTGTGCGTGTGTGTGCAAGAGTACATGTGAACATGTTCTCTGTTTTACTTTATCACTTATCACTGTGTATATTCCCGGAGAACAATTGAGAATATAAAGCCGTGCACCAAATACTTGGGTCGACACGGAAGAACCCTGCGTTTTGACGTACATATGATACATGCATGCAAATGGGCAGGGCCGGGTCAGAGGGCAGGATTTCTTAATCCAGCACCCTCGTTAATCCAGCAGAAAACGCCGTAGCAAAAGGTGCCGGATTAGAGAGGGACGACTGTATCAAGAGTACCTGCCGGTAGCCGGGTTATATACTCTTGCTGCCCGTAATCATTACCCGAGTTTCGAGTTAATTACTTTACTCTAATTTCAGAAATTTTCGGTATGAGGGCAAAAGGCCTGGTTAGGTGATCTGGTATAGAGAAGCAGGTCCCTATTGGATTATGTGTGTAAGTGTTTGTTCGGTGTACTAGTATTGAAATTTTAGGCACGAAACAGATGCACCGAATCGCGAAAGTACCGAAAATAAAAGTACACCGAAAATTTGTGAAAATAATTACAGTATTTTACAACTCCCAGATCCCGGGCGCATGGCATATAGGGGGGGGGATAAACAAGAGTATGCAACTGAGATTTCATTTCTACCAGCACAGTGTCAGTTGGTGCGCTGGCTTATAACAACTATTTTTTTAGGGTCAATTTTGACTGCATTTTGACTCATACAGTACTGTCGGTCGCCGAAGAAACGGGGGGGGGGGGGGGGGGGGGGGGAGGGGGTCAGCCTCCTAGCCTAGACCGTTCTTATTAATTTTTCATGTACATGTATTACAGTCTATGGGCAGTTTGAATCACCGTGTATACATTGGCATGCTGTGCTTGATGAAATTCTAGCCTGGCCTTTCTTCGTTCTTCGGCGCCCGACAGTACTGTATTGCAGTTTATCGGTAAGGTACTTGTAGGTGGAGATGAAATTTGGAAATGTTTTTTTTCGGTTTTAATCAGAATGACCAGAATCAGAATGACCAGAATCAGACCAGAATGGTCCGAAGATCAAGACAAGAGGAGAGTTGCGACACATGCACAGCTTACTTCCTACCGCCAGTCAGTATAGTACTATTATAGTGTAACGTATCCCACCGCTGGCACCAATTCTGTAACGGGCCGCAGTCTCTCTCGGAGGCAAATGCAGACGGGTCTCAGTGAACACACTGTTAATAATAATTCTTACTGAACTAAACGGTAGACTACATTGTAAACATTAACTCTGACTCTAACTCTAAACTGACATGAAGAGAATTGTGTGTGTCTCTCGGAGGCAGATGCAGACGGGTCTCAGTGAACACACTGTTGTTAACTTTATTATTACTAAAGACTGGATTGAAGGTTGAACTCTAACTCTAAACTGACATTACTGAAGCTTCTAACTGGTATCTCTAACTGGCCTTTCTAACTGGCCTTTCTAACTGTAGTTTCTAACTGGCGTGTAGAGAATTGTGAACAGCAGCTTTTATAGGCAGACAGCATACGTGCTGCAACAGCAATGGTCACGGCAAAGCTCAGCAGAGAGAAGAAGAAAGGTCAAAGTATGTTGTGTGGGCTACAGTCATTGCACAAGGAATGCCATTTGATTCTATGCAGAAGAAGGAGCTGAATAACAGTGTGGGCAATGGGCGTAAAAGAGGCGGTTGAAAGTGCAGCAGTATTTCTAAGGTCAATATGAAACATTGAACGCAGTGAGACTAGTTACTATCCATGTCATGGATCTGCAAGCACGGTACAGAGTTGCAAGTGCGGGGTACGGGTGCGGTGTAACACGCGTGACCAATACATTAAACGCTCTCCTTTTTGTGGATGAGTGTGCTCTATATCATCCCATGTTACTCCACAAAAAAATTCAGGGGGTGTTTCCGCGGAGATAAGGATGTTTGAGGTGTATTTCTAGGGGTGGGTGTATTTATCGATTTCAGCCTAAATTTGCTTGTTTTGGGGTCATATTTCAGATTTACCAGTTGTCTGGCTTCTCTTTGTGATTGCAAGTCCTTTCACACATCACAGTGAAGCATTTGAGCAAGAAAATCTGGCAATCAGCATTGACTACTCAGAAAAATAGTAACTTTGGTACAAAAATGAACTTCGCAGAAATGCCCGTCCGCAAAGTACAATTGGGTGCACAGCTTCATATTTTCTTCATGGACATGCCCTTTTTATTTTATTTTTGGGATCCTCATACTTCATAGAAACTAGAAATATATAATTTTAGGGGGGTTACCGTGCATTTTAGACCTCCAAAAATAAAAATAGGACAGAAAATTGGCCGATTTTCCACCATTCTTGGAATTGTTTTTTTTCAGGAAAGGTGATCATTCTATGCATTCCTTGTGGTATTACTCCAATTTTTTGTGTCAAAAGCATTGAATGGTCCCCCAGATTGTTATAGTATACATGGAGACTAGATGAGGCCATGGTCCCTGGGCTTTTTAGCCCTTGATCTGGATATCGGCATGATCCATGCACAACGTTATTCATGATCCAGGCCGAGGCCTACTGACCCTGAGCACAGTTCAGACCAGCTTTGCATCACAACTCTTGCAATAGTTCACTCCTAGTATTTCTCATAAAGCAACAGGCAAAGAGCTTGAGGAGGATAACAATTATTATTATATTCTGGGGGGGGGGGGGGGGGGGCAGTTTCATGTTTGTAGTACATGTACAATGTAGATGCAGGTTCAACTCAATATTGGCAATGAACGACTGCTAGTAATTGTAGCACCCATTAGGTATAATCATACACTATTCCCAATAACATGGAACAACCACAAGTGTATGTGGGTGCATGCGCATTGCACACATTGATACATACATGTACGCTTACATGCACATGCTCACAAACAAGTACCCCTTGCACACACAAATACACGTACGTCATATACGCGCACCCGCAATAGCATACACCCACATGCAAAATGCATGCTCTTGAGCTTAGTTACCATATTCTGCTGTCCATGCACTTGTGCACGCGTGCGCGCGCGCGCGCACACACAACATGCACTGCGCGCGCCCGCGCGCGCACACACAAACAACATTTAGGCTCACACGCGTGCCTGCGTATGTGCATGCACATAGTGCTTATGGGTAGAGGTGCATGCATTCATCATAATAGAACTGGTGCGAGTAGTGTAGGATTATTTTCAAATCACTGGTGCTGTACAACACAACATTTACAAAATACTTCACACACTGACAATAGAGAATAGTACTGCAAAACAACATACTCAATTTTCAGTGCTGCATTTTATTCAAGTGGACGCAGGTGATGCATCGACTTACTGCTGGCGACGTTGGCAGCTGACACTGTCACAGCTTTCGTAAATAGCCCAAGTCACTGAGCAGTAGCTCACCAACGATTTACCACTCACTCAAGACTGCAATGTTTTCAGCGTAGCAATATATTTCGCCACTTGAGAATTAGAAGTGGGTCCACTTACCAGAGTCTGTGCACCCACTTCAGTCTCTCTCTCCAAAACGCGCTTACAGTAGGTTTTGGTCCCTGGCCTGGTACATGGTGTTACACAGCCATCGAGAAGCTTGGCTCCGTTCTCCTTGTTCATTTTTTCGTCAAGCAAAATTATTCAGGATCTCGAGAAATCGAGTTGTAAAGTCGACTTCTTGCTCACACCAGCGATGCTTTTGAAAACATGGCCTGATACCCACTGACACAACGGAGGAAAAAACAACAGGAACCTCGATGGGGCCCAGGGAAGACTACAGGTGAAGAATGAAACAATATTCTCTGATAAGACTGTCGATCGCGGAGTTCAAATTTTAGTAAGTTGAGATGGGAATTTCCCAACTTTTCGCACTTATCGGCAAAAACAAGACTTTTGCTTGCAAAAAACAGAGCGCCAGACCGGCTGCGCAGCGCAGAAGGTTGGAGCCTCCTTAGGGCCGGGTTCCACTGCGGCTCCGCGGCTCCGCTACTCCGCGGTACTTGGCTGCATGCAGCGGAGCAGCGCGGTTCCGAGGTATATTATGCTCGGCAGGCCGCGAAAGAGAGCCCGTTACCTGGACCCCTACTCGCGCGGGTAGAGCGAAACTGAGCACCCTGGGATGCGAGCAGCTTTTTAGTACTCCCGGGTCCAAAATCTCACCACCAGGCCGGGATGATCAAAACGTCTGCCGGGTCTGCAGCCTACAAACGTGGATCTGCCGACACTGTGCTGTCGACGACATGTCCGGCAAGGCACCTCCTTGCGTGAAAGCAAGGAACGCTTTTTTTTTAGAAAGGAAGCTTCTTCTCCAAAATTTAAAATTTTTGAAAATTA